CCGTTTCACACCACAAAAGATCAGTTGTTTTTTTTCTTTTACTGTTTTATTTTATTTTCATTCAAAACTTTAGAATAACACAGTTAATAATCGGTATTTGTGCAGAGAAACTGCGTAGGTTTGAAAACCAGAATAAAGTTTTGAACATTCCTCGATAAAAATGATCCTGTGATTTTTAATTAAATATATATATATATATATATAAATTAACCATGATTTATTTCAATAATTTAGGCAAAACCCAACAGTGAACAAAAGGCTCCATAGAAAGAGAAGAGTCAAAAGGCCTTGCAAAATGTTTTGCGCAGGACTCTGTGATGTCTAGCATAGGTTCCGACTTATTTTTACTTGCCGAACAAGGCTACAAATACGATATAATCTTGTCAAATATGCATTAGTTTTAAAATGGATTACATTACAGCATTTAAATGTAATCAATGTNTATATATATATATATATACCACTGATATTTAACAGGTATCTTTCAAATTTTCTATAGGTTTTGAAACTTTTTGAGAAATTTGTCTTCAGACTGAATTCTGAAATTTTTTTGTAAAGTATAGGATTAAAAAGTCGTCCAAATTACTCCACATATTCATCAGAAATTATTTTTTACCATCTTGTTTCGAAATTTTTTTAAAATTTTTTTGCACTGCACAAAAGCCGTATTTATTTTCCTATTTAAAAACTCATAGATTTACATATGGTAATATTTTATGAGACAAAAGTGAAACGCAACATTGACATACTTTTGTTTTGTACTATTTCTACATTAATATGATTAAGACATAAATACTTATGGTTGATTCTTAACACAAACAAATATTATTTTTAATAATTGCAAAAACAAAATTATTTTTAATAATTATATTTTTTTTAATATATTTAATTTAATAATGGTGGAAAAAAATTGCATTGTAAGGTGCACAATTTCTTACATCATTTTGAAGAATGTTAATTTTTAGGAAATTTGAGAGCAATCGATCAAATGGTTTATGAGCTTCAAAATTTTAAAAAAAAAATCATATATTTCAAATTTGATTTCCCAAGATCTATTCGACTGATTTCATTCAAATTCTGTAATTCATTGCATCATTATAAAGAATTGAGTAAAATTGAGCTTTTTTATGAAAAAATTACTGTCCAAGGTTTTTTTTTATCATGGAACGCCTTGCTGTGTTTTTATAAATGATACCGAAATCTCCTCAACTCTCCTATGTGCGCTTTCCTTTTTAGAAAGAAATGGAGATGAATAGTTTAAAACTTGCATGAGTTTTAGATATGAAAAGTATTTGTTTTCGATCGAAAGCACATTAGCATTGCTATCCTGAAACTATCTGAATATGTGAAGTATATTTTCCTACTTTTACATGCTAAATTGATTGAGGCAAAACAGGAAATATTAAGATAATTTAAGAAATTATAAGGATTTTGTGTACAAAAAGAACAATTTTGCTCTTGCTCTTATTTAGACATCTCACATTTCTGTACTGCAAAGAAAGGTATTGTTTCTTATTCATTTTTTCTCGTTAAGTCGAATGAGCAAAAAAGAATGAATAGGGCTATAATTTCAAAGGTTGAAATGGGTATTTTTATTATAAAATGTTCTATTTATATCGTTTTTATTGGTGTTTCTAATACTACTTACCAATATCAGCAGGGCTACTCTTTGAAACTAGGCAAATATAAGGGACAGGGTGTGTTTCTTGTTTTTCAGTGGCGCCATCTATTGCCAAGAATAACACTTCAGCCACACACACGTCACAGCCCGCTTATAGGGTGGACACATTCATTCATTCACACATTGTAATTTTGACCTGAACCGAAGAGCGATCAATCACCAATTCTATGACCCCAGAGCTAATGATTTTTCATGGGAACATGAAAGACTTTGTGACCCGACAGATTCAACGTGCACCAGTCACCATTTACTACACGGGGAATCTTCGGCCGGTGGGAATCAAACTCGCTACCTTTTGGGCATGGGACCACCGCCCTACCAACCAGGCTATCCCGGTTGTTCTATTTTTGATTTTGTTGTTGTTGTTGTTAATTTACGTCGCGACCTGCGCGCGAAGTCGAGCACTTTACGGTAGCACAGTTTAACGAGGACCAATACCGCACACCCTTGGTCCCTACGCAGACTGATCCAAATGGTCACCCACCCGCACACTGACCGTAGCCAGTGATGCTTGACTTCGGTGATCGGCTGAGAACCGTGTCTTAATGATCAGTCCACTGCGGGACTGTTTTATTTTTGAATTGTACTTCTGAAGAAAACCTTCATCACTTCAAATTAATCAATTTTGTCAATTCGAATTTTATCACTGTCAATTCAATATAAAAAAATTTCATCAGAAAATTTTCCTCACATGTTCAGATCGTCCCACGATAGCAAAGTGAAAAGTGTCATAAATCATGTCAAAAGTAGTTTCTTTTATACATAAAAACGCTTGCAACTTTTGAATTGTTCATTATACTGACTCGTATATAGTTTCATATGATTATGCCTAAAAAGAGAAAAAAACTTATGGAATGTCTTAATTTTGCAGATAGAAATATCATGCGTAGAGAGATCATGCGTACAAAACATACTTTTCGTGCATAAAACGCTTATATTATCGGATGCAATACCTCACTTGCCTGTCTAGAAAGACAAAGAGGAGAATAGGGACGTTTTCAAGTATTATTTATAGTAACGTAACAAAAGTTTTTTTTTTTTAAAAAATATCTTGAATATAAATTTTTCCGAAGAAGCACCACCCTTTTTTTCATTTTTAGTTACTGGAATAAAACACCGTGTTATACAAAATCCAATATTCAAACGAAATTGGTTTAATACTTTCAGAAAAATAAAAATCTAAAAATGCGACTTTTTTAACTTTTTTTTCTCATGAACCATTCTACTCATTTTATTTAATTCATATTTTGATTGCTGTTACATAATATTGTGTAATTCACTCATGATATAAATTTTGACTTGTTACAAAACAGAATTTTTCTAACAATATTAAATTTAAAAAAAAATTAAACAATTTTTTTTTCCAAGTAAACTCAAAAGGAGAAACTCCGTTTATTTATGTCTGACCAAACACTTCGGACCCCTAGCTTTCTAACCCATAACTTAACTTTTCAAAATTTGGATCTGCAATAGGTTTCCATTCATGACAAATTCTATTTGTGGATGTCTAGAAACGACTGAAACTGACAATACAGAGTTCCAGTTAAAATTTAATTACTCTAGCTAGTCTGACTTTTTTTTTTTTTATTGGGATAGATTTTTTTAAAGATAAAATAACGATGAAATGGGGTGTCATTGATCAGAAATTGTTTGAAACTTGCATTGGCATCATCAGGCATAGACGCGACCCTCACAGACACGAAAGCAAGTTAGTAAAAGCGTAGTGACTTAAAAAAACAAATTTAAACATCTTTAGCTCGAAATAGTCTCGAGAAAAATCTGCTATTGCTATATTTTGCTCAAAATGGTTTCGATTCTCGTTGTTAGTTTCAAAGATACAGTGAAAAATGTTTTTGCTTCAAAACATCGACTTTTAACTGAAAATGGGAAAAGAGCGCTGTTAATTCTTATTTTACAAAGGTCACACACGCACAATAAGCTTGTTTCATGACTACTTTGTTTATATATTCTGACATATTTGAAATGCTTATTTACTTATTTACATCACATTTACACTTGAGCAATCTCCTACTTTATTGAAAATCCAATTTTAATCAGAAAAATATTGATCTGTTCTTGGTTAAATACTTAAAATCACAGGAAAATGCATAACTTTATTTTTGTACTTGAATGTTAATTTCCGAAGAAAAAAAAAGAAATCTAAAAAACTAACGACAGCATGTTTTTTATCTTTTCTATCGGTTAATAGCACAAGTAAATGTGCTGATGAAAAAATGAAAAATGGGAAAACATTAAGCTCTGCTGGCAATCGAAGCTTCGGTTAAAGTACTTTGTCTGTGAGATTTTTATTCTGGTCGCAGCTCTAAATGCGTTTTTGAATGAACACAGCTCAAAAAGTGTGATTAAGAAAATAATCACAGCTTGAAATGGGTATTTCAGAAAATGAATACAGTTCAATAAGTGAGTTCAAGGAAATTGATACAGCTGAAAATGTGGGCTTGAGAAAATGGACTTGGCTCAAAAGGCGAATTTAAGACGCTCTGGCATAGTTATTTACGAAAATTGCACTTTATTCCGTTTTTCAAGCTTCCTATAATGCCATGTCGGTCATCGATTAGCTTTAAAATCATACCAATTTTATACGTTATTTTCTAGACAAAAACGCAGAAACTCAACCAAATAAACCTGTAGAAGTTTTTTGAGGATGCAACCTGGAAAAACATTCATTATCATGCTCCAAAAGTTGTAAAGTTTCCCATATTGTATTAACGAAAAATAATTTTGCAAGTTGCATTTAATAATTAAAGTAAAACTATTAAACCAACATATTTTTTTTTACCAAAATAATTGCTCAAAAATGCATTTTTTGCCCTTAATTTTTATTAGTCACAGAGAATTCAATTTGACAGAAGAGTTGATGTATTCAAGCATCACTAGTAATTGGTCGGCATTTAAAAGGTAAAGATGATTTTCAATTTATTAGATATTTAGGGAGTGCAACTGCACTTGCTTGACCCCCCCTCCCCTTGTACCCAAGTGCTCAGTAAAAGTAGTAAATTTAAGGGAAATGACACTTGAAAATCTTGCTGGTTCAGATTCAGGCATAATCCAATTACAACATGACGCTTGAAGGTACGATTAGCCTTAATTTCTAAAACAAAATTGCAGAAAGCAACAACTTAATAACAGGTTTTGATAAATTCATTCAAGGTACAGTCAGTCGAAAATTCCAATCCAAATCAAAATTCTAATTTTTCGAAATTAGCGTTAAGTGCTGCTATCATGCGGCCATTCGTTGAAGTAAAAATCTCAAGAAAAGTGCTGATAGTTTCTCAGCTGCTGCGTTGCGTATTTCCTGTCGGTCATTACCTGTCAAAAGAAAAGTTGGCAACATTACTGATGTTTGTGTTAACAGCTCACTTACAGATTTACCATCATGTCTGGAGCTAAATTTCAATATGATGAAAGTGGTACATTTTTCTATTTTATGCTTTCATTTGAAGCATTAGTTATCATTCCTTGCACATATTATTTCTATCCACGTAACACTGAACGTCGTAAGTATCTGTATTTTATCAAATTTCTTAAAAAATATCTTACAATGTGTGTTACCCCGTACTGTGCCTCTTTATTTTGCCGACGTGTAATAAAGTTTTTTCTTGACAAATCAAACAAAATTCCTTTCATACGTTAAAATAGCAGAATGATAAGTTATTTTACTTATTAATTGCTATTCAATTTCATCTCCATTTTATTTGTCTTTCTAACTGAAAGCTATATATACCAACCAGTGAATTGGTATTTACAGGAAAAATCGCTATTTAAACTTTAAAAGTAATTATTACAGATAAATTTGCTTTCCAAAGAAATATTTTCCTACTCTTCTGGATGATTGGGAAAATCTATTCTTTCTTTTTTTTTTTACATAAAATATCTTAAGCGTAAAATATTGTTTTATTGTATCGTATAGCAAATGTCTATTATTGTTATATCATTGCTAAAACAATTATAGATTATGAAATCGTATCTATATAATTTATGCGAATTATATTTTTTATATGTGTGGGATACATTAAACAATTAGTAAAACAACATTTGTTGCAAATTGATTAATAAGTAAATAGTCTGCAACAAATAAGGTGATAAAATATTTATTACAATATTTGTAAATTTCTAAATAAGTATTACATATTCATTTTAACTGTAAAAAAAAAAATTTAAACATACACTTAGTATGTATTAAATATTGGTATTAAATGTATGTTCGATAACTTTGAAAATTGTGAACTGAAAGTTTCATAATTTAGTAAATCTCAAGATATAAAGAAGATTCTTAGTTTTATATTGGAAAATGTAATTTTAACAATGATGAATGTTACTAAATATTAAGTGACCATTTATTATTTTCGATTTTGTTACTGTAATGACTATTTTGGTGTTTATTTGATTTACCAAATGCTATATTGATATGCAAACAGTGAAAAAAAATTTCCAATTAAACAAACAAATATTTATTTAAAGGAAAGTTATTTAGCACACTAAATTTAGAGAAAGCCATTAAAAGGTATCTCATTAATTTTACAACTATTAATTAATAATTTCAATGAACATTTAAAAATTAGCCACTTTTCCATAATTATGCTAACATAAAAGAGAATAATAATTTCAATGAACATTTAAAAATTAGCCACTTTTCCATAATTATGCTAATAAATTACCATATTGAATAAACTTCTATGTTACTCAACACCCCTCACATGAAAATAAAAATATCTAATGTTTTATTAATACATGATAATAAGAATATATCTTTTTATTGTACCAGTTTTTTTCTCTCTAACTCAGGATATACCTATAATGGTTCAAAAAATTTTCTGCCAATACCTTATTGGTACTACTCTGGTAAATACTAATTTTTTTACTATAATTTAAGATATTCGTGTATCTATAAAATATTGGTTTCTTAAAAAAATTTATTCTAAGTGAAAACAACGAAATTGTGATAGATTGTATTGATATCTGAAAATTCTCCTAGTATATTTTGATATCTAAGTTAGCTAGGAAATAGTTAAGTTAAAAACTTTACTAGTGACCAATGTTTTTAAATTTAATTTCTGTTTCAAAAAAGTGTTATATGCTTAAAATTGAGTGAAGGATTCAGTGTTCTCTAATTAACTTAATTCTAGAGTTAATATTTTATAACTCTAATCTTTGTCCATTATGCTTTAGGAGAAAAAAGGGATACCACTGTTTGCCATTGTGACAACTGTCACATTAAGAATAGTAGACTTCGTGCCCATGAACCTTATCGAAAAGCCAAAGAAAGGTTTATGTAAGTAGTTCTTTTTTATTAATTATAATGTAAATTTTTTTCACAGTATTTTAATATTTCCATTACTTTTAAATTTATTTCTCAAGTAATTAAAGTGAAGCATTCCCGGCCACAGCCAGTTGTGGGCCGGGATGTTCGTGAAAGATAAAACTCCACAATTTCGTGACAAACGACGTGATTGTGGCAATGTGATCGTCTCTGCACACATGCCGCCTTTACTTCCTAGACTAGGGGTGCACAACCTTTTTGAGTAAAGAGCCGCACTTGTATTAAGACATGATAATGACAAATGTAGTAATGTTTATTTAAACATTAACGTTCTGTTTTTTTATCAATAAACTTAGTAATATATTTGTAAAAAATTCAAAGTGTTCCATTTTTAGAATTCATTCAAAAATAAAGACTTATACTTTTTTTTACAAAAAAAAATTCCTATTTTTATCATATGAACAATAGATTTATCAAAATAAATAAACATTGAAGAAAGGAAATGTTTTGTTTTTTTTCTTATTATATAATACGAAAATTCATTTTAAAATTACGAGGCGCATCCAGAAAGTAAGTTTCCCTATTTTTTTTTTTTTTTTTTAAAGAACTCACACTTTCAGGAACATATTTATTGGCAACAAGTATAGTAATGTTTCAGTTATTTTTCGACATAGCCACCACCAGAATTGAGACACTTGTCGTATCGTGTGATCAACCTTTGTATCCTTCTGTCGTAGAACTCTGCCGCCTGTAATTGGAACCAGCGTGTGATAGGCGTCTTCAGCTCTTCGTCGTTGCCAAATCGCTCACCGGAGGACTGGAATTTCTTGAAGGGCAAGAAAATATTAAAATCGCTGGGAGCAAGATCAGGGCTGTAGGGTGGATGATCAAACAACTCCGAGCCAAATTTTTTCAAAACAGCTGCTGTGCGTCGAGCTGTATGTCATGGAGGAGCACAACACCTGCAGTAAGCATTCCACGCCCTTTTGTTTTGAATGGCACATCGCAATTTCCTCAGTGTTTCACAGTAACGGTCAGCGCTTGCTGTTTCACAACATGGTTCCATTCACAGACGGCAGAGTTCTACGACAGAGGGATACAAAAGTTGAACCCGTGATACGACAAGTGTCTCAATTCTATGTTGCTATGTTGAAAAATAGCTGAAACATTGCTAAACTTGTTGCTAAAAAATATGTTCCTAAAAGTATGAGTTCTTTTTTAAAAAAATAGAGGGAAACTTACTTTCTGGATGCGCCTCGTAAATTCAAATAAATAAAAAAAACTGCAATGCCCACAGAGGGAAAGTAGGAAAAAATTTAGTCATAATTAAGTAATATAAATTCAAATTAAATATTTTAATTGAAGAAAATGTATAGGTTTTAAACAAAAGCTTAAAATAAAAACAAAACTGTGGTAGTATAGGAAAATAAAATTCAATGCTTATTTTGTAATGTACTTTATTATTTCATTTTATTAATTATTAGATTTTTTANCGTATCTATATAATTTATGCGAATTATATTTTTTATATGTGTGGGATACATTAAACAATTAGTAAAACAACATTTGTTGCAAATTGATTAATAAGTAAATAGTCTGCAACAAATAAGGTGATAAAATATTTATTACAATATTTGTAAATTTTAAAATAAGTATTACATATTCATTTTAACTGTAAAAAAAAAATTTAACTTACACTTAATATGTATTAAATATTGGTATTAAATGTATGTTTCGTTACTTTGAAAATTGCGAACTGAAAGTTTCATAATTTAGTAAATCTCAAGATATAAAGAAAATTCTTAGTTTTATATTGGAAAATGTAATTTTAACAATGATGAATGTTACTAAATATTAAGTGACCATTTATTATTTTCGATTTTGTTACTGTAATGACTATTTTGGTGTTTATTTGATTTACCAAATGCTATATTGATATGCAAACAGTGAAAAAAAATTTCCAATTAAACAAACAAATATTTATTTAAAGGAAAGTTATTTAGCACACTAAATTTAGAGAAAGCCATTAAAAGGTATCTCATTAATTTTACAACTATTAATTAATAATTTCAATGAACATTTAAAAATTAGCCACTTTTCCATAATTATGCTAACATAAAAGAGAATAATAATTTCAATGAACATTTAAAAATTAGCCACTTTTCCATAATTATGCTAATAAATTACCATATTGAATAAACTTCTATGTTACTCAACACCCCTCACATGAAAATAAAAATATCTAATGTTTTATTAATACATGATAATAAGAATATATCTTTTTATTGTACCAGTTTTTTTCTCTCTAACTCAGGATATACCTATAATGGTTCAAAAAATTTTCTGCTAATACCTTATTGGTACTACACTGGTAAATACTAATTTTTTGCCTATAACTTAAGATATTCATGTATCTATAAAATATTGGTTTCTTAAAAAAATTATTCTAAGTGAAAATAATGATATGTTGTATTGATTTCTGAGAATTCTCCTAGTATATTTTGATACCACAGTTAGCTAGGAAATCATTAAGTTTAGAACTTTATTAGTGACAAATGTTTTTTACATTTAGTTTTTGTTTAAAAAAAAGTGTTATATACTTAAAATTGAGTGAAGGATTCAGTGTTCTCTAATTAACTTATTGCTAGAGTTAATATTTTGTATTATATTGATGTTTCCTCTAATCTTTGTCCATTATGCGTTAGGAGAAAAGAGGGATACCACTGTTTGCCATTGTGACAACTGTCACATTAAAAATAGTAGACTTCGTGCCCATGAACCTTATCGAAAAGCCAAAGAAAGGTTTATGTAAGTAGTTCTTTTTCATTAATTATAATGTAGATTTTTATCATAGTATTTCAATATTTCTATTGCTTTTAGTTTATTTCTCAAATAATTAAAGTGAAGCATTCCCGGCTACAGCCGGTTGTGGGCCAGAAGGATTGTGAAAGATTAGACTCCACAATTTCGTGACCAACGACGTGGTTGTGGCAATGTGATCATCTCTGCACACAGGCCGTCTTTTCTTCCCAGATAAACTGGAGCTCATCAATCTGAAGCTGGGTTGGCTTCCAGGGGATTGAGGATCGAACCCCTGTTGTTCACAATGGCAGCTCAGTGCCTTAAACATAGATTCATCTTGGCTCTTCGCGAATAATTATAGATAATGATGGATATTTTTTAAGAGAGAATTGTTAAATTACTTAATAGCAGGGGTGCACAACCATTTTCAAGTAATGAGCAACAAAAACTACAAAAGACAGTGTTGAAGGCCAACATTAACATAATGCTACAAAAATAAAAAGCGAGCAATATTTAGATTCTGTTTGAAAGTAATATGATTGAGTTATACATGACTGATCTTTTTCTCTTTCTCGCATGCAGATAATGAAATATAAAATATAAATAAGTTTGCAGAAATATGCTTATCAGATTACAAATCAAATTATTGTAAATTTATAGGCAAACGACAATAAAGATAATTTACATTTATCCTAAAAGTTAACTTTCACTATTATTCGGAAAATAAAATTTATTGCTAATACTATACAGTATCAGATTAATGTGATGACTGTTTGTTGCTAGAATTTTAAAATAATTTTTTATTTATTCTTTTAATTGATTTGTAAATAATTTCATCTGTCAGCAAACTCTGAACCCTTTGTTTTATTTTATATCCGTCGTTGAACAGCCCACCCAATTTTTGGGTTTACGACTACTAATGTTCAACTCCGTAGCCTTGTAATTTTTTTTGAACCAATCCAGACAACAAGGAAACTCCTGGATTAGTACCCCCAATGGTATTGATTTGTTATGGGAACATGGAGGACTTTGCAACTTGACAGATTTAACGTGTATTAGTCACCATTTACGACACAGGGAGTCTTCGATCGGCGAGGATCGAACTCTTTGACATGGGCCCAGTGCCCTGCCAGCCGCACTATCCTGGCCTTGAATTAAAAAGAACTTTTTTAATGAGAAATGAACTCATTCTGGTATTTTGGGAAGGCCATATACTAGTATTAGTAACTTTCTGTTATAGAGCATAGCTGCAAAAAAATTATTAAACACTTTTTTGTTGATATTTTTAGTTATATTATAAATAGTTTGGTGGCCTTGTAAAAAAAAAAAAAAAAAACTTTAGGGACCACTTTGGACCTGCAGGCTATAGGTTGTGCTTTCTTGTTTAATAGTATTAACAAAAAAAGTTATTTTTTAGTTCCTGTACTGTATGTACCGATTATTCTGTTTCATCTCCAAATTTTTTTTTATCAATAACATACAATTTTTTTATTGCAGAAAACTTTTATTATTTATTGGATGGGTCCTGTTGTTTCTAACTGCTTATAAAGTTGCTCATTTACAACATGATTATGTTGCATATGACCCTTTTGAAATTCTTCAGATTCCACCCGTAAGTGTTATGCCATAAAAATTTGCATTTGGTTTAATAAAGGAATATGGTAGTAAAATTATATTTTTATTTTGTCATAGGATTCCTCTATGGGTGAAATTAAAAAAGCTTACCGTAGACTGAGTTTAGTTTATCATCCTGACAAAGAAACTGGAGATGAAAAGCAATTTATGATGATTGCTAAAGCTTATGCCGCGTAAGTTATATATTATGTTATGTATCTTTTTTATTTGAATCATATGGTAAATAAAATTATGTGAATGATTAAATGGTTACATTATGTATATTTTTTAAGCTGTATAATGTTAACTAAATGACATATTTTTATCCTCTATTGTGCACCCAGAACATTAGCCCTCAAGTATTTAACCCTAAATTAAATTAGGATAGTAAAACTATTTTTTCTGACATTTAGTATAGTGACTGTGATTGGCATGAAACCTTTTGTACAAGTTTGCTGAAATAGTACAATAATTATGATTAAAGTTCTCTGTTTCAAATACTGGTGACCATTTAAAAGGGCAGGCTCCTAATTTCTATCACATCCATACATTTAACTTGTCAGTTGGTTTAAAAAAAAAAATTAAATGTGAAATTAATTTTAAACTGCTAGTCTACTATTCATGAAGACTCATTAAATAAAGATTATGTTTAGTAAGTCTTGTCTTCAGAATTTTATTGCTAATAATTTTAACAAAACACAAGTCACTGTATAGTACAAAGGGAGGAAAAAATCTAAAGTTATATTTAGCTAATAGATTATCAATAGACAATTTTCAAATCGTCTCAAGTCAAGTTTCTTCCCTTAAATTGTCTCATTTTTCTTTTACCATTTAATAAAAAAGAATCTAATTTTTATTTGCATTTCTTTCTTTACATTGTTCTTATACTTTACTGCAATGTATAGGAATTTGCAGATTTAGAAATTATTTATTATTAAAACTTATGTATCAAACTGCTAACATTTTTAAATTTTCCATTTGGAATTACCATTTTTCTTCTCTACCAACAACTTAATTGAGCAGCTTTTAAGGGAATAAAGTATCATTATAACAATTGAAATTTTTTTTTAATTGGACACAGTTGTTCTCAAATTTAAGACATTAGCAAAGTTAGCCTTTGATTTGTAAGCAAGATAAGTGAACCAAGAAAACTTTTTCAACAGACAAAAAGTTAAGAAAATGCAATGAAAATTAGTAATAGGTTCATTAAAGTTTCAGAACTGCACTAAAAAGTACCAAAATGTCGTACCGGCACATTCCCCCCCTCTACACCCATGCTTCTCTACTTTCAAATTTCTTAAGTAATCAGTTTGAGAAAAAAAACACTAACTTGCAATGTTATTCAAATTTATCTAAAAGTAAATAAATAAAATGAAAGATAAACTTATAATATGCTGGTTATGTGTTATAGTGTTTGCTATTTTTGCATCTTGGTGACAAGATGTTTTATATTCATGCTTGTGTTCATGTAAAAATGCCAATATCAATAAACACTCTTAAACTTTGGCATACATATTATAGTTATTACCCAAATAATTGAAAGTTCTTTACTTTCTCTTCTAAAATTACATTGAACGCATTGTATTTATTAATACAAGTTTTGTATGATATTCAATTGTCACTATTTTTATAAATTCTTTCCTTTATTTTTCCTAAATGTTTTTATAGTTCTTTTTTTTTTCATCTTTGATAAAATTAAAACAATTGAATCTGTGCAAATATGAAGAGAGTTGCTATATATTAATGTATTCATATAATTGATTTCTTACAATCTAGGTTAACAGATGATGAAGCTCGGAAAAATTTTGAAATGTATGGCAACCCTGATGGTCCTGGTGGTAAGTTTGTTTTAGGTCAAACTTTTTAAGGGGTGTTAAATTATTTGCTTTTTTTCTTTTAATTTTATTCTTAATTTTATATTTTAGCTACATCTTTTGGAATTGCTCTTCCTTCTTGGATTATCGAAAAACAAAATTCTGTTTGGGTATGTAGATATTATGTCTTTTTAAATTTATTTCGTGCACATTTCTAATTTTAAAAGACACTACAATTGATTTTATTTTCAGGTCCTAGGTTTATATGCCTTAGTATTTATGGTTGCTCTTCCTGTCGCTGTTGTAAGTACTTAGCTTGATATTCTATAGTTTTTGGTTTAAACTCTTAACTCATATTTTTGATAATTCGGTAATTTTATTTGTGTGTTGAGGTTGGCAATTTTACAAATGTTTCACTTAGATGTTACTTGGATCTTTTTATATTTATTATTATTTTCTTTTTATATTTCTATCATAGTGAACCTTAGCTACCTTTTCTAAAACTAGCATTTTCTCAAAATTATATGAGACTAATTATTATTATTGTATTTATTGCAAAAATGGAAATGAGTAATTTAAGTTGATTTTGTACTATTTTATGATTTATGCTGCTTTAAAAAAGGTAATTTTTAATTATACTACTTGTCAATTTCTAAGAACTTATAAAACTGATGTTCCGAAATTTCAAACATGTCACATTTTTGTAAATATATAGTGATAGAGAGCTTTTTTTTTATCATTTGTATTAATTGAAAATTCAAAGTTTTACAATGAATTTTAGAATTTTTTTTATAAAGATGAAAGTATTCAAGATTTAAGTAATTATTTGTTACTATTTTCATTTCATATTTTCTATATATTCTTTGTACTGTCAGTTTACTTTTTGTATATTATTAGTTTATAATTCAACAAAAAATTTATTTATTCTTTGTATTTAGAAATTTTGTTATTTCTCATTCACTGTGCTCAATTTTGTGCTTCCAGTTTATAACTATTCTTTTCATTCTTTATTTTTAAATAATTCTGATATCAGTTATCGCTATTTTGTTTTTCGCTAACTTCCATCATAATTTTTTTTTTATCATTTTTCTTTTCTTTTTTTTTTAAATTGTAAAATTGTTTGAAAATCTGAATCATTTAATCTAAAAAAAATTTTAATAATTTTTCTTTATGTTTAGTAAAGATTTCTTGCTTAGCTGTTTTTCTCTGTTAAACAACTAATTTTATTGATTAAAAAAGAAAAACAATTTGTTTCTTCCCATTTAGCCATTTTCTTAACTAATAGATAATAAGAAATTTTTTAATGACGTTCAGTTGCGTATAACTCTCATAATTTATATTCTTTAGTGTATTTGGTGGAATCGAAGTGTTAAGTACAATGGGGATGAAGTTTTACTTGATACTACAGAGCTGTATTTATTTTTTATATATAAAACTCCTTCGATGATATTTAAGAGTAAGTACCAGTTTTCTGATAGTTCATTGATATTTATTGTCATCAATATACTCTCTAACACCTTCTTTCAATCTGTTAAATTTTGATTTAAATTATTAGGAGTTCTTATGGTTATTGCTGCATCAATGGAGTTTCGTAAAACTTATAACTCTGAAATCATTGAAAGACCTAGTGACAATGTAGAAGTACCTCAGGTATATATGTTATAATTTTTATTAGTTCAAGTTCATTAATACTGCTTGATTCATATTAATGATAGACTAGTTTTTTTTTGTAAGGGAAAATAAAAGATGCTGGGTTTATAATTTATTTAAGTATAATTCACAGTCAAAATTTTCACTGAAAAATTTGCATTTACTGATTTACCTAATTAACTCAAAAAGTGCAATTTTAAAATTTTTCTGTAGAAAATTGCTATTTTTCTAGAACTTTCTTGTTTCACCCCATAATCATGGTTTGCAAGTTTCATTTAAGTTAATTTATGTCATGAAAAAGTTGATAAGTATTAAAATTTTTCTTCATAAAAAATTTGTTTTTTCACTTTTGAATTGTAGTAAATGTTATGCATAATTTATATTATTGTACTGAACTTTTGAATTGTAGTAAATGTTATGCATAATTTATATTTTTTATGAATTTAAAAATGTTAATAATATTAAATTTAAAAGTGAATCGCCTAAACTTAGTAAAATATTTTGTTTTTCAATAAACATCTCAGAAAGGAAATATAAGTTTTATTAAGATGAAATGTCTTAATGGCCATCCTTTTTTTCTTTTTTAAGTTCCTAGTTCTTAAAATTTAGCATCATATATAATTTTTTTTTGTTGAAATTTTTTATAGTGTAAAAGGTTTTTTTTTTTTACTATATGAACAGCTGCATTGAACTGTATAGATCCAACCCAATTTCATTATTTTTTAGATGATTTTCTGTCATGTGTTCAAATTTTTGTTCTGTTTTAACATATATTTAGGAATTTTTTATTCATAATCACTGTTCGTTTTTTTAATTAGCATCTATTACTGCTGCGCAATTAAAAAGACAATGTGAATGCTTCTCGATATATTTCAGGAAAAGTGCCTTGAGAGCTATTTTCTTTCTATTAGTAATGCTATTAAGCTAAAGTAGAATTTTAAAAAACTGATAAAAGAATATTTATTCTTGAAATAAAATCTTTTGCAATAATTATCGCATCATAGAAAAATGCCGAATACATAAATCTCAATTTTGAGTTTTTTGTCACTTATGGTGACTCTTATGATTTTTCTACTGCAGGGCAGTGTGTATATATGTTTAAATGCATATACAGTGGAGTTACTGTTTTTCGTCAAGCCAGCCTTAAAAAACCGCACAAAGTGAAATAACGCAAAATCAGAGTAAAAAAAAAAAAATTTAATTTATTTTTCAAGAATTGGCACTTACACGATGAACTACTAGAAGAAAAAAATTTATCTTTATATGTTTTTTGCTTCTAGTAATAATTTCAACAATATCCCTCTTAATACTTACTATTGTTTGCAAATTCCATTAGTCTCAATCATCGGGTGTAGAAAATAAATCATATCTAGATGGAATTGAAAAGTAATAGTGTTTGTGTTGCTGTCGATATACACGTCAACACCTTCGAAAGATCTTCAAACATGCAAATTTTATTCTGAAGGGCCAAAGTTTCTGTTTGATACTGAGAAGCAGGTTATCCCGAGTAGCTTGATTAAGTACAATTGTGATGTGTTTTAGTCAACACTGTCCAACTGAAAAATTTAAATTCAGAGCTTCCAGAACATTTACTTTTACTTTAGAATCATTTTAAAGGTCACCAGAATTAAGAAGAAGAAATTATTACATCACCAACTTACCTTACCAAGATTCAAATGTTGAAGTTTGCTGAAAACAATTCCACTCTCAAATTTTACAATTTAAGCTCCCATACCTCCTTTAACCACTCTTACCATGCTTTGCCCATCCCACCTTCCATCTGATTTTGACTGAATTGGGAAATCCCCTCTCACAGACCAAAAGAAAGTGACTTAGGCTAACCAAACAAGATAGAATAAAAAGAGTGTCTCAAAAGATTCAAATAGCTAAAGAACATGTCTCCTCAGAAAAAGGGGGGGCAGAAAACTTAGAAGAAGTTTCTGCAAGCTTTGGAGGGAAAAAATTTTATCTGTTCGAAAAACGTAAGAAGCCAGATTTTTTTTAATAAATATAATGTAAAATGCTGGATATTTTAACATAAGTGTAGGCAATTTTAACAGCAGAAAATGACGTAGGAAGCTGGATAATGTTCGAAACGGGCAACGTAAAACCAGGATTTTACTGTGCAATATAAGACTTTATATTGCACTATCTCAGTCTTCCAATGCATTGCTTAAAGAAATAAAAAATAATTTTTCTTCATAGTTCTGTTCCATATGCATCCAATTAGTCTCTTAATCAAACATATTATTGTGAGTTTTTTCACTATAAGTTCGACATACCATAGCCATACTCAATTTATGCATTTAAACTGTTGACTTGATTCAGTACAATTTTGATCATAAATAAATAAATATTTCAAAGTTTATATTTATGGGAGGTTTTCTGAATCTTATTTGCAATCAACTTTGTGACATTTTGTTGTAATTAAATTTGAAATTTTTTACATTAAATTTGCATTTATTACAAATATAAGATTATTTATCTTATTACTTTGTATATCCCATTACTTTGTATAAGAGCCCAAATTGTTTTGTTCTTATAGTTTCATGAGCATCAAATTAGTCCCCACTGACAGCTAAGATACTCCAACGCCGCTAACTATGCCCATTTTATGTGTGTGTGCATGCTTATTCACAATAATAATGCCTTTTAATTTGTTTAGTTGATCAAAGAAATTCCGAATCTGGGAGAAAAGAACAAAGAAAAACCATTGTGTTTTGTCTATAGTATAAAAGCAAGAGCTCTTCTCCATGCACATTTAGCAAGATTGAAACTGCCTAAAAATACGCTTGATGAAGGTTTGTTTTACTTGATTGTACTATTTTTATTTCATTTTATATTTATATGAATTCTAATTTATATATATACAGACCTGTATATTATCCGCAAACGCCACTCACGGAAAATTTGTCACCATCACGGACATTTTTTTACTGTTACTAAAATGGAAAAAATAACCTGGCTCTTCAAAGAAGGTTTAACTTTTTCGAATTACCAAGGGAAAAAAAGATTAACTTTTTTCTACCAATGTAACCCAATTTGAAAATTCATTCGTGTGGTTTAAAATCACACATCGAGATTCCTATTTACGCTCTTTAAGATCTCACATAGTGTTCCCACTAATTTGAATCAAGCATCACGTTCCATATTCACACGATTTAAAAACCTCTATTATTATTCGTGTTCAAGTGACTTAAAAATTGTGCATGGAAATTGGTATCCACCTGATTTTGAAATGAAACATCGAACTTCGTATCCTCACGATTTTAAAATCTAACATCGACATTCATATTATAGTGGTTTTAAAATGAATTTCTATATCCGTATTCACATTATTTAAAAAACACTCATTGAGATTCATACTCACACAATTTAAATAAGTAAATTTTTGCGTCAATATTTTTATTAAAATGTTGATCACATTTTGTGGATAAATATTTCCTACTTACGCTTTCTCCTGCTTAAATTCGGGAATTTTTCAGTTATTTAAAGTGTTTTTTGCATATAACATTTTTGGATTTCAATTTTCAACTTTTTTGGTTTTTTACCAAGCTCCTCTATGAATCAATATAAAGTTCTATAAAAATTAAACATTTTAAAGAAATCAGTGATTTTCAAGCGCACTTCGCCAAAATGAGGCCGTGATGAAAGTATTGAAATTAGTGGTTACCAGAGTTAAACAGTTCGTGCAGGCAGTTTTTTATTTGAGATTTTGTGTTTGCAAAAAAAATTTACTTTATGTAACTCTGTGTATATGTTAATATATATGCATTTTTTACTAGATCGCCTTTACATTGTGAAGAAAACTCCAAATCTTATCTATGAATTTGTAAATTGTGCTTCTCAGTTGACAATGCTCGCCTTAGCTGGAAGAAGTTAGTATTGTTTAATTATTCAAGGTTGATATATATCATTTAAGTTTTGCTTACTGAATACTTGTTTTATTATTTAAAGCATTTGGTATCCAACCTCCACAATTACTACAATTATTCCTAATCAATCCGCAATTACTTGTTTTTCTGAAATTATCTGGGAAAAAAAATTTTGAAGCTTTTGTCTTAGCGTTAAAATAGTTTGAGAATATTTAAGAAAGAAAATAGTGTGATGAGAATATTTACAGCATAATTGAAGGCAATCTATTTGACTTAAAATTCATGAAAATAAATAAAAAAAATATATTTATCATAGTACAATAATGTAGTCCTAATAAAGACAGTATCTCTTCTTCCTTCTATTTCTTTCTTGTTTAGGTCAGGAAAAGAATAAGAAATCACTTAACTTTTTTTCCTAATGGAAATAAACAACTTAACATAGTTTAATTCTATGAGAAATTTAAAATGAAAGAAAAATGGAATCCTGTTTCTGGTTCGTTAAATTAATCACTCCATGTATCATTTATTATGTAGTTTTGAAACAAGTGTACATATAAAATTATTTGCAATTTCCTTTTCCCCTTTCAAATGTAAAGTAAAAATTAGCTTCTAATATTATGCTTAAAATTTTCCCCAATACTCAATGTAAAGAATTGTTTTATTCCATTTAATTTTGTTTATTTTTACAAATAAATTTTTTGAGGTTTTATTACCATTGATCAAATACTAGTATTTATGCTACAAATTTGTACTAGTGGTCAATTTTTATAAAAGTCAAAAAGATATTTTCTGTTTTTAATTTGAAGAAAATTTTTGATTTCTGCCATTTGTCTTGTAAGCTATAATTTTTTTACAATTTGATGCAACTGATATACGTGCCAGTTTGATGCAACGCTAAATTGTCGCCACATTGTTAAAGTTTGCAGCTGGAATACCCTGGCTATTCTCTGCTAATTATTAAGTTCAAAAATCCATGGCATTAATATTTTATGTTAGAGATATAGTCTTTAAAAAAAATTGTATTGAATAACGGGCTAATTATTACATTGCCACCACTTGTTATTCTAATTTTAAATACGGTCAAAGAAATACAAAGAATACGTTTCAAAAGAAAAGTTTAAAATTATCTGAAATGTTTATCAGTTCTTTTTCTCAATGTTCTCTATCACAATTTAAAGCAATATTATTGAATAAAATTAAGCACATCGTGATAAAGCATATTAAATTTGTTCAAAAAATTTATATATTTCTTAAAGAAATTATAAAGCTTAACTGTACAGCCTTCAATATTAAATTCATAGCAAGATTTATCATTTCTAAAGTTCTAGCTAAAGTGGCATTTTTGCTCACTGCTAACTTCATGAAAATATGAACAATTTTTAAAATATCATAAGCAGCATATATTATAAACAGCTTTTCAATAACTAAAGCCATAAATGAATGTAGGGAATAAAAACTGATTCAAATTTATTTTCTGAAGAACACATATTCATGTGAAGTAGTTTCAATGATATCCATATATCAAGAGTAATTTAAATACAAAAAAATATCAGGGAATTGAGGCATCAGAAATGTCTCTTGGTAACATTTTAAATTTGTATACCCCTTCTTTTCAACACTAAAATTAACTGTATTTAGTCAATTGTGATAGCGAAAGTCTCTCTTACAGGAAGATATAATCATTGGTCGAATAGCACAAAAATTTTATGATATGTAGCATATTCGGTAATCTCACTGAACATTATTCGCTGCTTTCTTCTTCAGCATTGGAGTCAATGATAGTTAAGTGAACATAAACTTGAATTTTGCCCACTGTGCCAACACAACATCCACTTCTTTAAAGAGATTTGAGTTTAACTGCGTGGAGAGTTTATCTTCGCTATCCCAAATTCAAAAAAAAAAAATATTTCTTTGAACATCCAACCCAAGGCATTATATCAGTTAACATTAATCGCAATCTTTTTCGTGATGCACATCTTTGCATATTTAATTAATAACTCTTTCACAGAGTACTATTGCTTTTCATTTTAATGATTTGTCCACAGAAAACTCACAGCTCAAGAAAAAAGGATAGTTTGATTTTGAACACAACATTTTATAAGACAAAACTTACTCGCCATTCTTTAATAGCTGGTCACAAATGATGTTTATAGGGTTTGCACTCTGTTAAATCAGTTTGTTTTCTTTTTTTTTTAAATTTACATATATTCTTCTAAATACTTGATCCTTTTGTTGATTGCATTTATAATACAATCTTATTTCTTATCTTAAGCATGAAATGTAACTTAAATTTCTTAAAGGAAATAGTTCAAAAATTTTTAATTATGATTTTTCAATTTCATAAGCTTTAACTTTAAAAATTAATGGAGTTATTTAGATCTGTTTATAATAACAGAATAATTCAGTTTGGGTAGAGATTGTAAAAATTGTCCAAAACTACTGATTTTAATAAGATTCTCTTAACCAAGAAGTGCACAGTGATGAGAGACTATATTGAAAGGTCAGAACGTCACCTTTTTAGAACAATTCCTAGCATGGTTTCCTAAAAGAGTGTTACTGTAAATTGCGATGGTGTGCCCATAACAAGATGATTATAGAACTGGAATTATTGTAAGAAAAGTGTTGAAATATGGGTCATAGGCTTAAGTAATAAAAGCTTTGTGATTGTATTTCTAGTTTCTAATTTTTTTTATTTTTATGTTTATTTATTTTTTACTATTCACTTGGTGTCTGATATTTTATATGTATGTTTAGAGAACTTGAAATTGAATATTTTTTAAAACAAATAATAAACTAAGTTATTTGTATTTCTTTCTGAGAAATTTTTTTTTCTATTATAGATTGGAATCGTTAATTAGCATATGGCAGTTTGCCATTGTTACTTTTCTAAACCAAGCATATGCAATAAATATTTACTAATATTAACAAAGTTTTTAAACCATATTAATAAACATATTTTTATTCTCTTTTATTAGTATCTCGTATGCCACATCTTGAAACTATGGAAAATGCAATGAAGTTGTGTGCATGCGTTGTACAAGCTTTGGGTCCAACTAAAAATCCTTTACTCCAACTTCCTCACATATCTGAAGAAATACTTCATCATTTCACTACTAGAAAGGTATATTATTNCACTTTTTTTCCTTTGTATTTAAAAAATAACAACTGATTGAATCGAGAGAATTATTTTAAGTAAGAAAGAAATATTCATGCGAATCTTAAAAAAGTTCTTGAATCAGATTAAATAAGTCTCCTACTGGTGGCTGAGTCAGCCAATCTGGTATACTCCCCATACAAGCTATCATCAAAGCGAAAGAAAAGGAGACCTCTTCATCGAAGCCACCCTCCCTAAAATGCTCTCTTCTTGTTTCCATAGCACCAGACTGCCACAGACTTTGTGGCGGACAGAGTACCTATTGTAGACAAACAGTATGTATGTGATATGTCATTATACCAGGTATACTAATTTTTCTGTAGTTTTGCAATGACATAAATAGCGCCATTTTGAAGGTTGAATCTTAATGTTTATTTAAAGTTACTAACTCCTGAATTATTTAGAATTTCTTTAATGTCTGCAGCTTTTAAAGTTCTGGCAAAATATTTTTTTATGTTAATGACCTGGCCCTAATTTGATGTTAATGACTTTCTGTTTATGTATTCTATAAATAGAAATATTACCTTCGTTTTGTTTTAAACTAAGTTGTGTAATTTAATAAAAGAATTGTTATTATTTTCTTAAAATGTAAAAAAGTGATATAAAAACATTTGAAATTTTGGTGGAAATTATTATTTGGTAGTATTACTGCCATGTGTTGCTTTCTCGTAACTTGCCTTGGTTTCTAGTTTTTTGGACATGTTAGTTAACTAGGGTTAAACAAACACAACCAGCTAAAAAAATGATTGATATTGTTTCTCATTGTTCTGCACAACTTGTTATCAAAAATTGTTTTTTGTTAAATATTTGTACCATAGTTAATCAGTGGGACTTTTATTTAGGAATAATATAAACTTGTTAGGATTCTAAATTTAGCTTAAAATAAACAAAAACCCTTGTGAACTGTTCATTGCCATTGTTCTGTCTTTTTATTGTTAAAAATAGTTTTTGATTAGTACTAAATGCATGTGATTTTCGCTGTATATCATGTAACTGTTTATTAAAGAACAATTTTGCAATTTCAGCGCAATATTCGGAACATTAGAAGCTTAGCCTGTATGAAATCTGATGATAGAAGGGCCATGTTACGAAGCTTAAATGATGATCAATATGATGATGTATTAAATGTTATTTCTAATATGCCTATAATTGATGTAGATGTTAAATCAGAAGTTTTAGATGATGAAGATTCCTGTGTGATAACAGCTGGTGCTATTGTAACAGTTACTGCCTCTCTTAATCGACGCAACATGTCTTCATTATTTGATAAAGAAATGGATGAAGAAACTACGAATACAGTTGAAGAAAAAGTAATAATTATTTTACTTTTAGACTTAAAAGAAGTAAATCAAAATTAAAACTTGGCAACAATTTACTGTATTCACTTCTACTGTAGTTATAGTTTCAACAAATTTCTCACAATTATGGTTTAGAAATGATGACTTATAGTTCTGACTATGAAATTATATTAGACTTAAATTAATTATATCTGATTTTGTTTATTTTAATTTGTAAACTAATTTTACTATTCGGAAACAATACTTTTTTTCATATAAGGGGATTAACTTATTTCTCTTTTTGTAAACGGAAGCAGTTTCTTTAATAAGCTTATGCTTATTATACACTATTCGTGATTTTTTTTTTAATAAAATGAATCATTTTAAGGTTGCTTTTATATTTACCAGATATGTATCTTGTGATGCATTAATTAACGTAAGAGTTCACTTAAATAAAAAAAAAAGTCAGGAAATTTTATTAAAATACCAATTTGTCAAATGTTGAAAAGTAAAATATTTTTAAAAAATTACCTTTTAATAGTTTTTTTTTTTTTTTTTGTTGAAATATTTTTCAATTCTAAAAGCTAATGTAAATGTTTTGTTGTCATCATCAGCACTGGCATGACATTCCTTTATATTCCTTTTTTAGAAGACTTTACCCAGAAATTGATCTTCACTTCTGAGGTGGCTAAGCCTCCAATCACTCGGTCTTTCCATCTCTTTTTTTGGTCTCTTGGTTGAAGGGGGTCTTATTAAACACTCTCAGGGCTGTCCATTCTGAGCTCATTCCTATTGGGTGTCCTACCAATCTCATTCTACTTTGTTTTATCAACTCTATAATATCCTCACTTTTAAAAGTTCTATAAATTTGAAATTATATCTTTTTCTATATATATTATTATTGAGAACAACTCCAAGGATGAATCTCAAAACCTGCCTTTCAAAGATTGCTTAGATTTCCTCCTTTTTCATAAAGGTCTCTGAGGCATGAGTCTTTTTTATTAATGTAGTGAACTTTTTTAGTGGTCTTGTCTGAATTTCCATTTAGTTCGTTTTAAACGGCTATAGTGAACAGCTGAGAAATTGGTAGTTTGGTTATAAGTGGACTCCAATTTCATTTTCCCAAATTTTTTCCAGTCCTCCAACCTTAAATTTGCATGTGTCAAGACTGTAAGTGACACCATTCCTTTACATTGTGTCATATTTCAGTTCTATATATGCTTATTGCTTTTAACTATCATGAACACGTTAAACAGCAGATTCTTCTCATGGTATCTCCTCCCCAGGTATAGGAACGATCCTCTTTACTTCCCAAGCTTGTTCCAAGACTAGTTAACTTAATTCTTAGAGTTCCCTTATCTCTACAAACCTTATTCTTTACAAATCACCCCTTGAAAATCGAGATTGGGTAGAATTTAACTCATATTAAAGCTGCTGTTTTTTTTAATTCTTACATTATCGAATTAAGAGAAGACTTTTATTTTAAAGGAAGTTATTTGAATGTATTTGAAAGGAAGTTATTTGAATGATTGGAGTAATTTGAATGTTGCAATGAGTTCTGTAAAAAAGAAAGCATTTTTGACTTAGGACAAAGTTAAAAATATCTAACTTATTTAAAATGGAACCAATCAGCACTGTAAATTTTCCTTGTGAAAAATTTATATTTTCAAACCTTTGGAAAAATCATAGATACAAAAAAAAATATGTTTCCTTTGAGAAGCTATTTTGAAAATGCTCAGGAAGATTCAGCGGGATTGAAATCTTCCTGAGTTTCCTCGCAGTCCTATTGAATGACACCAACAGCAATTGCGAACCAACAGCAAAGGAATTGAGAAAAGAAAGATTCCAATGTGGGGGGTGAAGGTAATTTATCTATCACTCTGTGGCAGAATATTCAAGTTTCCTCGGGGGTGTTACTGAGCAATTTGAATGTTGCAATGAAGAAGTGTGCACTTTTGGTACCTCTACTCTTTCTTTGGCTTTCTCCAAAATTAAACAAAAAGAGGAAGCTAAGGAAGAAGACTTATAAAAGAAAATGAAATTTCAATACCATCTATGTTTAAAGTAAAATTGGCAGTAAATATCCTGCATTATTTTAATCTTCTAGATAAAAAAAAAATTTATGAACTCTGCTTAAAATCGAATTTTGTTCAATCCAAAATCGTTAATTTCTTTCACAGAATGCAAAATTTTAACCAATTTTTTATCTAATTTTTTTAATTATTATTTTATTATCTTTTTAATTAGTTAATGATTTTTTTAAAAACAAATTATGTAAAATTGCAATTTTTGTTTTCAATAATTCAACTGTCTTATGCTAAAGAATATTTTTCAAAGAATTTGAATACAGTGACCCATTGTTTATAATGAACATACTACTGGGTCTTCTGACAGTTCACTATAGTGGGATATGACGTTGACTTTTACAGCAAAGTCTTTGTACTTTTTGTTAAATAGAATTTCAAAAGTGATCTTAAACTGAAGAAGCAGCAATCTGCTGTGATAATCTTTTTTCTGATTTTAGGATTTGTATCATTTTGATAGTAATGTATTTATATTCATGTGAAGAAGGTATAACTGAATAATTAAAATTTATTTCACCAGTTTCAAAAATCAGGGAAATTTGATAAAAATTAGGAAATAGTCAAGGAATTTCTTTTCTGATTGTTTACGAATACCTTGATTAAATTCATCTTTTTGTATTTTAATGTTATTATGGAGGATTATCTTTACTACTAAAAAAACTCATCTCTGTTATTATGGAAAGGTGCATCTACAAAAAAACTTCCCAACATTTAGGCATCCATGCATTTAGAAAATCATGACAAAAGATTTTTTCAAGTATTCCAAGATAAATCCTCCATTATTTTCAAAATATGTATATTTCCATCTAAAGTTTTCTTTACATTGAACTTTCTGATAAAGATATAAAAAAAATTAATGAAGTTTTAAAATACTGAATTGTTGAGTTTTCGGTTTTAATGAATATTAAGCTATGTATGCAGACCTCCTATTTTTTCTATCATTATCTTGGTACCCATCTTTTTTTCCTATTTTTATATTGTTTTGATTGTTGTAATAGTTTTAAAGTAATTAGTCTTCTAGTTTACTTGAAGCTTAAATCAATTATAGTTATATTTCTTTTTTAAGTAAGGTTTGTTGTCTCCTGTTGATTGGTTATATTGAATGTTTTTAACTAGTCATAGTTTGTAAATGTTAATACATTGTTGGATAATTATGAACTTTTGATTCTTATATTAATTACTATGATTTTTTTCATTTCTTTTTCATCAGCCATCTAGTACAGTTAATGGAAATGGTTCTCCTAAACCAGCAAAGCCAAAAGTTTGGGAAAAAGCTGGAAAGAAGAAAAAAGGAAAAGGTGGGAATAAACTAAAGAAAAAATCCTCTAATGCTGTTTCTAAAGCTTCAGTTCCAGCTAAAAAACAACAGGTGAATGGTTCTCTGCCCAATTCTAAGCCTGTAAGTTTTTTTCTAAGCCTTCAGTGTCTTATTTTTGAAGATATTTGTGTATTTCATTTTGTTATACTGGTGCTATGCTGGTAAGGTAATTAGATTAGCATAACTAATGTTGCATGTATTGCAAACTAAGCACTTGTAATAAAGCTTGTTTAAACTTGTATTTTTTTCTCTTTTTCCAGGAAGAAAAAGTTAATGCAAAAGCATCAGATGAAAGTGGTGGAGAAAGTGACTCCGAATCAGACCATAACAGTGCAAATTCAGTATCAGGTGATGAAAATGAACCTAGCGTTGAGAAAACTGAAAAAGAAGATAAAGATGTAGAGGATAAAGAATGGGATATTTATGAAAAAAGACTATCTAAAAAAGAAGTTTTAGAATCTAAGTCTAAAAAGTCTCATAGTGTCCATTGTCCTTTCTTTCCTGATGTAAGTTTTAAAGAACTCTTAAGAAGTTTTTAGCAACTGTTGCATTCTTAACACCTTTATATTCTTTTAACTTTTTTTTTAATAAAAGGTAAGATTTTATAGGATTAGAGATTACTAGTAGTTTTTTGTTGTAGTTTACCTGAAAATATCAATTGTGAAAAATAAATTATTCAATTCATATTTAGATAGTATATATAGTCAAATCTCAATGTTTGAACATTGAAGGAAATAATGTCAAAAACTAGAATTGTTAAAAATCACTTATTAATAACATGAGTTAGGAAGAAAAAAAATTATATATTGTCGTGAAAATCAGTCTATTTCTATGACTGAAAATATTTTATTGAAGAATTATTTATAAATTTGAATTTTATAGCCGTACAAATGTAGTTTAAATATAAAATTGATAATGCTATATTGTGACTATATTCATTTACTAAAAAATAAATGGTGTCAACAAGATTTCATCTTTACCATTTAGAAATTGCTAAATCTTTTTTATATTTATTTTGATAAATACCTAATTTTATTTCATTTTTACTTAATTTTTTAACATTGATTTCTTTGCTTTTCAGAATAAACAAGAGTTTTGGTGGGTCTATGTATCTGATAAAAAGAAACACTCTCTTATCACAGCTCCTTACTTGGTTACAAATTTAGTTTCTAAAGAAAAGGTAAACTGCTTGATTGCAAATAATTTTTATGTATTCAATGTAAAAAAGTATTTATAATAATTATAACAAAGCAATTATATGATACAAAGGACAACATAACAAAAACAATATAAATTTAATAACATCCTTCATTAGCAAATTTCTTAATTTTTTATTATTTGTTTTAGATATAAAATTAACAAACGTTGTTTCTAAGTATTTTGAAATAATAAAAGTTCATTTAAATTTTAATATAGTTTGTATTTTAACATCAGTCAAGAGCTTTTTCCCCATTTACCACTTTCTATAAGTTATTTCACATGTACTTTTAATATTTCCTGTTGATTTGAAGTTTCTTTGTATAAATCTTACGAAAGTAATCCTATTTTTGTAAAAGTAATCCTATATTTATTTCTACTGTATTGTTTGGCGCAGCATGTCCTCTTTTGGACTTTGTGCCACTAAACCATACATTCAATCCTATATTTATTTCCTATTTTAAATTTCAAAATAATGTTTTATTCCATGTTCTTTCTATTTAACATTAATCAGGTTTTATATTTTTATTCTAAATAAATCGGTCATAAAATTAGCTTATTTATTTTTCGCGTATGTGTTTCCAACCGGATTTGGTCTGTGTGGTATTATCTTAAAATTAAAATATTTCATCCTGAAGGCAAAAATATTCTAAGAATTAAAAAATCTGATATTTGTTATTTAAGTTCTTTGTACTCGAAGTTAATTCTTAATTGTTGTTTCAAATGTATTTTGAAGGAAAATATTTATTCAATTGTACAGTAGGCTTTTTACTATCCAGTTTCTCTACTATCTAGCCTAGTAAAAAAAAAAAAAATGATGTCTAATGGATCTAACTGCTTGTAGAATCCATCTTGGTAGATGATAGAGATGGAGAATCTAGAGCAGGGGTCTCCAAACTTTTTTGATCATCGACCCCTATATAATTCTTCAAAAATTCCATCGACCCCCGCAAAAGTAATTTTCTGTTAATTAAAATAAAACAATATTAGATACTGTGTTTGTACATTTATTTTCTGATTTTAAACATTTATTAAAGTAATAGTACATTGTGTAACAATAGTTTTATGAAAAATATATTAATATTGAAATTTAAATACCTTATTATTAAATAATAAGTAATTATGCATAAGTAAATATAATAAGTAAAGTAANTAATTGCAATAATGAATAAGAATATTTGTTTTATAATCAATATTAATTAGTTGAAAATATAGAAAACATTAAAATTAAAAAGTTCTTTGGTAGAAGATGTATAGACCAAAAGACCTCATAAGTGGAATGCTCAAAAATCGAGAAAAGTACACATGCTTTTCAAAAATCTATAACTTCGTCAAAAAAAATCAAATCGATTTGAAATTTTTAGGGCTTACATAGAACGGTTGAAATAACTATTTTCTATTAACATAAAGTATAAAAAAAAATTTTTGCAAGTTTGGCAGGTGTTCAAACTTAACACATTTTTTAACCATAGAAACAACCCATGATGAAAAGCTGGATTCAGTTCGCAAAAAATAAAGTATTGCAATTTGATCATATGTAACTAAATGTAAAGGGTTCACTTTAGAACATATCAAATTTTCATGCAATTTGAATGATTTTTCGCAGTTCTATGAACATTTAAATTTAGACCATTTTTTCGTAGATTTCAAAATTTTCGCAAACTTTTGACCGGTAGTGTACTTTTACTATTTCCTGTTGATTTGAAGTTTCTTTGTATAAATCTTACAAAATTAATCCTATTTTTGTAAGAGTAATCCTATATTTGTTTCTATCGTATTGTTTGGCGCAGCATATCCTCTTTTGGACTTTGTGCCACTAAACCATACATTCAATCCTATATTTATTTCCTATTTTAAATTTCAAAATATAATGTTTTATTCCATGTTCTTTCTATTTAACATTAATCGAGTTTTATATTTTTATTCTAAATAAAACGGTCGTAAAATTAGCTTATTTATTTTTTGCGTATGTGTTTCCAACTGGATTTGGTCTGTGTGGTATTATCTTAAAATTAAAATATTTCATCCTGAAAGCAAAAATATTCTAAGAATTAAAAAATCTGGTATGTGTTATTTAAGTTCCTTGTACTCGAAGTTAATTCTTAATTGTCATTTCAAATGTATTTTGAGGGAAAATATTCATTCAATTGTACAGTAGGCTTTTTACTATCCAGTCTCTCTACTATCTAGCCTAGTAAAAAAAAAATGAAGTCTAATGGATCTAACTGCTTGTAGAATCCATCTTGGTAGATGATAGAGATGTAAAATCTAGAGTGTTTCTGAAGCAGTTCTCTGTACATTATGATTATCATCTAGTTATCACTTTTCACATAAGTGCTGATTTTTATTATGACTTTTTTACATTAACCATTTATCTTAAAATGTGTAGTTACTTATATCTTCAATTGTTTGGGAAAGGGGTGTGTAAAGTGGAACTTTGTCCTGTGCAATTATTTTGTCAATTTTTCCATTCAGGAGTCTGGTGTAATTTTTTTTTTTTCTCCTCTGGTAGTAGTTTAATGTGAATTGTTCAACATATTGATGCAAGTATAGTTGTTTGTAGGTTTGTAAAATTAAATTACGAAATTATTTTTGTTTAAAAAATTAAGTTTTCACCTAATAAAGAAATAAAAGAAATTTCACTGACAACATTTTTGATAAAGTTTGTCTACTAGACTGTGGGAAATACATTGAAATTCTATTAAAATTTAAATTTACGTGCAATAATTAAAAATCTTAACTCAAATCTTATGAGAGCCGATTCTTTTATCAAAAAATTATAACATGAAATAAAATCCAGCTTTGATCCCCTTGTACTCTTGTCCTGAAGGCAGTGTTGCCAGGTGCTGATAACCGTTCACCCCCAGATGGCATTGTAAAATCCCCTTAAAAAATTTTTTAAAAAACCAAAAATTTTTAACTTAATGTATAAGTATTAAAAAATAGTACAAAAGTTAAATAATGTATAGAAAACGTTGCTTTAATACTTATTATTATCAACAAATTAATCTTTTTTACATTTCAATCGTTACATTATCTTTAATTTCTACTAAAATATTTAAGATATTTTTTTCAATACTTTTTGACTGGTACATTTTTTCATAAATATTTTATTATCTACGATGTAGTCTTTTTTAATATTTTAATTCTAACATTATGCTTAAATTTTTGATAAAATATCCAACATATTTTCGTCAATACTTTCTGATTTGTAAATGTTTTCGCTGTTAAGCATTTTTAACGTGGAAGAAGTAGATACAAAATCCTTTACCCTTAAATCTTTAAACTGCTTTTCGTGTTCCCATCTTTCTTGTACGTTTGTACGTACTTCTTTTTTTCTTTATCCTTTGGCATTATTTTTAAACCATGCACATTAAAAATTTTAAATAACTTGAAATCAAATTCTCCAAACGTACTAGTTGATCGAGCTAAGTAATAACCTACTACATTCAACAAAAGGGTAACGGTCTAAAATTATATCTTAATCTTTTTGTTTTGGTTTAACATATTGATTTTCATATTACAGTCGAGCTCGGATTTAACGAGGGAAACGAGAATATTTGGTTGGATCAATGTTAAGTCTATGGAACAGAAGTCGCTTTTAACGAGCAAGACCCGGTTTTAGCGAGCAATATTTTTCTGTCTTGCAATCTTTTTTTCAAAATGATAAGAAATGCGCCCGAAATTTTAAAAAAAAAAAAAAAAAAAAAAACACGAACTGAAACTTCAAAGTAAGCTAGGAAACTACTATTTTAAATATGTAGATTATTTAAAATAAATGTTTTGGTAAGAATCTTTTCCTTTATTTTTCTTTCCGTTTATTGCTTCATTCCTTTAAGACCGTAGCGCAACTAGAAATTTTTTGCTGGTTGGGGGGGGTATAGTTGTCATTAAATTAAGAAAAGTATTTAATTTAAAGTAAGTAAGTATTAATTCAATTTTATGTAAACTCAATAATTTGACCTCCCAACCCCCCTCCCTCTTCTGGTTGCACGCCTGCCTTAAGGACCCGTTTATTACGAGCACTCGGATTTAACGAGTACATGTTACGGTCCCTTTGTGCTCATTATAAACGAGTTCGACTGTAGAAGGTAGCCAAAATGAAACTAGTAAAATTCACAAATAACCCTAAAACAAACCCCTAAAAACCAATTTCCCTAAAATACCCACTGAAGATAAAAAATCCCCCTAAATTTAGGGGGAAAACCCCTAATCTGGCAACACTGCCTGAGGGGTATGAGTTCCAAGATCCCTTTCACCTTTTTATTTTGTTTAGCAGGCTTATTTTTGAATACTATTTGTTATCTTATACATATATTTTCTGCTTGTGCTCACTTTTTTACTTTTTAATGCTTAATTTATTCCTTAAAACTAGGAAATATCTCATTGTGTAATTAATTGGTCTGATTCTTCTCCCTTTTTTTATATCCATTGTTTTACATTTTTGCTAAGAAAAGCACTCTATAACTTTTTATCAAGCAGTAAAATTTTGTTCTTATTGTATGTAGTTTAGTCACACTTTACAGTGTTTGAATACCTTTCTTTTTATTGCATACCCTTAGGTTTTAATGGATTAACTAAAGCTTACTTTTAAGTGTGCAGAGTTTTACACGGTATGGCAAGCTCTGACTCTTGTACTTTTAAATTCTGCCTTTATTCCTTTATGTGCTAGAGAAATATTCCTTTGACATTGACCTAAAAATTTCTCCACATCCTGTTTGAATAAGATTTCCTTTTATTGAATAAGCGTCAGCTATGATAAATAAACTGAAGCTAACTTTGAGTATGTTGACTTTGTCACAAAACAGCAGCTCCTGGCTCTTGTGCTATTTAATTTTATTTTTCTCTTATATTTAAGGGCTTAAGAAAGTAGTGTTAGATTGATGAAATCATAATTTAAGTGTGCATATTTTTAAAAAAAAAGATACACATTTTCATTTTATTTGCTCTTTTTTTTCTGTTATTTACAGATTGAATTGAAATTCACGGCCCCACCTCGCCCTGGTATCTACACATATTCAGTAATTGTTCGAAGTGACTCTTATCTCGATTGTGATGTTCTGAAAACAATTAAGTTAGATGTGAAGGAAGCAAAGGAAGTAGACTTGACTAAATTACAATGGGACGTCTCCGAGGAAGAGGAAGAAAAGGATGAAGAAGAAAGTGCTGTTGAGGATTCTGACTTAGCATCAGACATTGAGTCTGATGAAGACTGAACTGTGGGGAACTATATATAATATGGTGGTTAAAAAAGACAGCTTTAACTTTATTGTGCAAGCGCTGGAAGCTTTTGAATGAATTATATTATGAGAGAAATGTCAAAAATGAGGAAGAAAAAGTTTTAACATTTGATCAATTTTTGATTGCAATCTTTTTGTGTGGATTTCTCAAAGATGTTTATATAAGCTCTCTTCAAGATGAATTTTTTATTGAAATAATGTCAAAATTGCATGTCCTTCCAAAGTTTATAAATTTTGTAATTGTATGGGAATAAAAATTTTCTATATTTTTAATCGATAGCTGGTAAAGGCAACTTAAAACAAATATATTAGCAAAAATATATATATATATATTGTTTTCTATTATTTATATACTCACTGTTATATTATCTCTAAATTGCATCAATAAGTATTTAAAACGTGTTAAAAGGTTTGTTTTTCTTTTCTTTTTTAAAAAAAAAAGAGTAAATTTATTTTTTGAAATTTAATCTTCAATCATATTCCTTTTGTATGAGTTCTCATATTGGTTTAATTGTTAAAAAAAAGTTTCATAAATTCTCATCAAATGAAAATTATTCTCATGTGTGCTGATTTTATTTCTTTGCTATAAGTTGTACATATATTTAACCTATTATATTATCTTCAGCAATTGCTGAATTTAAGAAAATATTTTTAAAAATGCTTAGTTTGTAATTATTTTTAACTGCTTAAAATTTTTGTAATATCTCCCATCCTAAGTTTAAAGCAAACTAATATTTGTTTCAAATCTATAGTAAATCTACGGAAAAGGATTTCAAATATATTTTGTAAAAGTTAAGTGTACAAAAACTTAAAATATAGTATTATATTTTTGTGAAATGAGTGTCTTATTGATTGAATGTTAAATATATAGTTACCTGAAAAATTTATTCTGAACTTCAGTTCATTGTATTAAAGTTATTTGATAATTTCTAGTGAAATATAAATTTCTAGTATATACATGCTTTCAAAAGTTTTATATGGGGAAGTACCTTTTTGTAATTTTCTATACAATAAAATAATGATTAGCTTTTCAATTCTTTAGTAAATTTAAACTTAATTTGAATTTTACGGACATAATTTTTAATATATTGGCCAAATATTGTAAGAAAATATGTAAGTATAGTAAATAAGTTTGTCTTATATTGGGCATTTGAGTATTGTTTGTGACGTCTTATTTATTTATCTCTTAAAAGTTTTAAATAAGTCAACTGATAAAAAAAAATAAAACAAATGCTGGTTGTGAACAAATAAAATTTTCTATGTTTTGCGTAAGTGGATGCAGTTTTTTTTTTTATTTTATTATTATTGTTTTAATTTTGTTTAAACCTTAAAATACTTCTTTAATTAAAGTTTTATATTTACATGCTTGAAGATTTTTTTTTGTATTGATTTTAAATTGAATAATATGATTCTGCTGAGTAATGAGTGACTGTTGGGATATTTAGTTTCTATTAGTTATTGATTCCATTTTCATTTTGAAATTCTGAGTGTTCCACAATAACTGCCCTTAAAATTTGTTTTTAAATTTCTTGTCAAAAAATGATATCAAGAAAGTATACTCATTAGGGGTTGCACAATTAATATTTAAGCAAAGAAGAGAAAGATAGAATGAAAACCATCGTCGAAACCTGTTGGAGTGTCTGATTAAACATAGAGGTGTTTCAAATAATTGCTTTTCTGCTTCCTCTAGCAATCACCCAAGCTTTGATGTGTTCCGTCCTTCTTTTCTTAGTAATGATTCAGACTTCGATAACATTTGTATTTTTCTTGGTTTAATAATATTTGTGACCCCTAATGTCTATACTTTATAAACAAGGATTCTAGAATTATAACTTAAGGGTAGTCATAATGAAACACTTTGTATATCGTGATGTTTTTTTTAATAAAAATGCAAATTTAAGCTTTATTTAGTTTCATAAATATATGGGGTTTTTTTTTTCATGTTGCACAAATTCGTATGAGTAAATAACTATCTGGGTTATTATACAATTTATTTAGAATTATATTTATTGGAATATAGTTTAATTAAATTCATAAGAAAAAACATTGCAAAAGTTCTTTATGTAATAGGAAACTTTTTAGTTTATATATATATAAATATATGTATTTCCTCGTTCACTTTTTAGTTATATTTGTCTCGTTGATCTAATATAAAAGGTCTTATACAGATTGTGCAAAAAAATTGGTTGGATTATGCACAAAAAAAAATCAAAAAGTTTTAATCAAACCTCTCAATTCAGTTGCAAATATTAATCTTTACTTAATTATTTATAAATTGGAATTACAGTTGAGCATATCTCACAATATGAATTCAACTTTTACTTCAAATGTTATTACAGCCACACAAAAAAAACTTTACATAAATTTTATTATTTTATTGATTGTTGATATTACAACTGAAAATGATCTATCTTAGGTATATTAATTTTAAAAAATAAATATACATTGTGATTTTATTACATTTTAGTCTTAATATCTAGTCTCTATTTACTTTCATTGCTTTTTATTCAAATCGCTTGAAGTCAATGCTCTTTTTTTCTATACTTAGTTGAAATTGTTTTTTCTCCCAATTCATTTAAAAAATTACATAACTGAATTAAAAGTACTAAACTTGTCATTTTTATCTTTTGTTTAAAATTTTGCATGTTTAAAACAATATTGTTTCATCCAAATCTGTTATTTCATTATTTAATTGCAATTCTATAAATNCCACCTGTTGTATTGAACCCTGGAAAAGGGGATCCTGAAGGTCTTATACAGATTGTACAAAAAAATTGGTTGCATTATGCACAAAAAAAAATCAAAACAATCAGTGTTTTAATCAAAACTCTCAATTCAGTTGCAAATATAAATGTTTACTTAATTATTTATAAATTGGAATTACAGTTGAACATATCTCACAATATGAATTCAACTTTTACTTCAAATGTTATTTTAGCCACACAAAAAATTAGCATAAATTTTACTATTTTATTGATTATTGATATTACAACTGAAAATGATTTATCTTAGGTATATTAATTTTAAAAAATAAGTATACATTGTGATTTTATTACATTTTAGTCTTAATATCTAGTCTCTATTTACTTTCATTGCTTTTTATTCAAATCGCTAGAAGTCAATGCTCTTTTTTTCTATACTTAGTTGAAATTGTTTTTTCTCCCAATTCATTTAAAAAATTACATAACTGAATTAAAAGTACTAAACTTGTCATTTTTATCTTTTGTTTAAAATTTTGCATGTTTAAAACAATATTGTTTCATCCAAATCTGTTATTTCATTATTTAATTGCAATTCTATAAATTAAATATTTTATTTTGATATCGTGTATGTACGTTGTCTTTTCCTCACTATTGATGTTTTAAAAATTTATTATATCATTTTATTCTGACATATTAATGTTTAAGGCAACCAAAAAATCACGTTTTTTTTTTATTTTTGAGTGATTTAAATAGTATTTAATTGATTTTACACAGAAACTGTGGCCAATGCTTTGAATGAAAAATGTGGATATCATTGTTTGAATTTTTAATATTATTTATTCTTTTTATAATATATGCATCAAGCATTGGTTTCATACTCTTAAGTGTATATACTGGTTGTGGGATATTCCATAAGTTTGTAAAATGCAATGAGGAATAAATTATTTTCCACACATGTATTTTTTCTGAATCAATAAGAGTCCTGCAGTGGGCTAATCTTAAAGACAGGTGTCCCAGTAGAACACCGAAATCAAGCATCAGTGGCTAAGGTCAGTAAGCGGGTGGGTGACCACTTTGATCATCCTGCATGGGGAGCAAGAGTGTGCGGTATCGCTCCTCGTTAAACTGTTCTACCGTATATAGTGCTCGACTGCACACACAGGTGGTTGGGCTACCAAAGCTGGGGAGGCTCAAAATTGTGATGGTATGTCTTCGGATCATTTTCATGGATGTTTCCCAGGCTGTCACCAATAGCCCCTTGTGCAGCTCTGCAGCGTAAATGAAGTACCTACCTGAATCAATACGATTTAATTGGAAATGTGAACACAATAAATTACCCCAAAAATTTAAGTTCTATCATAATAGTATGTAAAGCTAAATATCAATTTGATTCTGCAGAAAAGGACTTCAATTCTTTTAATTGTAGTTTTAAAAGAAAATCTTCTTCAGAAGAAAAGTCTTTGGAAAAAAAAGCATAATTCATGCTTACTTAAAAAAAAATTTCTCTATATATTAAGGATAAAATTGCTGCCGTCGTCATCGTTATTTAAAGTTCAAAAAATTATATAAATATTTTTTAAATATCTGATTTTTTTTTTTACATTTACCAATCAAAGTAGTTTAGATAAGATAATGTATAAAAAAGAAATATTATAAATTACTCTTAGCAGAATACATCATTTTTCATTCTATATATATAAGTTTTAAAAATACTTGTATTTCTATAAGTTTTTAACAAAAAGGGTTTAATTGTAATATGTTTATAAGATAGCAGCTTATTTTACTTACATCTAATATAATTATTGGAGTTTCACATCACTTTTATGTTTACTTAGTTTTTTTTATAATTATTTATTTGTCTATTTCGAACATCAAATACTATTTTACATATAATACCCTGACATTATTTCTTCAGATAAAATCTTCAAAATCAGTTTTTAAAAAAATTCCACCTTTAAGAATATTTATAAATTATATTTAAAAACTTTTCCTGTACATGTTATTTTTATTATTAACTCTAAATTATTAATTCTATTTCTATTATTAACTCTAAACATGTTATTTTTAACATTGATATGTTATTTTAGTTTTAAGACAGGTGAAATGAATGAAGTAAGCCACTGCGCCTTTAAGTGAGCTGAGATTGCAAAGCAATAAAAAAAAACGGTAAGCAGTTCCAAGGCTGGTAATTGGTGGCGTAGCCTTTAAAATAATTTAAGTAAGCAAGCCTTCAGTCGTGGTGACATGGTATAGAGCATTCGCCTTCCAATGAGGTGAACCAGGTACGAATCCTAGGGGTGACTGGTCTATACGAATTCCGCACCCAGCTCGCACCAACCACTGTGCTGGCGTAAAATATCTTCAGTGGTAGACGGATCATGGGTTAGAGTCCCCTTGGCGTTAGACTAACCATGGGAGATTTTCGTACTTTTGCTCTTCATGTAACGCAAATGCCGGTTAGTTCCATCCAAAAGTTCTCCACGAAGGCAAATTACTCCCAATGCATCATCCATAAGTTCCCTTGTCCTCTGGATTGGATTCAAAATTACAAGGCTACCGAGTTGAACATTAGTAGTCGTAAACCCAAAATTGGGTCTGCTGTTCAACGACGGTTATAAAATAAAATAGTTAAACCTTAGTTTGTTTGTTTTTTTGTGCTGCGTAATTTATCGAAAACTATTGGCGAACGAATTATAATTTCTTGCGTGCATGTTTAAATTAAGTTTAATTTTTTATTCCCTTTTTTTTTATAGTTATGTTTTCTAGAGTTTGAGGATGAACGTGATGTTCAGATTTACTGAGGAGTAAGTTTGTAAAGTTGTGTATTCTATAAAATGATTATCGATCCGCTATAATATCTTGATTTGTTTGCCTTTCTATCTATATATAGACGCTATCTATATATAGACGCTTTCTATAGATATTTACGCTTATAAGCGTTGCCGCAGACGTGTGAAAAGAACTGCACAAGCAGTTACGAGGTTTGGCGAGTGATAACGAGCAAAAGACCTCTAATGAGCTATAAAAGATAATTGAGGCATTAAATAAAACTTGTAGTTCAGGCAATATAGGATTTTGCCTGAAAAAGATTAGTGGGAGTTTTTATTAGATAGTATCCTTTTAAATTAAGGTATCGAAATTTAAAGTATGACTTGTAATATTTCGATGCAAATGAAAAGTTTAAATAACACTCTACCAAATTAAAAAAAAAAATGCATATAAAAAAAGTTTTGTTTAGCATAAAATTTAACTTTTACTAATAATATCCTATCCAAGGTATCCTAGTTTGGTTATAATAAATGTTTAATGTGTTTCCCTCTGCTATGAAATTTTCGAAGCTTAAATCATTGCACTGATAAATGCATAAGGATAAAAAAGAATGTCTGAAATTTAAATTCTTTGAATACAGAATGAATGATTATGTCATTTTGTAAAGCAACTATCCTCCTGCACTCTCCGCAGGGGGTTTACCTTCTTTCGGTAAACAGAGGGAGTCACGCCCTGGAGTACCCTAGTGATCTGTCCTTTACTCCTACTTTCTCCTTTTCTCTTCCCCCTTGTCGTGGTTGCCAAGTTTAATGGTGAGGGCTTTTCCTCTATGTTCGATTCCACCTGTTGTATTGAACCCTGGAAAAGGGGATCCTGGCAGTTGTGGGGCATTGTACCCCAACACACTGCTTTGGCCCGTGCTAACGGGTTCTCAGTAGATCACCGAAATCAAACATGGCAGCGATCAGTGAGCGAGTGGATGATCAATTCGATCAGCCTGCGAAGGGACTGAGGATGCACGGTATCTTAAGCTGCTCTAGCGTAAATTGCTTGACTCCGGCTAGTCGGGCTATCAAAGCAGGATGGCCATCCCCTTCGCAGAGAATCGAAATTGCGATGGCATATGTCTTCGGATCATCCTCTTGGAATGTTCTCCAGAACTTCGCTCATAGCTCTAGAGCGATATGTTTTAATCGAATCAATAATAAGAGATGCGCTTACTTACATTTTTGTTTACGTACGTGTTTTGCACAACCTAAAAATCAATCTTCAATCTGCTTTCGTCAAAATAAAAAATTCAGTCTAATCTAATGTAAATCGAATTTAATTTTTATACCAGAAGCTTTATATGCTGTGCGTCATAAAACTCGCTAATTCTCTTTTATAAAATTAAGTATGAATTATTAACTACTTACAACTGTAGTTAATTGTGTCTATTTTTCTCAGAACATGTGTATGCCCACACCGCGAAACTTCGGGAATTTTGTTAAAATGACCAGTAAGTGAAGATTTTTATTTTCAATGCCTGCCTGGGGATTGACCTATGTCATACAGGCATCTGAAGAGCAGATTTGTTGGTCACTTTTCCAGGGGCACCATATTAGGTGGGCCAACGTTGCTCCCGCAGTAAGGACAGATAGTACAGAAAAGGAAAGAGTAGTACAGAGAGAATGAAAGAACATCCATGCCTTGCCCGGGATTCGAACCCAGAACCTTTCTGATGAAAGGCCAGTTCCCTGACCCCTACACAGGTCGGTCGGCTCCAGTAAATGAAGATGCAAGCAATGTTTTAAAAAAAAAAGATCCTTTTGTCGGGAATCCGTCCGTAAAAAAAATTTTTGTGATTTAATATACAAATAAAAAATAGTGAGAAAAAATATAAATTTTTTTAGCATTTCTTTTTTTTTTCTTCTCAATGATATAAGCAGATCAATGAATAATAATAATGCACGGATTCTAACATATTATAAAATAGTGCTTACGATATTATAATTCCAATCCTAAAAAGTATTTCATAAAATATTTGAATAGAAATATCGAAATAGAAAGCACAGTTTTAAAGAAGAAAGAATATATTTTATCTTAGAAACTTTCTATCAATGATCCATGCGCTCCACTTGCAAAATTCACTTTGGGATTAAGTCTTAATACTACTTAATCAACTCGTATTAAAGAAGGTTTAAATTTTTTTCTAATGAAGACTTTTTTCCATTAATCGATTATTTATTGATATTTTAATTATTATTGGATATTGTTAAGTATTATTTGATATTTAAATTACAGTAATAGTTATTTTTTTTAATAAAATAACAATGGTCAAAATAATATTTGTAAATAAAGTATTTTAATTTGGATTTGGATGATTTTCTTAGAAGTATTAGAAATAAAAAAATTGTTTAGTACCTTGCACAATTGAAAAGTATGATTACTTACAAGAACAGTGAAAAAGTATCTCCTCAGAGAAATATGTATGAATATCTTTAAAACTTATGACAGTTCTTTGAACGGAAAGCCAAGATCTGCCTGCTGGACAATTTATTAAATTAACAGTTATTTAAAGAATTTTGTCAGGCTTTTAGGCCTCTATTTCATAATAATAAAAAATACTGTTACTAGAGTTAACAAATTTTATTGTTTGTTATTTTTTGTTTATAATGTCTCATCATTTCTACAACACGAACAATATTTGCATAAACAATTTATCTTGGGTGAATAGGAGCGAGGAACATTTGTCAGGAACATTCCTGAGCGAGAGAGTGGGGGATTTTCTGGTTAAACTTGAGTTCAATTGTAAGAGTAGCATTAAATAATAAATAAGTAAATGAATTTAAACTCAGTTGAGTAGAAGTGGTACATTACTTACGTCGCACTAGAGCTGAACAATGGGCTATTGACGATGGTCTAGGAAACATTCCTGAAGATGATCCCTTGAGATGTCATCACAATTTTAACTTTTTGAAGAAGGGATGGCTACTCGCTTTGGTAGTCCAAGAATGAATGCTGCACACCCTCGGTCCCTTCACAGACTGATCAAAGTGATCACCCAACCGCACAATGGCCTAAGGCAGTAATGCTCGAATACGGTGAGCCGTGTTTTACCATCAGTCCACTGTGGGACTTGAACTCAGTTGAAAGCAGCAATATTAATGGTAGGAAGTCAGTCAAGACTGACTAGTCGATCCTGGAAGTCTGTAATTTGCAATAATAAAACACTTGGCAGCGAAAAGAAATCGCAGATACGGTCCCGAAACGAGGTGTACATATATATCTGATTCTGCGTAAATATCTCGGAGGAATTATATGCAGTAAAAACGAGCCCTGAAAATTATTAGTTCGCATGAAATATATCAATAGTGATTAAAGCCAACTGCAAGTGCTTCACTCTATGATGATAGATTGATAAGACTGAATATTATCAATTAATCATAAAAACCATATTTACCTAGTCGTGCCGTGCATTTTTAATCGCTAACGCTAAATTTAAAAGAGAATGCCGAATATAAAAGTGTTTAGTGGTACATCGCACCCAGATTTGGCACAAAAAGTTGTAGATCGCTTAGGTATAAATCTAGGAAAAGCTGTGCTAAAAAAATTCAGTAACAAAGAAACATGGTAAAATACTGTTTTTCAACTTTTCAGAACCATATTTCTAACATAATTTAACTTTTTCTTGTCTTATGTTGTGCCGCCTAATGTCACATATCATGAAATATCAAAGAATGGGAAAAATGTAGTTTACTTAATTAAAGTTTTCAAAAGCGGTTAAGGTTGTTTACATTTAATTTTTTATAATAAATAAAGAAAAAAATTTAATGGTATTTTTTGCCTTGTTTTGTCGTGGTTCGCATTGCGTCATTTCCTTATCACCTATTAGTAAATACACAATTTGCTATTCTAATCTGATCGGAATCTGAAATCTGATGGAATCTGAAAGGCTAATCTGATTGGATGGAAAAAAATAATAAAACTATGAATATGTACATCTTTTATAGAAAGAAAAAATCTTAATATTTGTGATAATTAAAAAGCTATAAAGCTCATAATGATTCAGTTTGTCAAAAATATTTGAGATAGCAATTTTGCATTGCACAATATGGTGCTAAAAGTCTTTGTACTTCTTTTCAGTGTATCAACAATTACTAACCATTTTAATCAATTATGTCAACTATTAATTTTAACCTGATACTAATCCATTATTTCATTTATTGTATGATGATTATTTTCTTAATATTTTTGTTCCTGGTATAAAAGGAGATTTATTATATTGGCAACTGTTATTTAAAATATATTGCATTCCAGGTTCATTATATTAGTTATTTTAAAGCAGCACTTCTTTTTCTGTTAACCAGAGTTAAAATAAATTTTTCAAATATTAAGAGTAGCTTTTTTTTTACTTTACTAAGTTTGTAAGCATGTAGTAAATTTATTCCTAGTTTTAAAATGAGTTTAAAAAAAAAAAAAACTTACTCCAAAGTTTTTGCCATATTTTTTATTCTAGCTAGAACATTATCTTTTTTTCTTTTAAATGGCTTTTACTCTTTACTCGCACAAAGAGTAAATACTGCACATTCACACACACACACACGCATAAATATTTTTATATATACCGTATATTCCGACGTATAACGTGCACTTTTAATGCAAAAAATAGCATTGGAATTTACTGGTGCGCGGTATACGCCGAATATAAAAAATTATAGACTAAAAAAATTTAAATATTGAAAAATACTTTTATTTTAAAGAAATAACATACCTTTACCTACATACTTTCTTGATTTTTGTTATTACATAAATAGTTCATTATATTCGTCTTCCGTTGTTTCTTCTGGCACGTCATCACAATCTGTTTCGTCTTCATCATCTGTGTTACCCTCATCTATAAATAAACAGTCATGTTCTGATCCGCCCAGATTATTTGAAATGCTGCATTTTTTGAATGATTTTCCAACCATCTCAGGCTTAATTTCATCCCATACATTTAATATCCATTCGCACACTGTTTCCAAACTTGCATGACACATATGTCCTCCTTACGTAAAGGTTTTCTTGCCCTCCAACATCCAAGTGTTCCACTGTTTTTTTAAATTGGCTTTAAATGGTTTGTTTAAGCAGACGTCCAATGGCTGAACTAATGGTGTCAATCCGCCCGGAATAACTGCCATATCGGTGTTACATTCTTTCAACAATTTTTTTGTATTATCTGTAAGATGGTACCTAAACATATCCCACACTAAAAGGCTTTCTGGTTTTCTATTGATACTAGACGAGATATTGCACATGTACAATCCAAATTTTCATGCGCGTTATACGAAGAGTATATCCTAAAATTTATTAAAGTTATTAGGAATTACGGGTGTGCATTATACGCCGGGGCGCGTTATGCGCCGGAATATACGGTACTTGTAGATTAAGGTTGAAAAATGTCAAAATTTTAACATGGACTTGTTGGTTTGCAAATTGCATTCTTGAAGCTTTTTTTTCCTAAATATGTCTTTTTATTACAGATATTAATGAGAATATATGAACCTATAATTAATATGTCAGAAAAAAATCAAATAAAAAACATTATTTATTTGCATCAACACTTTTATATACAAAAAGAAGAATTATATATTGTTAACAAAAAAGTAATATATATATAACACGAATTATTTATCACGAATAAAGCATTGATACAGTTAATATAGAAAGTTATGAATAAAGTTTTATTATTATCAAAAGTTCGATGGATATATTCAATACAAAAACAGATTAAACATGTAGCGAATTTATACCCTAAATGTCAATTAGGTTTTGTAATTTCCGTTTATTCACAGAGTATTTGTATTAAAAAATAAAGTTTTTTTTATTGGGTATGGAATATCCAAAATGATTTAACTTTGCATTTTTCTCTAATCTTTTTATTATGCATTTTAATTTTAGTGTAGAGATAAAAGAATCCGTGCGAGGAGAAGATGTTTACATTATTCAAAGTGGATGTGGTGAAGTTAATGATAATCTTATGGAATTGCTGATCATGATAAATGCATGCAAGATTGCATCTGCTTCAAGAGTGACAGCAGTTATACCATTATTTCCTTACTCCCGTCAAGATAAAAAAGATAAAGTAATTACAATTAATCTAAGTTTTTCTACTATTTAAAAATTATATACTTTATTTATTCTTCAAGAAATCATTACTAATCATGAAATTTTTGTGATTGATTGAAGTGATTTAGAAAAAATTTGTGTTAATTGACGTATGTATATTGAACAAATTTGAATTTTAGAAACATTAAGTTTTTTAATAAGGATTGTTGAATAACTGGGCATAATTTTTTTAATATTATCTATAGCACTAAGAAAATTGCATAAATTTAAAGGTTAAAGTTATAACTCATTCATAAAATGCATTTATTGTATTCAAATAAATTTTGTAGTTAAGCTGATAATAAGGAACTTAATCCAAATAGAAAAATTTTATTTTTTTAAAAAAATGTAACTATTAGTTCCTACAGTACACTATAGTATTTTCCAGGTACAACTTCTGCATGAAAAAAAAAACTATACTTGAGATATAAAGTAAGTAAAAGTAATGTAAAGATAATTAGGGAAGCTTTTTAATTTGTAGATGGCTGCACTGAAAGAACAGATTCTTTAAAAGTTTTTTTTTTTAAATTTTTATTTTATTTATTACTTAAAAAGAACATTTTTATTATAAGTTGACAATTTTGTAAAGTGCTAGAATTTCTGAGTACTGGAATATTGCTATTGTTAATCTGGTGCTAAATGCAAAAAAGACTAATATCAAAATTTTAAATTTTTGAAAACTAAACTGGTTTATTTACTTTTTTTTTGAAAAAAAAAATCTTGCATTAAGGTTTTTTTCCCCTTCAACTTTTGTCTTATTTACATAATATTGCTTCACAGAGAGCAAATCAGTATGAAATTATCTGTTGATGTTCATACTGATAAAGGTAGAATCTCTTTTAGCTGGTTGGATAAGTTTTTGTTAAATATTGACTTTCCTTGTCTGTGCATATGACCACAGAAACATTTGAATAATTTAAAATCAATGTATGGGATTATATGTATGACACATTAAACATCACATAATTATGTACAAGTATAATTAAGAGTTTAATTTATTTTAATTGAAACATACGTAAGATTGCTAGAAACTCCAGAATGTTCTTTTGTATTTAAGACTTATACATGTTAAACAGATTTGCTAATGATCAAGGTTTCCTCTACTGAATCACATTCTTTTGGACAAAATGGATTTTTTTAAAATTATGTTTGTTAATAAATGCTAACTGAAAATTATTTAGGTATTGAAAATGGAAAAAAAAATTATTATTGGTAACAAAAAAAAANAAAAAAAAAAAAAAAAAAAAAAAAAAAAAAAACTTTACTCATACTGAAAACTTTTTTAATAGATTATTATTTTTCATTGGTTATTGAGAAAAATGAATGATATTATTTATTATATTTCAATTAGTTTACTATTTTCTTCAGCTTCTAAATATAATGCATTTTTTCAATTAATATAAAAAAAACAGGCAATTTATTTTTTGAAAAATAAAATGTAAGTTTATACGAAAAATAAAAGTTGTTTTACTGAAAATTCACTATTAAAGGCAATAAGTCTTTAAAAGTTGCATATACCTGAACAAATTGAGTAACAGTTTATCACAAAAGACAATTTCAGCATATATTTTATTATTTTAAGCCAAGATTGCATAGATTATTATTTTGTTTTATTATCTTTCTTTTTGTAATTATTTTGCTTTCAGCTGAATCAAAGTGGAGGAGCAAGTGCAGTAAGTAATTATTCTGGCGGCTATCATTTTAATTTTACTGTTCACTGTACCTGCAGCTTTTGTTTGCCTTCTAACTACATAATTAGCATTTTAAAAGCAGCTTTATGATTTTTTGTATATAGATGGATTATTTTTGTTTTGTGTTTTAAATAATCGCATTATGTTTCCAGTAATTAGTTGTGTGCGGTTTCAAAATGATTAAAATGTTCTTAAAACTTTTTCTTTTCATAAAATATCTGTGTTTTTTAATTTATTTAGGTAGCTAATAACACATTTTAAACTATACACTTTTTTACTCATATTAGAACTAAAGATTGTTCAGATTGTACTGCACTATATAGTTAGCTTGTAACTAGAGTACATAATGTTTACATTTTGCACAGTATAACTAACTGACATAACAAAAAGAAATGAGCCATAAAAAGAAAACAAGTCTTTTAAAGTATTAATGAGAATTAAAATAAATGTGTAGTTTAATAGGACAAAAAACAGACTTGTTTTCTTTTTATGGCTCATTTCTTTTTGTTGCTCATTTAAACAATTCTAATAAAGCAATGTGAGTTTTCACTCCCTTTATTTCCCTCACAAAAAAAAAGTTTTTTTTTTCCATTAAAAATAATTGAGAATTATAAATAATAGACTCAGAATGTTTTCCTGCACAGAGTAAACTACTCAATATTTTAATAAAATAATTTTTTTTTCATCATTTAAATTGCCCTTTTCGTAAAGTTTAATTTAGCATAGCTTTGCAGTCTAATTCTAGAGCTTGTGTGACGTGTACAGTGGAACCCCTGTTTTACGTTGCCTATTATCCTGTTTCCTATGTCATTTTCTGCTGTAAATTGCCTATACCGATAATGTTCAACTGTCCTGGATTTTGCGTTATTCTTTTTAGGAAAATCCCGCTTTATACACTAATCTAACAGACCAAAATCATTTTTTCTCTACAAAGCTTGCTGAAATTTTTCTGAGATTTTCTTTTTCTTTTTTAGAGATACTTGTTTATTAGCTGTTAGTATCTTTTTTGACTTACTTTCTATTCTATCTTATTGTCCTTTTGTCTGTGAGAGTACATTTCCCCTCGAGTTAAAATCAGTTGGGTGGGTAGGTGGATGGACAAAGCAAGTGGATTGTGGTTAAAGTTATTGTGGGAGTTTAAATTGTAAAATTGGCGAGTTGATTTTTTCCAGCAAATTTCAATGTGGATCATCCAATCATTTGAAGAACTTTACACAATAACTGGTTAGGTAATCAATTCTTTTTCTTGGTGCCGGTAATCTGCAAGATGTTTCTAAAGCAAAAATAAATGTTCCAGAAATTCCAACTTTGATTTTTAAAACGTTGGACAGTGTCAACTGAAATGCATTACAAATGGGATTAATAAAGCTCCTTGGGATTAATAGCTTCTCGGTATCTAACAGGAACATTGGCCCTTTGGAACAAAATTGCATGTTTAAAGCAACTCACATCCCCTAAGTTTTCAATATCTGATTTAATGCCTGCTCAACATAAAAGTGATGAGAAAGATGAAGATGAGCTCAAAAAAATATCGGAGGATATACCCACAACTGATCAAGTGTTTAAAAACATGAAAACTCTGAAACATTTACGGGTGTAAACCATAAAGCAAATTTGCAAACAATAGTAAGTAATGAGAGGTATATTTTTGTAATTGTATCTAAAAACAAACAAAAAAAATTAAAGATTACATATTTTTTTTTAGTAATTCATCTCGTAAATGTCAATTTTTGGAAAATATATTTATTATTTTTACCCTGATTTTATGTTATCCTGCTTTGTGCATTTTTTTCTTCTTTCCAAAACGTAAAATCGGGGTTCCACACTGTATTTTCTGCTTTGTACCTTGTAAATTCAATGTTCTGGTAACATTCAAATGTTTTTAGTAACAATAAATTAATTTTGAAGTTTTAAGTAATAAATTAATTCTAATAAATTGGTATCTATCTTTCTATCTATTTATATATATATACATATACAGTGAAACCTGTTATGGACACTCCTGCAAAATGGACACCTCTCAATACAGACATATTTTTAATTTCCCGGGTATCTTCTATGAATAAGCCATTAAGTACATTCTCCACAAAGTGGACACTCTTGTAAAAAAACTATTTCTACTTTAAATTGCAAGCTAAAAAATTGCAACTTTTCACCATTTTTAAAGCATGTAAATTTTTTGCCTTAACCAAAAATATTGTTAAGCTATTTCACTACTGAGGAATCAAACTTTCTCTTGTCACCTTGCCTTATCTTTGTAAAGAAAGGAGAGAAAAATGATACTCCTCTCCTGAAATAATTCGGACACTGGCATCTTTTGATCTTTTCATCTGGACCACACGTGTTATGAGACCCCTCAAGTTGAAATGACATCTTAAATGCTCTCAATGCTTCTTCCCCATTGAAAATTTCTTTAATTTTCTTATCAATTTGAAGACTGTATTTAACACAACTGGGGTAGAAAAAGAGAACAGAAGTGTAATCTTTGAGGTGCTCATATAAATGAAACATTTATTCAGACACTTGATAGCTGATCAATTGTGAATAATCAACTCCATAGGTCCTCATGACTTACAAGTATGCATTGCTTTTTTTTTCTTCGGTGAATCGTGGAAGGTTTACCTTCAAGAAGGTATTAACCACATTTCCTATTGAATAATAAGTAGGTGTGAGGGGATGTAAACCTAATAATTGAGAACTAATAATGAGGACTGAAAGCTCCTATTTGGTATCATATGTCTAACTTTAGTATCTATGCTAATAGGAAAATTATATTCATTTATCTGTAGCTATATCTAGAATTATGTATTTATATCAAACTTATATTCTTTTTTATCTTTCTTAAAGTTTAAATAAATGTCCTTGTAGATAGTTATTGTAGATTATTTAATTCATTCTACATCTTTGAAAATATTCTAAAAAGAATTTATGGTGTTAAACTTCGTTATTAGGATACCCTTCCCATATTAGGATAACTCTTATGTCAGCTTAGCGGAGGTTTTACTGTATATATAATGTTGATAATTTGCAAAATAAACTATTGATTTGTTTTTTAATTGTTAACAATAACTAAAAAAAAAAATTATTAACATCAAATTTTAAAATTTTTGGATTATTTATTTTAGTGTTAATAATTTTTTATTTGTTTTAAGCTTTATATTTCGTAATTTCTTTTGGGTTTTTTTAAAGTTGTCATTTCATAGTTTTTTTTTTACATATTTTTTAGAGTCGTGCACCAATTTCTGCTAAGTTGGTGGCAAACATGTTGTCCGTTTCAGGTGCTGACCATATAATAACAATGGATTTGCATGCTTCTCAGATACAGGTAAGAAACAATTTTCTAAAATATGTGATTTTCTTTATTCGAAGTATATATGTGAAATAGATTAATTAGTTACAAGTAATATATTTGCTTGCAAAGGTTGGTTATATTTTAAATAAAAATCATTTTTGAAATATTTATGTATGTTATAAAATATTCCTTTATAGCTAAAAGTTCTCAAAACAAGAACAATCCGGAAAAGTTGGGATAATTATTTTATTAGCTATTATAAAAACTTCTGTTTTGTTATGTAAGCATTTATGAATGATTTCTTATTTAACTAATTCATNTTAATATTTTTTTTTTTTTTTTTTGCAATTTTGGTTTGCATTTTTTTTTTATAAAGGTAATAATTTAGGCAGTAAGTGGTGTTTAATTTTAAAAATATACTAGCCAAACATTATAATTCTTGTTGCAGAAGTTTGCTCCTGGTAAATATATTTGCAACTACTTTTCTTTATTATAATTATGAATTCACACAGTTATTATTTTTCATTCTCAATAATGTTTTGAAATTATTACAATTTACTAAGTAAACTCCCAGCCTTTTGTGACTGTGTTAACAGCAAAATGTACCATAGTTTGCTTAAATTCCTTTGGGTGTTCAAAGTTAGCCTACCAAAGAAATTGAAAAAAAAAAAAAAAAACCCTACTTAATTTTCTGTCATCGGCACAAAATTAATAAAAATTATTGCAGTATTACCTGTAATTATTGATTTATCACTTATTTAATGGTAGCTACCATGAAATATTTATTTATTATCCTTTCTTATTATTTTTCCATGTTATTATTTTCTTTTTTTACTATTATTCAAAATCAAAGGATTAAAGCTAAAATTGTCATTCCTTTATTATAATAAAATTGATCGCATGATACTACTTCTATTAATATTACTATAATGTGTAGACTATTATATAATGTCTATGATAAAGATATTTAGTTTTTGTTTTACAATTAGGAAATAATAAATAATTTATATTTCCTTTTTAATTTGTTAAATTATTAAAAATTAAGTTTTTATATTCTTGATAAATAATCTAGTTTTTATCACAACCAAATATTAAATAAATATTATAAAATAAATAAATAAAAATGTAATGACATTGCAATGGTAACCCAGTAAAATTATTAGATTTATTTTTTATCCCTGTAGAATTACTGGGTAAAATCTGTGGATCTGTGTTAAAGTAATAAAAAGTTTTGGAATTGTTCATTTAAGTAATTTTTAATTGTGATTAGAATTGCTAGGTTGTCAGAACACAAGTTTCTGCTATGATCTCTGCTAAGTTATAGTGTTTTTTCTAAATTCTATGGTTTTTCGGATTTAGATGATTTATTTGAAAATTATTTAAAATGTGAGATTTTTTTTTGTTTTTATTTTTATTTACATTTAAGCAGCAATTAGTACTTTTCTGAAGCTTCAAATTTGATGATGTATTACCGATAAAACATTTCAGAGAATAGATAGATAGCAAAATAACAAGAAAATTGTTTGGAAATAAACCAAATTCTATCGAGNTTTTTTTTTTTTTTTTTTTTTTTTTGCAATTTTAGTTTGCATTTTTTTTTAAAAATGGTAAAAATTTAGGCAGTAAGTGATGTTTAATTTTAAAAATATACTAGCCAAACATAATAATTCTTGTTGCAGAAATTTGCTCCTGGCAAATATATTTGCTACTACTTTTCTTTATTATAATTATGAAATTTTATAAAATTGATGTTTTTTTCACAGTTATTATTTTTAATTCTCAATAATGTTTTAAAATTATTACAATTTATTAAGTAAACTCCCAGCCTTTTGTGACTGTGTTAACAGCAAAATGTACCATAGTTTGCTTAAATTCCTTTAGGTGTTCAAAGTTAACCTACCAAAGAAATAAATAAAAAAAAACCCTACTTAATTTTCTGTCATCGGCACAAAATTAATAAAAATTGAAGCAGTATTACCTGTAAATTATTGATTTATCCCTTATTTAATGGTAGCTACCATGAAATATTTATTTATTATCCTTTCTTATTATTTTTCCATGTTATCATTTTCTTTTTTTATTATTATTCAAAATCAAAGGATTAAAGGTAAAATCCTCATTCCTTTATTATAATAAAATTGATCGCATGATATTACTTCTATTAATCTTACTATAATGTGTAGACTATTATATAATGTGGACTATTATATAATAAAATTGATTGCATGATATTACTTCTATTAATCTTACTATAATGTGTAGACTATTATATAATGTAGATAAAGATATTTAGTTTTGTTTTACAATTATGAAATAGTAAATAATTAAATTTCCTTTTTAATTTGTTAAATTATTAAAAATTAAGTTTTTATATTCTTGATAAATAAATAATCTAGTTTTTATCACAACCAAATATTAAATAAATATTAAAAAATAAATAAATAAAAATGTAGATGACATTGCAATGGTAACCCAGTAAAATTAGGTTTATTTTTTTTCGCTGTAGAATTAGATCTACTGGGTAAAATCTGTGGATCTATGTTAAAGTAATAAAAAATTTTGAAATTGTCCATTCAAGTAATTTTTAATTGTGATTAGGGTTGCTAGGTTGTCGCAACACAAGTTTCTGCTATGATCTCTGCTAAGTTATAGTGTTTTTTCTAAATTCTATGATTTTTCGGATTTAGATGATTTATTTGAAAATTATTTAAAATGTGAGATTTTTTTTGTTTTTATTTTTATTTACATTTAAGCAGCAATTAGTACTTTTCTGAAGCTTCAAATTTGATGATGTATTACCGATAAAACATTTCAGAGAATAGATAGATAGCAAAATAACAAGAAAATTGTTTGGAAATAAACCAAATTCTATCGAGTAAGGTAGTCTTTCTATCCCTTGAATTATAAATTAATAAGAATACTTTTCCTCCATAAAATGCAGAAGGAAGAAAAAGTCCCATCCTTTATCAGAAAATTTATTGAAATGAAGAGGTAACATTAACCATATTCAATGAAATTTCTAAATCCTTTAAGTGTGGAAATGCTGTCAAAGTAATATTTGATGAACATTAATAGGAATAATTTAACTGTGTACAATAATTTGTGCTGAAACTCTTTTCATTTGAATTTAAAAAAATATTGCATAAACATACAATTAAAAAATTTTTTTTTAAATCCTTTATATACTTTTTTTATTATTTGTACCATGTGCATACATTTCAGGACATACATTGTATACTTTTTTGTGTATTTTCATTACCATGAAATTTTAAAAAATTCATTAAAATCTTTCTCAAACTTCTTTTTTTCCTCCCACCAAACTTACAACCCTAATTATAAATTAAAAATCTGTTTGTCGCCCAGGAGCAAAAATGGCAATGAAGCTATTGTGAGAATTGGTGTGATTAGCAAGCAGGGGGTGTAGCCTCTTAATTAAAAATAATATATATAATGATTTTTTTTTTTTTATTTATTCAACTTTATGAAGTTCTTGATATGAATTTTAGGGTTTCTTTGATATACCAGTTGATAATTTATATGCTGAGCCTGCAGTTTTAAAATGGATCAGAGAAAATATACCTGAATGGAGAAACAGTATAATTGTGTCACCTGATGCTGGTGGAGCAAAAAGGTATATCTATTTATTTATTATATTTTCAATTTGAGCATTTCTTAGCAACATTTAATTTTTATTAGAAAAAATTCTCTCTTACAACTTCTGTTGCTAAATGAGATGAATGTATGTATAAAAATTTATTATATTTATAAATGTAAGCAGGTTTTTCATTTTATATACATTTATTAGAGTTTTGCTCTGCTTGATTATCCCTTTTCCTGATAGTTCTGTGCACATTTTCGATTTCCTTCTAAGCATTTCCATACAGCAAAGCTTGTATCATCTTTATACATTTTTGGTCACAAAATTATGCTGTTAATATTTTCTTGTTCACTCAGAATTGTAAAGCCTTAACCTTCACGACTCTTTGACTGGTGACTTATTGTTGCAGAAGTAATTTTCTAAGGTACTCTTTAGGTTGCAAGTTATCAGATAAAAATAAATTGTAGGTTCAGAATTTGAGCATGGAGTTTTCAAATACTCAAAAGTGTAGGGGCAAAATCTCTAAGATTATTCAAACACTTTTTTCACTGATATACATTGATAACATAACATATAACCATAGCTTGTTGGAAATATAATGTAAAATTAGAAAAATTGGCTAGATTGTAATGTTATTTCTGTCACTTTCTTAGGTTCCTCTTTATCTTGATTCTTGACTCATAGTCCCCCCCCCCCCCCCAAAGCNNTAGTCCCCCCCCCCCACCAAAGACTAACTTTTTTCATTAATGCTCACCAGGTTACTATGGTATTTGAATTTATTTTCTTTCTTTGCTTTGCTTAAGCACTTTCACATTTTTGCCTGAATAATAGAAAACTTGGGTTCTGAGTTCCAAAATGTTTGAATTATTTGTAAGCATTTAATTTTTTAATAGATTCTACAGTATGTTTTTTTTTTAAACATTATGGATTATCTGCATGCCTTAATTTTTGTTCAAAGTAACTATATAAATGAATATTAGCTAAAAATTTCTTTATAAAGATGTTTGTTGTACGATGATAAACTTTGAGTTATTGTTTTTTGGTTCAAATTTACTAAGTTAGAGATGTTAATATTATTAACATCCACTATACTATTTAGTTTTTTATTTATTTATTCTTATGTTTTTATTTTTAGAGTAACTGCATTAGCTGACCACTTGAATGTAGAATTTGCGTTGATTCACAAAGAAAGAGAGAAAGCGAATGAGGTGTCCTCTATGGTGTTGGTAGGTGACGTGAAAGACAAAATTGCTATTTTAGTAGATGATATGGCTGATACTTGTGGAACAATATGTCATGCAGCAGATAGGTAATTGTTTATTTTAAGATAATGACTTGTTAAAAAGTGCTTTAATTTTTTGCAAGTTGTAATTAACAAGTGTCGTTGAAATTTTTAATGTTTACAAAATGTTATGTATTAAATTGTATTATGTCCACAAAAAGAAAGAAGTGTTTTTTGTTTGCCTCAATAATGTTTTCCCCCTAAATTTTATTATTATAATTTTATAACTTATTGAAATTTAACATATTCTTTATAGGTGCAAGTGGTTTACTCGTAAATCCTTAATATGTATTTTTCTGACTTTGATACATAATTGTTCTTAGCAAATTGTCATTTAAAAAAATTGTTAAGATTTTTTTTTATGTCATTCGGATAAAATAATAAATTAAGATTTTCCCCCAGAATTGTAAAAAAAAAGTTAGTTAGTTAGCTTACTTAGTACTTAGTTTACTAAATAAAGATTTATGTAAATAAAATCTGTAGCTGAAATAAAGTTTCGATAAAACTTTTTGCAACTTTTAAGTAAGGATGTCTTATTCTACATAGATGTTTTGAATGAAGCAATTTATTTTAATGCCTTTAGCATAATTTTTTTTAATATGAAATTTATTAAATGCACATTAAATTTTTTTAGGTATTAAGCAATAATTTCATTTATATAAATGTCAAATTGTTACAATAGGATTATTTGAAATATTAAATGCTTGAAAATATCTTTTGTAAGTTGTATATGCATTGATGTAAGTAATATCTTCTAGTAATCCAGAAAGTGAATTTCTATAGCTTTAATACTGGTTGCTTAGAATACAGTTAGTTCTCAAATTTGAGAAGTTCAAAATAAGTATGAAAAAGAAGAAAAAAGTAGAGTTTTCTGTTTTGAATTTTTGCTCACTCGAAAAACATATTTTATTTGATTTAATTTAAAATTTACCAGATCTTAAAAGCAGTATTAACTGTTTAGAATTTAACACTTTAGTAAATAGGATATATTTATGTGAACTTGCATGCTACAACTTTCTTTTAAAAAAATGTTTTACTGAAAATAGGACAGAGAAAAAACATGCCATTACTTTGTTTTATCAATTATTTTACATATATTTCCTTAAAATTTTAACTAAGTACCCTACTACTACCACTAGTATCTACCACTACAAAATTACAACTACAATTCACTAGTATATAAGACATATTAACTCGATTCTATGTTGGGGTACCTTTTCATAGATGAAGGGTGACCTTCGGATGTGATGTGAACACGCCTACCTTGGCAGTAACGCCCACTTCGATATGAATACGCCTACATCGACAGTAACGCCTACTCTGTTGGTGGTCCACATTGAATAGTTGACTTGCTACTTGTGACTGCAACATCATCCAGCTCCTAGCGCTGTTGCTGCTCAGTTTCAATCACACACAACGTATACACTTGACTATTAAAGGCAACACAGGAGCGACTACGACCGTGAACTTAATACACATCTCACATTCAGTACTCAAAAAGTACGGTGATCTTAATTCAGCTCTCCCAGCTTCACACAAAAACAGCAATGATTCAACTAGTGGTATCCATTCATCGAATTCTATCACAGATATAATTCTGGTGGGGGAGTACTCTAGTATATCTACCACTACAAAATTACGACTACAATTTACTAGTATATAAGACATATTAACTCGATTCCATGTTGGGATACCTTTTCATAGATGAAGGTTGACATTATCGATAACTCCGCCCCACATACCCCTAAAAAGTAATTCTTATATTTTTAGTAACTAAGTTAAGTAATTAGCTTTTAAAGATTACATGATGATTAGCTTGTGTCACTCTTATTTTTATAATTCTTTTCTTAGTCAACTAAAATTATTTTTCAGACTTATGGAAGCTGGAGCTCAAAAGGTTTATGCTATTCTCACCCATGGTATACTATCAGGTTCTGCCATATCAAGAATAAATAATGCAGTGTTTGAAGCAGTAGTAGTCACGAATAGTATCCCTCAAGATTTACACATGACTGAATGCCCGAAAATTCAGGTATTATTTTGCTACATAAAATAATAAGCAAATGAATTGGTTGGAGAGTTTTATGACAATTGAAAAATTTTTAGCATTAGTTTAAATCAAAGTGTAAAAGTTTTTTTTAAAATTTTGAATGATATATAATTTTAATAAAATCATCTCATTAAAAGAATTAATTTACAATAATGCATAACACAAACGGAGCAGATACTCTTAACCGTTTGGGTTTGAATGTTTATGTTTGTCTCATAGGTGATCTCTAAAGGAAGGAAAAAGGTTAAACAGTTTATCTAATAAGCTCTGCTTTGTGTATGGTAGAGAAAGAGAAAACTTCTTTGCACACCAGCTTTTGTTTATGTGGATCGGATCCTCTTAACTGTTTGCGTTTGAATGTTTATGTTTGTCTTATAAGTAAGGTGACCTCTAAAGCAAGGAAAGATGTTAAACAGTTTATCTAATAAGCTCTGCTTTGTGTATGGTAGAGAAAGAGAAAACTTCTTTGCGCACCAGCCTTTGTTTATATTCAGAGGCACAAAGAACCTTTTATGCTTTGACTAAATGACCGGTTAATCGTTAACTTGACTTTATCACAAAATGACAATTTAACTAGCCGTCCATTAAAACTTCACGTTCAATAAAAACTTTATTTCTAGTTTTAAAACTGCTATTGTGCTTAATATCTTTACAATTGGATAATTCAGAATATTAGCCAATCTATGTATGAACTAAGAATTAATTTTTTTTGTCAAAGATTTAAAACTTATGGCTTAATTAAAATTTTAAAAAATGTGATTTTAAAATGTGTTGTAGGAAGGGCTAAATTACTAAAATACTGACAAGCAGGTAAAACAGAAGGATTGCTTTGGTTGGTTGATTTTAAATAAAAAAATATGCCATTTGTGTGATGAAAATTGAGATTTGTAAAATGATGTTGATGGATGTTTAGCAAACTTTTTTTTTATTTGAAAAAACGGTGATATAATGAGAGACTAAGTTCAAGCTAAACACAGCTTTTTAAACACTGTTTCAAAACAAGTGTAATGTGGATTAACTAGATTGTGATTTAATTATTTACAGTTGCTTCATTTCATTATTAGTTCTCAAGTACTGATAATTAAATTACTTTTTCACTAGCCAGATTTATCAGTTTATAAGCATTGAAGATTAAATAACAAGAAATTCAAGCTTACTTAAGCTACTTTTCAATTATAGACATCTTTCAATTCTATAGCATTTACTATAGAGATTAATTAAATTTTGTATAACTTTAGTCTACAATTACATTCTATATATGTTTGGAAATTTTCCAAATTAAGTTAAAACTAGAGTTATTTCTATAGTACATTTCGTTACTTTTCCACTATCCAGATGGTTTATTAACTATGATGATTAGATGACTATAATTTACTATGTATTGCGAAAGTTTTTTAATGAAATTAATATATTTGTTTGCTTCATTCAATTTTGTTGTATTGAGAGTAAATATTAATATTTATTTTTCATTATTTCAGTGCATAGATATTTCAATGATAATTGCTGAAGCTATTCGTCGAACTCATAATGGAGAATCCATATCTTATCTTTTCAGTCATGTTCCCATGTAGTACCTTCATTTGAAAGAAAATTTCATTGAAAATATAAATTTAAACAAGGCCATTAAAAGATCTGTGATACTATAAACTGCTTGCCAAACAGTAATTTATCATTGATGCTAATTATTCTTATGTACTTAAAAATAAATATCTATTTTTGGGTATGTTATAATCTATAAAAAATTTAAAAGAAATACTAAAATATTTTACTATGCATAGAATTGTGAAGAAGTGAACGTGATTTGCACAATTATGTGAAGAAAACAAATGAATTTATATTTTAAATAAACTTGTGAATCATTATAAGTTATACTGAGAAATCTTTTAAAAGTTTTTAGCTGTATTTAAAGTATAAAAATACGAGCCAATCATGTTATCTTTGTTATGATTAAGTATTAATAACTTAGAACAACAGTTTCAAATTGTTAGCTATGCATGCTGAGAATTAAAATTTTTAGATCTCTGTAGAATGAATGTGAAATTATTATTAATTTAATGAGACATTAGAAATTATTATCCCTTTAGTTTTAACAAATAAAATTTTTTTATGTGTAAAATTAGCTTCTCCACCTCCTAATTCATCACTTTTTAAGAAATTTTTCCAATTGAAAATTGCTTTATAAAACTTGTTTTCATTATCTGAAACAGAAGCTGGATATTTATTAAAATTTTTTAGTTACAGGGTTGCTACTCCACAGGGACAACATAGAAAATAAAGGGAATTTAAAAATCACCTAAAATAAAAGGGAAAATGCTGGGAATTTTGTCTTATTTTCTTTTCTCAAAGTGCAATCTCTCTTTGGGATATTTAAAGATAGTTTAGCTACACTATTTCATTTAATATAGTTTCTTTTTTTAAAAAAAGTGTTTATTTCCAGCAATTAATAAACCTTGTATAGTTATTCTAATATAGCTCGCATATAAGCACAGTGATTGTGTGGTTCCTTTTAATATATTGTGTGTAATATGTATAGGGAAAACATAGAGAATTTTTTTCTCAGATTTGAGTGGCAACCCTGTTATAAGTTCAGATTTTTTCCCTCTTTTATTGAAACTAATTAAAATGCTTGAAAAAATAATGCACGAACATATACGTACAAAATGAACTCTTTGTCATTTCTAAGCTGTTGCTGCAGATTTATTGCTTCTTAATTCCTTCTAAAAATTGACTTAATTTTGTAAAGAAAATAAATTTCATTAAAAAATTTAAGCGTTTTCATTTTATATTATACCATGCCATTCCATTATACTCATATTCACTTTATATATATATATACACACAGTAGAGCGCCAATTAATCTGGTCCAATGCCGATCTGGATAATGAAAAATCTGGATAATTGGAGAAATCTAAAAAAAAAAAGACTATAAGAAAGTTTTTCAGCAACCACCCTTCACACTTTTTCCAGGCTCAGGATTGGCAATTGAAGTAGTGCCTATTATAGCATATTACTAGTAGTGTGTTCAAAAGTTTTAATTTTTCAAAAATTTTATTAAAAACCTGTTCTTTTATTCAAAACTACTTAACACCCATATTGAAACTGTGTGGAATGAACATGGGGTTCTTTCCAAGGTCACCAAAGGACAACCCCTTACAGTTATTTTGAAATTAAGGAAGCATTTTTGCGTAAAACAAAACAATTTTTGAACAATCCAGTAAAATCTGCTTTTGGATAATCAGCGCTCTACTATGTATATAAACATATATAATTAGGTGTGTCCTTTATCTTTTGTACATTGTTTGGTTACAATATTTACTATATCTGAACAGTTATAGTTCTTTAATTTGAAAAATATGATCTCTTTTGTAATTAGTTGATATTAAGAAAAAGTGAAATTTGAACTCTTATAATTTAGGAAGTGAGATTTGCATTGTTTCAAAGTGAGTGATGTCCCTCACTTTATAGCGACATTTGATCTTACCTAAGTGAAACGTCTTTTATATTTTGTGTAGTATATCAAATTCTGATTTCTTTGTCATTAAATGCTATATTCAGCTTATCTTGCCTTTTTAAGTGAAGATCAACAAGTTAGGTATGCTAGTTGCATTTGCCAACTGAGAGATGTATAAAAACTCTTCCCTTCATCCCTATTTTATTGCTGTATTTGGATTTGTCATGATTGGTTGAATATTGTTGTATTTTGATTGTCATGATTGAATTTGTGGTAGAACTATAAATTATTAATTTTGATTATTTTTTTGCAGTATTAAGATATTTTAGTACACAATGAAAATTTTAAGTGAAACTCAAGCAGAATATGAGCAACTAAAATTTTTATTTTGAAGATCGTTTGATTTTTGAAAAATTGTAGCCTCTGTTGATGTTAGTAAACTTCAAATTTAACATTTTTTTTTATTTAGTTTCTATTTTCGGCCGAGTATTTTATAATATTTGCTAGTTTAGTTTGTATAATTTAGAATAGCTATTTTTAATATTTGCTTTAGGAATGAATAGTGAATTTTTGTAGACCATTTTAGAATTCTTTTTGTTTAGGAAAACATGCTACATGCTAATTTTAATTGAACATGCTTATTTTGATTGAACGTATAATTATATGTAGCACTCTTATATTGATGTTGGGTTATATGTAATTTTTAATGAATTACCTTTTGCTCTTTTGGTTTAAAAAAAATTACATGTAATACAAAGTTTTTTTTTTCTTGATAAAGAAATGGAATGACTTTAGTTTTGAATGATGAATGGCATTTTATTAAGTATGTTTTTAATGAGAGGCATTTTATAAAGTATGTCACAATGTGCAATATTTGTATGTTTATTTACTAATACTTGCTTCCTAATGAAAAGGAAACAGAATTTTACATCTGTGAAATATAAATTTATTAAGAGAGCAAAAAAGGGAAGGAAATTTTTTTTTTTATATTACATTCCAAACAACTAATAAATATGCTATAACCTAACGAGTATTTAATTTTATCAATTTTTATATAGTTAATAAGCCAAAATTATTTTAGCAACTTAAAATTGAAATAATTTTTACATTAAAAACTATATGAATAATGTATTAATGATTTAAGTGTTTAAATCATATTTTTTTAAATAATCATTCACCAATTCTTTTAATTCAAATAATTTATAATTATTAGCTAATATTTCTCTAATAATATATAGTTGTAAATTGCTTATTCAAAATAAATGAGATTTTTCTTGAAATTAGTTATGAATAGTGATTTGAAAAGTAACTTATCCATTCTAAAAAATTAGAACTTCAGATTTGGGAATATGTCATGCAGTTTTAAATTTTTAGAGATGAAGAAATTCTAAAAATAGGCATATTCTTTTATTTTCAGTGTATTAATTTTGATCTCAAAATGCAGTTAATATAATTGTAGAATTTTTTGGCATTGTATTAAATAATTTTTCAGAAACATGAAATAATTATTTTTCATAAAAATATTTTAACAAAAATGCAAATTTATTTAAATTACATATTTGTAACATTAAATAAAATTATATAACAAATAAAATATTGTCTTCACTGTATTGTTTTTAAGAAAGCTTGATTAACAAACGTAATATAAAAGTTTATTAACAGATTTTACAAATAATCATACAAAAATATATTTTGTAATTCAACAATTTCTAAAAAGAACATAAAAATGTGATCGCATAAAATTTCATTGGAGATTCTGTTTAATTATTTTACTTTTCAAAAGTCTGTAAGTCTGGCATATTATGCAGTTCAAAGTCTGTCAAAATTTGTGCAGCAGCCTTACCCTGCAAATTATAAGAAAAAATATTTTTAAAGGTGCATTACAACAAATATATATTGCATTATAAATCTAACAAATGCAACTAGTTTTAGAAATACAATCTAAGGGTAGAGGACAAATTTTCAGTCAGTGAAACAATTATTTCTAAGGCAGGTAAACATCCTGCTGACCATTTTAATTATTTTGTTCTTGCAATTTTGCGCAAAAAAAAAAAAAAAAATCCTTCCTACATTTTTTATCGATGTTAACAACAACTCCAGAATTAAATTATTTCTGCTATAAATTGCATAAATACTATAATGGATTTCCTTTAATAAGATCTTTCTGCTCCAAATAGAATGATAAAATATAAATTGAGAAAAACTAATCTCGAAAGAGAAATACCAACAAGCTTTTATAATGTAGCTTAGTCATTCTAAGCAAAATATCTAATTATAAATAACATTTCAAAAGAACAAGTAGTTGCATAATAAATACTTATCTATAGCATTTTTCTTACATACCTGAACAAGACATATACTAAAAAGGATTTGCACCAAGTAAAATATAAAATTTTTATATCAAATATATCCTTCTATGGATTTTAAAGAACTGAATTCAACCGTGTCATTTATTTTGAGATAATTTAACTGGTCCCTAAGCTATTCTTCAAAACATATTTTTTTTAAATTCTGATTAAAATGGTGCAAATTCAACAGTTTATCAATAATGTTGAGAAAATATTATCTATCTGAAATGGGTTTTGAACTGGTCACTTTTTGAGCACTGGTCACATCACATTTCTCCCTTGTACCTAAAGCCCTTTAAATTAACTTCATTTCCTCTTCCTTTAAAAAAAAATTATAATTTTTTTTTCTTGGGAGGGGAAGATGCTTTAGAAAATGATCATAAGAAATAAAAATATTAATAGTAAAACAGATATGTTCCAAAATATGTCTCAAAATAATAAATTCAGCAACACATAATGTAGAAATTTTTTTAGATATTATAATCATATCAAATGTCATTGCTGTTTATTTAGGCATAGTAATAAATAAGCAACACCTGAGGATCACTACGCAATGAAGCAACACCTCCACCTCCCAGAGCTTCCCTCATAACAAAGTTAAATGCATTTATACCAGGCAGCTTGTATCTAGAAAAAGAAAATACAGACAATATTTTAAGCAAGGTAAATCATTTTATATACAATATATATTTTATGCACAAATCACGATTAGATATAAAAATTAATCTTGATAGAGAATTATTTCAATAGTCTTGAGTTATAAAAATCAAGGAAGCTTTTATGCAAAATGTTAAACATTTGTTATGCAAATAAATGCAATATTTTGCATAAAATAACCTTTTCTTTATATAATAAAAATAGTTGCTCTCACAACTGTTGTTTACACAGAACCTAGATTTAATGACACTTATCACGCTACACAAAAACGTAATAATATCAGCGACACTGAAATTTTCATGAATACTAAAATCTAAATACTTACAACTTTGGTTATATTTTGTTAAATACCTTAATAAAATCTAAAAACTTAAATGTAATTCATTTAGTAAAGAAAGAAAAAAAGGATAATTTTAATGGAAAGAAAATCTGACATTTTCGTTTGTATACTTTTTTTTATTTTAAAGTGACAACAACACAATGAATTTTCCAACAAATCCAAGGCACCCATTTCTCTCACTTGTTCTTTATGTCCTAGGAAAAATTTTTTTTTGTCTCTGCATCATAAAATGATAGCAGATGATCTGAAAATGCACAGTCTTCATCACTACTAGATTCCAAAATTACAGCTATCAAAATTGCCAATGATTCACAAGTCATCAGATCATTATTACATTGCAAATACTCCATAAAATTGATATCAGGCCACGCATTTTGTTCTGAAATGCTGTCAGCATTCTCTGGGTTGAAATTGGTGTAGTACCTTTTTTGCACATTTTCTGGATCGTCGGTATTTCAGGGAATTAGTATTCGAGAATGCTTTTTACATAATTGATATAGATATCAAAGAAAGCTGAAAAGATGTTAAAAGCCTGAAATTGTAATTCACGAGTGACATTAAATCTGAGTTTCGCTGTACTTGATATTGAAATAAACATTTTCAGAAATTTTTCACAATGCACTTAAATGCTGTAAATCAAGTTCAGTTATTAATTAAAAAATATCTCATTCATGTGTTATTTTATTTCAGAGGAAGCTTCAACAGAGATAAATACTTTTGCAATATTTGTTTTAGCATTTTATTTATGGATTACTTTTTTAATCTGGTAAACAAAAGTAAGTATTTAAGTCACTTACATGTTAAATTGAGCTGGTTAAGTATTTATCGAAAGATATGGCATATTAAATGGCTCATAACATAGTTAAGTTTCAGAAAATGCAATTAATGTTTTATAAAACTACAAAATAATATTTGATGAACAATTTGAGATATTCCTGTTTCTTATAGTGCAAAAAGAAAAAGTTATGTGAAGTTTGTTAATGCAAATGAGATAAAAAATTTATATATTTTTTAATTGTTATAAATATTTACTTAAACTCATACAAAAACTACAAATGTTGTATTGTTGACCTAAATCATAATTTACACCTTAGTTATTATTATTTTTTTCATTTTAATTTCATTTATAATTTTAGGATACTTTTTTCCCTGAGTCCTCAGTAAAATAGCAATTCTAATTCAAATCGTTTGATTGAGTGGGATATTGCTAATGACAATTTATTTGCTTTGAAATGGCTTTTGAATTGCAATTGTCCTAAAATAATTTCGTTGGCAACAAAATTATTTAAAAAACCAACATTTTTCTTATAGTAGTAATAATAAAAAAGCCATAGATATACAAAATAAATATAATAATAAATTTATGTATTCCAACAGAGAGACATTTCAAAATTATTTATAGAACCATTAAATATTTGTTGCAAAATTTCATTTATATTAAATTTAGAAAACTGATATAAGATAAAAAACATAATATGAGAATGCCAATTTCGTATAATATTTAAGTTATTCATTTAAGACAATCCTAAATAATTTAAAAGTAGGCACACAGTCATTAAGTCACATGATACAACAATTCATAATGAAATATGAATTGAATATACACTTCCAATTTCCAAAAGTATATTTTTCTGTTTTTGAAAAACTCAAAATCTTAATTTCATTTGAAGTAAGCTATTTAAAAATAAAAACATTTAGTAGCAGTTAAATTTTTTTTTTACCTTTCAACAACTTGCTTTTCACCATTAAAGAGGTGTTTAAAATATTTTCCTACAGAATCAGGAGTTAGCTGTTCCTCAATATATGGTACAAAAGATGGGTGTCTTGCAATGACACCTGTTAAAAGAAATATATAAAATAACATGCATAAAATATGGAACAACATAATTGAACAATGTTACTTGACATTGTTTTAATTGATTAAAACATAGTTTCTTATTTTATTAATAAAAAAAAATACAAGGATTTTTATGTTTTCCACAAATACATGTAGACACATCAAACAAGAATTGTACAAATTATGCAAAAAAAAATTAAACTTCTTTAAGGAAAATTAAATACTAATTACGATTCTAAAATCAGCATAACTTAAAAGATATGCATGTGTTTATTAATTAAAAGATATAAAATTGTGAAATAGTTTATCTTAAGTGATGATTAGTTCATACCAGGAAACAATTTAAAATACTTACTAGAAATAGATAGACCTTAACTTTTTTAAAACTAGTATGGTGTACTCTTTTTTTTTTCTTCTTTTTTTTTAAAGTTGAAGTGTAATAAAAAGATTTCACCTCCGCCCAGTCTATATAAATTAGTATTCTATGGCTTTTTTTAATTTTTATTGAGGATAAAACATAAGGAAAGTCACTAGGAATAGCCTTGAGCTCACTAAATTAGTCATGTGATTGGGTATTTGATTTTAAAGAGTAGTGATTTTTATAGGCTCTGAAGCAGCAATATTTAAATTTTTAAACAAGTTTTAAACTATGGAAACCATGAGGCTCTCAACAAATTCAGAAATTATATAAAACAATAACTTGATCAGGCAAAAAAATATTTTCATTAAATGAAGTGCATATAGTATAATAAATTTTTATTTTACAACCATCATTAAGCAGCTGACCCAATTTTGAGTTTACGACTACCAATGTTTAATTCCATAGCCTTGTCATTTTTAACCCAATCCAGAAGACAAGAGCACTCCTGGTTTAAGTATTGGGAGAAATTTGGCTCTGCAGAGGACTTTTTTTTAAAACTAACTCGTATTTGCATTACATGGAGAGTAAAACCATGAAAATTTCCCACAGTTAGTCTGACAGCAAGGGGACTCTAACCCATGATCCGCTTACCACTGAGGATATTTTACGTCAGCACTGTGGTCAGTGCAAACCACCTTTCAGATTCAAACACGGGTCACCTCAGGAAAAATAAAAAACCTCAATTTTACAATCTAATGTTAAATTTAAAATAAATCCTCAATTTTAAAGTAAATTTACAGCAATTTTTCAAAAATGTTTGTTTTTTGGCTAATTTACAAAAATTAAGAATTGTTTATTTCAGAGAAGTTTGCATGTCTGATACAATTTGGCACTAATTTAAAATAAGTTTGTTTATAGCAGTGCAGAAACAGGTTAAAGCAGATGATTGGAGCAGAAAACACATAGCATCATATTTTAGTTTTACTTAGTTCATGATTGATATATTAAAAAAAAATCTCTATGAACAAAATAAATATATATTTTTTTATGAAATATATTGAGAAAGAGAAATTTTTCAAAATTAAACTAGTAACTAAGTCTTACCAACATTACAAATGTCACCTTTGTCACCACTTCTAGTGTAAGCAAGGTCTTCTAACCTATAAGTTTTTGTTCCTTTTTTCAAAATAGGTTTCTCTTCTTTGTGACCATTCATTGAATGTGTAGACTGTTCATTTTCAAACAAGACTGGAGTGTAGGACTCTGTTTTTCCTTCATATGTTATTTTAGCCTAAAATTGGTTCATTTAATGTTTAAATAGAAGTTAATTAATGTTAAATTGAAATACTTAAGAGGCTTTACTCTTTATTTCACAAAAGGAAAGCATTACCTGAATTTTGTTTTTTGGGTACAGGAATGAAAATAACTTCAAAAGGGTGGAGCTGAAATAATAAAGAACAAACTCAAATTTCTATTTCCATTTGTAATAAAGAAATGCAATAATAATTAGTTTAAAATACTCACGCTTTTGGACGGCCCCCTACCATAGTTGTTGATCCGGGAGCTAAAATGTTACAATCAATTTAAGTTATAAAAACAATCTTAATGACCAATTTATATTTAAAGATGAGAAGCAAAAATTAAAAATAAAAAGAATAAATTATAACAGAACTTTCAAATGTTCAAATAAGTGAATTTTTACATAAAACACTGAATTGCTAATCATTGAATCCAACTATTATGGATTCTCAAGTGTTTTTATTAACGTAAGTTATAAAAATGTAGTGTTTCAAAAAAACTAGTTAAGGGGCCAAATTATTTAGTACATTGTTAACAGGAACACTGCCTATTTCAAAAGGCATTAGCATGGAAAAATAGATCAAAATCACATTTGGACAAAAAAATTATATTCTATGGCTGTTGGTAAATAGAGAATGATAATTATTAAAGCCAATATTTACTTCCGCCAGTGGCTGCAGCAGCTATTTCTTTTGAAAATAAGGAAATGGCTTCTTTTTTGTCATGGTGAACAGCAATCCACATAACTACTTCTCTGTTATTCTAAAAATAAAAGTAAGTTTTAGGAACTTTTCTGCAAAGGATGACTGCAAAGAGTTGANAACTTTTCTGCCCACATTTAAAGGATGACTGCAAAAAGAGTTTAAAAATTCTTTTTTTTTTTTGCTTCTTCAAATTTTTGCAGAGTTTTGTTTGTTTATTTTGGGTATAAGTTGCATAGCACCAAAAATATTTTTCAATTAAAGTGAAAAAAGTATAAAATGCAACGGAGAAAGAAATGCAAAAAAAAATAAATAAATAAAAATATTTTTTAACTCTTTTTTAAAACTTTTTCAACTCTGACTCATTTACCACCCATTTTAATAGAGTAACATTGAAACTTTTGGTTTTCTATATTGTAGCTTTTATTTGATAAAAATAGCCAGACTATAATGAAAACCCAAGAAGAGCATAGCCAATAATAGAAAAATAATGACGATAAAAATGCTACAGTATATATTTAAAAAAATATTAATGATAAATAGGTAGAAGATTAAATAACCAAGAGGAATACACGAAAAAAATAACTATGGATTTATAAATGTATCAATTTACTTAATATTTATATGTTATTCTTTTTTCAGAGGGTTATCAATTTTTGTAGGACAATAATTTAAATTAAAAAAATTTATTAAAACACCAGAAATTAATTAAAACATGTTTAATATGTTTTTTAGTTTTATAATAACATGTTTTAAAACACTAGAAATGAATTAAAACATGTTTAATATGTTTTTTAGTTTTATAATAACATGTTTTAAAGCATGTCTGATTCGTCCTGTTATTTCATCTTTTCATTAAAGGCGGCAGAAATTCGCCCTTTATTTAAAAAAAAAAAAGTAAGAATATTTTTTTATTAATTTTGCTTATTTGAGCTTTCCAATTAATTAGGCTTTCACTGTATGTACTACAGGCAAATTATTAAGATGTACGTATGGATTAAATAAAATAGATTAAAAAATTCAATAAGTTGTTAAGTTATGAAATCCAGCTTTAACTTTTTATTATTAGTCAACATGACTTGTTATTTGTGTATCAATTTTATTAAACACTGAGTGAAATTTAAAAATTATCAGTTGATGTTGAATATTTCAAAATTATATAAACTGATATTTTTTAGAAATATTTGTAAGACATAATAATTTTTTAAATATAAATGAATCAAACCTTTTACTAAATTAAGATATTGGGACAAAATTGTTAAAATAAATTACCATAATTATATATTAAATAATAATAAAATATATTAAATAAATTACATAATAAATAAATTAAAATAAAATATAATAGTTTAAATGCATATAAAAATAAGGCATGTAAAAAAAAAAGAATAACCATGATAGAAATGCCGAAATATCACACACATACAAAATTTTTTAAATTCAAACAAAAAAAATTCAGACGATCATATGAGTGAAAGACTTACTTTGACACGAGAATTTTCACCATAATTTTGCTCGGTGCCTAAAACTTCAATATGAGTACGTCTAAATTTTTCTAATCCCAGCTTTTTAAAAATATTTTCAGATCTGCAAATGGAAACACAAAAATGAAGATTGAATAAATAGTATTTCTATGGATAACATATATTTTATACTCAGAAAATTGTCAGTAAAATGTTAGCAAATACACTTAGTATAGCTGTGAGGGAAGGCTTTGCTTCTCCGTCATTAGCCGTATAGTGTAATATATGAATGTTCATTTAGGCCATTAATGAATGAATTGAACAATTGAGTTTCCAGGAAATAATGTACAAATCGTTGAATGTAAATTTAGATTTTATTAAGCATAATTTGTGAATTAGAAAATGGCCATTTCTTCATAAATAAAATAAGAAATCCCTTAAAGGGATGAAATAATAATACTCTCCCTTTTGAGAGATTATAAAGCCAGAACAACATTTCTGACGGTTAGAAAATTGAGACTGGGAGGCCCCAAAGGGCTCCCAGCCTCCACAAATGTGAAATTAAAAGGGAATATATTTATTCTCAACGGACAGAGAAAGTATGGGTAGGAGATCCAAAATTTGGCGATTTATCATAATATATATCATAGCCAAAACAAAGCCAACTAGCATATCAACATGGATGTAAAAGAACACCTTGGCGATCACGAGTCGCCAACAAATTTATGTGAATTATTACAACCATGCAACCGAAACATTTAGCCGTTGGAAAATTAGAATAAAAAGTTATAAATAGATTTTTGTTTTCGATTAGAGGCGACAGTGAATTAATATGTCTGCATAATAATGAAATAAAAAGAAAGTATCCGTTACATTGATCTGGAAGAGAAGAAATAAATATTTTATGTTCGTTTTAAAAGCTTAAGTCTTTGATTTATTTTAAATATAATTCTATTAATAAAAAATAAGCTTAAGTAATGAAGGATATTTTAAAAAGATAGGAAATACATATGTAATGCCAAATTGTGGCATCACAATAGCTATACAGTGGAACTTGTTTATATTAAAAACATAGGGAATGAGAAAATTTCCTCATTAAATCAGAGAGTGTGTTACATCCAATTTTTTCATATTTAGCAAAAATAAAAGCTTCAATGCATAAAAATAAACTATCAAATGCTTAAAAAGGTCTTATATTTTGTTAATTAATTAAATTTAAATAAATGAAAAAAATGCATGTGTTTTGTTTGTGATTTAACTTGGTGCTTTTCCTTAGCATTTGTTTGATGTACAACACTTATGGCACAACATACCACTAACATAGGAAGAAAAGATCTGACACGTGATTTATAAATTTTAGTCAGGAATACAATTTAGTTGTATATACAGGAATATAAGCAACAAGAATTAGAATTTTTCAACTGTTAATCATTGCAGTGGCCACATATGATTTTTTACTCATCCATCGTCACATTATTGCAACATGGCATGGCCTAACTGGCTGTGCGATTTATGATGAGAGAACAATTATTGTAATTCTTTATTGCTTACCTGCATAGAATTTTTAAGAAATTCAAACTAAAAGGATTTTTCAGCTCTTTTGAAGTAAATAAAAATTTTACCAACAGTCAGATAATTTTCTTTCTGACAGCTTCAACTATCAGAAAAAGTTTTAAACCTCGAAAATATGGACAGCTCAGGGAGGAGGGGGGGGGGAGGTAGGAAAGTTCGAATTTCAGAAAATTACAATTTTAAATGTTTTACTTAAACCAATAATGTAGACCCAAAAATTACAATTAAAAAGTGCTTGATTTCATGATATATTTACATAAACTCATGCTTATTTTTCCAGCAATAATTCAACGAATTTCCACAGTTTTTAAATTACAATATTTCAATACAACATTACGATAAGTATGCTATTGAGAAAATTTTTTTAATGCTGCCGATTTTCAATAACTAATTTGTAAGTTCAAGTTGTCTCGTTGTTCAGTTTTTATTTTTTACTTTTAAAGCTATCATGATGCATTTCTTCATGGTTTTTAAAATGTCAATACTTTTAGTAGAATATGATTAGAACTGGCAAATTTTGAATTCTAAATTTAAGTGATAGCTTTTTGGCACGTTTGATTTCCTCATAAATTTGCATCCTTTTTCAATTGTTTTTCCAGCAGTTATCGTTATGGATTTTCAAGGTTTTTAAAATCCTCTTTTTGCATAATTACTTTTCAGTTCAGCACTTCATTTTTGACAGTAAAATTATCAGAATATTTTTGATAATTTTGTCATTAGTAATTGCTACTGATTTTTTTAAATCCTGATACTTTAAAAAGTATAATAGTATTACAACATGTATATTTGATTAATTACTTTTCAACACACTTGATTAGAACTAGTTTGTCATAAATCCACACAATTTTTTTCCCAGCCGGTCTACAGATTTACATGTAGTTTTTTTGATAATTTTTTAAAATGAAAATATTACAATACTTGCTTCGAATTTAAAATTGCTAGGTTTCAGCAGTAAGAAAATTTGAGGTTTAATAAGTATTAGCACAAAAGTTTTCAAGAAGTTAAAATGAAAAGTTTCTAGAAAAACTTTTTGATAGATATTTTTAATAGATAGGTTAAATGAACACTTTACAGTATTAAGTAAGCAAGATAGGTACCTTTCAATTATAGATTTGGCAGTAATAATGGCTTTTTCTGCAGCTCGTGGGCCAACTACAGGGTAAACAGATGTTGCACGATATCCATCATTTGAAGTGGCACTAACCTAAAAAAGTGATATTAAGAAATTTTTATTATTATCATATATTTATGAAACAATCCCTGTTTCTTTAATTTTCATATAAATATTTTTTTTTATTAGAACAAATAAATATTTGGTGGCATTGTAATTGCTATAACACACTTGCTTTTTAACAAGTGCAGTTTTACTACTAAATTATATGTTAAACCAATTACTTAAGTGTATTTGATCAGACTCAGGCCAATATCATGATAAGTGACATCTTCAAAATTGTTCAAATGAATATTTTTAGTCAAAAAAACCTTGATTTTAAAGAAGGTAATAAATTTTTTTTGTCTATTGTGTTGTAATACAGTATAAATTTTGAGAACTTGTCAAAAATATATATGGAAACAGTACTTAGGAATGGTGGGAGACAGAAATATCTTTTTTAAAAAAAACTGTGTTTATTACTACATTGTTATTAGACCTTCAATTGTTTGATTTAAATTAGTATATATTTCACAACAAACAATTTTGCATACAATATCAAGTCAAGTATTGTCCAAAAAAAAAAAAAAAAAATTATAATAAGCATGATTTGCATGATTGCTTAAGTACAATAAAGGCAAATTTTATCACAAAAGAATATTAATATATATATATACATATATTTTATTTCAGAATTGCTTTGTTTCGAACAGAAAGTCTTAATGATTTCTAGAATTATTTTTTTTAATAGAACATTAAAGATTTCAAAATGGTTAGAGATCAATATATAGAAAATGCATATAGTACCGTTACACAAAAAAACGAAACAAAAAACAACAAGTATGAATTATATTTAACATTAACTCATGGCAATATTTAAATAAAATTTGATAAGATTTCATTAATCAAATAATTTTAAAGTAAAGTTTCAATAAATTCATTTAAAGTAATACTTCAATTTGTTACTAAAAAGATTTTTGTAGAAAATTATTTAATGAATGATTCCTTAATTCACCGTTCAAAAATTCTATAATATGATTATTATATTGTCGATCATTTCAATCATTTTTAAGATCAGATGAGAGGTGAATCAATAATAACTCTGGTAAACCAATAACTCTGGTAAAATACATACAATACACATTTGGGTTTATAGAAAATGGGATGTTCTTAAAAACAAGAATACACACAAAAAACAGGAATAACAGGGAAAAAACTAACATTCAGCACAAAATATTTTTATGAAGAAAATCAGAACTTTATTAACTGCAAATTAAAGAGTTTCTCCAAAAAGAAAAAAGAGTACTGTTTAAATAGATTTTGAACAGAATATATCCATTGAAGATAATTTTCAGTAAGCAACTGGTTTTTACGAAAACTAAGTAGACTTAATAGTAGAGTAGACAGGCTAAATAGACAAACAATGACAGGCAAACATAAAGAGCATCTACTATAAACTAACCTTGCTTTTTCTTATAGCAACAACTTAAATAAAATAAAAAACTCATTACAGTATTGTAGTTTATTGATATTTCAAATTCTATAATAACAAAATTAAAAAATTTCTCGTTACAATGCAAACATTTCAAAATAATACTTTATTGCTAAATTGTAAATCAAGAATGAACAATTGGAAAAAGTAGTGCTAAAGCATTATTGTGTTTGACCAAGTGTTTCAATTAAATATAAAAATATGATTTAGCAAATGAATTGTTTTAAAGCAATTATTTACAAATAATTTATGTTACATTCAACACAATTTTTTAAACTTTTATTTTATTGTATTTGGTGAATTTGTTAGATCACAATTTTCGAAATGAGGATGTCATAAAACACCTTTAAAATAATTTTTTTTTATTGCAATTTGAAAAAAATTATTCCATGTAAACTCTCTGCAAACATTCCATATTTTCTATAATTATACAAGAAATTTGTTAGCTACGGCTTCAGAACATGACATTTAAAAAACAAAAACACAGCTTTATAAAAAAAAGTTAATAGTATAAATTATTTATCTTATGCAAACAATTAAATGCAAGGTTATCACAGATAGACTCTTTGATACTTAATTCCACTTTAATTTTTGATAGTACCAAATCATACCTTATAATAATCTGATGGAGTTTTACCTCGAGCACCTTGTACTAAAACCACATTATCTGAAACAGTAATCATAGTTTGATTATTAGTGTACCTATAATTTTGTTAAGAAAATTAAACATCAAATACTAATTAATATTAAAACTCAAATTCAAAAAAATAAATAAATGCAAAGAGTAAAAAAGTGAAAATTAAATTAACAAGAACCATATATACAAATAAATAAAAGAATCACAATAATTTAGTAATAATGATTGATATGGGGAAATGTGGAGTGAATGCAATTGCTTTGGTTTTTTTATTTTTAGACACAGTGACAATTTTGGTGTTAGATTGCACCTATTTTTGTTTTTAAAGTCTAGATCGTAGGTTCTCAATATGGGCACTGTTGACTTCCAGTGAGTGTTGAAAACTTTTAGAAGGACTTTGAAACTTCTTAAAGGATATGTAAAACTTAACNCACACACACACACACACACACACACACACACACACACACACACACACACACACACACACACACACACACACACACACACACACACACACACACACACACACACACACACACACACACACACACACACACACACACACACACACACACACACACACACACACACACACACACACACACACACACACACACACACACACACACACACACACACACACACACACACACACACACACACACACACACACACACACACACACACACACACACACACACACACACACACACACACACACACACACACACACACACACACACACACACACACACACACACACACACACACACACACACATATATATATATATATAAATATATATAAATTAATCGTTTATTAATAGATTGTTAAAAAATTTTTTTAAGGAGACATTGAAAAAAGTTTGTCTTATAAAATGGGTTTGAGCCAAAAAATGTTAGGAATCTATGGTCTAAATTAAGAAAGGCATTATTTTACTATGTACCCAAGATCATTCAAAATTGTATCAATGCTGCAATTAAAGGTTGTTGAAGCAGGAGGAAAATTGTAGTATAGTTTATCTATGGTAAGAGCTCCATCCACCACAAAGTCTGAGGCCATCCGCTGCTATGGAAACAAGAATAGCGCATTTCAAGGAGGGTAGCTCTTCCTCACTCTAGAGCTAACAAAATAGACTACAGAGAAAGATTACCTTTCTTTTGCTAACCCGATGTCCTAAACAATGACACCACACCCCTACTTGAAATAGTTATACTTTATTACCATAGTCACAGCCACGGGTCCAGTTATGTTTATTTTTGTATGACACCCGAATTCTAAGTAAAGTCAAAAACTTTCAAAAATAAATAAATAAAATGCTTTTAATCATTCAAAGAGGAAATATCAAGCCACATACTCAGTTTGAGAAATAGCACAACATTTTTCAAAATGAGAGAAGGATGTTGAGAATGATCAATGCCCATGTTGAATTTAAAGTTCATAACAGACAAAAATGTGGAAAAATTAATTAAATTAAATATTAATAATAAGTGATCTTATTTTAATAGAACAATGCAATTAATTTCATTCAGCTATTACCAAAAACAGTTTTATTAATAATATTGCTGCTTAGAGATTTCATATATGTTCAATATCTCAGAAATAAAGCGCCAATTTGGCGTCTTCGTCTTAGCATCATTCTCGCTACCATTTCTTGTAACCACATCAGTTGAAAATTGGTTGTTGATTTTATAGCTTGAGCATGCTCGTAGCACCAATGAAAATAAAATTTGAAATACAGTCCATTAGCCAATTTATTCATTTGTTATCAAACAAACCAGCATAGAATTCAAATCAATTGGTATCGAAAAATATAAAATAAATACATTTATCATGTGTCTATGAATTTTCGATGTCCTCACATTATTGAAATTATTTAATATTAAAAGTATTAATTCATTTCATTATGAATTCATTTGAAGTAGGCATAAATTTAAGTACAAATAAACATAGATATTTAAATAATAATAATTTTCAACAATCAATTGCAAGCATACAAACATAAAAATATTTTTTCGATGGATACATTGACATAATTTCACAATTTTTGAAATTGCTGTAATCCTAAGTATTTTAAGTAAGATATATATAGATAAGTTTAATTAAAATGCATCATTTATTACCTTCAATTTGAGAAAATTTTACATTTGAAAAATCACACAGCACATCTGGTAAATGATAATTAGCAGGGTCTCCTATTTCATAAACTAACTGTTCAGAAACAGTCCCAACAGTGACAATACCACCAGTATTTGGAGGTTTAGAAATCAAAAAATCTCCATTTTCCTTACACTCAGCAATTGGAAATCCCATATTGTGCCTAAATTAACAAACATTTTAATTTAAAGAAAGCAAAAAAAGTCTTGACAAATGAAATAAAAAATGTAAAATTGATAACATAAAAGCATACATATTTTGATCATAATTGATACATATTTTGTTTAAAATAAAATAGATGGCTGACTATTATCTTACCAATCTTTTACTTTGTGCCAATCAGTGTGAACTCCACCAGTGGCTTGAGCTCCACATTCAAGTAAATGACCAGCTAAGCTAGATTTTTATTAAAAAAAGGTAGCTTTAGCAATAGCATAAAGAATGAATTTACAGAGAATTCACAAAATTTTGAAATTACCAAACTTATATCTACACACTATAATAACATTATATATATCAGGGGTCAGTCTAGGTTTTTCTGAGAGGTACCTATTTTGTGAAAATGTATACGTAATTTGTTAAAATTAAGAATTATATTAAAAAATCAACACAAAAAAATGGTAAAAATATGGATTTAATGTTTCTTACAGTATAGAAAATTAAAATTTTAAGGCAAAGTATTTTGTGAAACTAACGTTTTTCCTAAAGTTGAATTTGTGAAGGTACCGCTAAACGGTAGTAAATTTGGCCTGCACAGACCCCTGTATATATATAGATAAATTGAAAACATTCAATGGAATTAAACATAATTTTTGGAGAAATTTAAAATTCATTACAAAATTACTGATTTCAAATTTAAATAAATTTGTTACAAACGTTGGAAGGTATAAGTATTTAAAGTAGTCCTTTTATACCGTGTATGCGCAGAATTTTTTTTTCTCTCTCTCTCTCTTAGTTTTGGTGAGAATTGTATTTGGCAACTAACAAAAAAGTTTGATTTAAATATCTCAAAAATTTAAAAAGTTTCAATCAATTTTCTAAGCAGTTTTTGTTACTTTTTAAAAGAAAGCTCAAAACCATAAGAGATTTTCCATCAATTTTATTTTGTGCTATTAAAAAAGATTTATTAAAAATTAGACGATCATCCCCATAAAAGTGTGTTTTCTTTCACATTTTTTCTTTCCTTATACCATCACATTTTGGTTTCTGGACAATTATTGTAAGGTATTATCATTTGTTATTCAATTTTGTCTTAAGAAACAAAATAAAATTTGTAAAAAACTCCTGATTACTTCTGAGAAATAAATAAATAAAAAAAATGGACAAAAAATAAATAGTAAGTCTAACCTTCCCATTGCAAGTTTATTCAAATCCTTCATATTCCATTTGAACTGCAAAAAATAATAAAATGGGTATAAAGTTAGGATCAACAAATTAAATTAATAAACAAAAAATGAATAAAAATTACTTTGCTTAGCAAAGGGCCTAAGACTAAAGCACTATCAACACAGCGACCAGTAATGACCACATCAGCTCCAAGATCTATAGCCTTAGCAATTGGACCAGCCCTAATACAAAAAAAGTAACAAAAATAAATCTATATAAAATTAAATCTCATTAATATAATTTATGTGGATCACATACCCTAGGTAAGCATTCATGCTAGTTACATTAGTTGGCATTGAGGTACCTTTATCCATATCTTTGATGTTCATGCTTTTTAACTTTTCCAGCTGCAAAGTTTATACAAAAAGATATAATCTGCACATAGGTCAGCCTTTAATTACTCAAAGAACAACTTATTTTTGATAATATTTCATCCAGTTAAAATCATAGCTTTTTAATTGTTTCTGCTTCTTTTCAATACAGAAAAATATTTTATTTGAAATATTTAATTAAAAGAATTCAATTTATACAATAGTATCCTCATTTTGAAATTTTTAAAATTCTAAAATTTATAAAGTTATTAGACTTTCAAGTGTGGATGTGGAAGTACTTTAACTAAGTATTTTGGAGTTAGTAAACAAGTTATTCGCTTTCTGAAAATCAACATTCATTGAAAAATAATTAATTACAAATGGAGTGGGAATGGAGAAAGGGAATTTTTTATACACAGTAAAAACATTTTCAAAGCACGCAAAAATTTGTTTTATTGAATGGATCTAAATAAATTAAACCTCCTGCTTCACAGAGTTAAATTTAATTTATATTTTTATACACAGAAAATATTCTTAGATACTAACCCAATCGAGAAAAAGGTACAAGCATAAAAAACCCCATTTAAACAAAACATATTTAAGACAAAAAAATATTATTCAAACATAAATTTCAAAATGTTTCAGGTCCCTATTTTTTCTGCATTAATATTAAACAATATTTTCTAATTTTTTTAGGTAGAAAAATGCTAGTTTGCATCTGAGATTCTATACTTAGTATCTGAGATGTAATGGATAAAAAGTTAGAAAGCCGTAAGGCCTAATAATTAGCAAAAATTTCCCTAATTACAAGAATAGAAAGATATAGATAGAAATATATAGAGTGGAAATTGAAATAGAATCTAAGATAATTTTTTTCCACAACTTAACAACAGATATATATATTGACGTGTATCAGCATAGCTAAGCAGTTTAAGTCATTGGCCTGAGAAAGCAAAGGTACCTAGTTCGATCCTCACAGTTTGAATAACATTTAAAAATGTTATTTAAGCTTTTATTTATTATTTCTTTGTCTCCTAGAATATTCTATTACATCATTTCCTGTTCCATTAGTTAGTTTTATAAGAGATCAAGTGTTTTAAGTGGAAACTCCAGCATTGAACAGATTGTTGCTGAATACAGCCAAAGATATTCAATTGCTATTAAATCTATTTTCAGGAAAAAATAATGTTAATTTTTTTTGATTCTATATAAATTATTCATTGTAGTTTTATTGTAAAATTTATGTGTTATTGAAAATAAACAACATCAACAATCAATGATGAAAACAGCTAAAACTATAGTTAAAAATAGATACATTTTGTTATTTTTGTTTTAACTGAGGTACAATGTCTGAAACTTAAAACAAGTTTCTTAGTTCATTTCTTGTAAAATCTTTAATAAAAACAAGCTATAACGCATTTTAGAGAAAATTAAATAATATTTTCAGTTATAGTCCAAAGAATAATATAGCACTTTTTAATGACAAAGAAATTGATTTACCTCAGGTAATAAATCATCTCCTGTTATAACAGCTATTTTTAGATCAATATTTAACTTTTTTGCAGCTGCTTTTAGAGCATCTGCACAAGAATGAGGATTGATTCCACCAGCATTTGCTATTACTCTAATATTTTTTTCTTTAATTGCAGGAAGATTTGGCACTAGAGCAGAATGAATAAAATCAGGAGTGTAACCCATATCCTAAAAGAAAAAAAGAAGGAAAAAAAAAACATTATGATACATACCTTAAAAATCGTAATCATTTGTATGCAAAGATGTAGCAAGAATATATTCATAGGGGGTAACTCAAATCACAGATGAGTCGCACAGGGTCCAAAAACTGTTGGGATCTTGTACCTCGTTTGTTCCTAGTATGCTTTATTTTTCTCAGGGGGGGAAGGCACACAGGACAGTACCAAAGATAATAACTTATGCACAGGAGAGTATAAAGGGGAAAGTTGTTATAGCTAAGCTTGGGGGTTTAAAATAATAAATTAGGTTTAAGGAATGTTTTTGATTATTTAAGGAGGCACTTTTTAATATTTGAGGAGGATTATATTAATTTTTTTTTCTTAGTTGGAGATAATTCTCCAGCCAAATTCAAATCACCAATGCACAATTTATAATAACTTAAAATAACAAATAAGTATAGTTATTTACAATACTAGTTTAGTTTGAGGAGATGAAGAATTTTTTAGATAGTGGATTAGATTAAAAAAATTTTTTTTGGTATTTTTTTTTGGATAGGAGTATAGTTTTTCTTGTGGGAATTATTTTTTCCAGTCAAAAGCATTATGTCTTCAACTCAAAATTTACATAAATTTAAACCAGGTATTCTGTGTTTTTTAAAATAATATGTTAAATATTTTAAGCCGTTAATTGAAGTTAACTAAACCATTGCAAAATATTCCATAACATTATTTCATTTAATGTTTTCGATAACAATTCAGAAATATCCACTTCTGTTCCTTAGATATTACTTTACAACTCCACTTAACATGTAGATAAAGATTTAAATTTTTACTTAGTAAAATAAGTTAAAGAGGGATTTCTCCCTTACTTATCTGTAAGATAAAAATGCAATACTTTAGTATTATTTATTCAATATCATTATTTAGCTGTAAACAATTTATAATATCAGTATTCATTAAGTTTTATGAAATATACATTTCTTGTTTATTTTAATCCATTGAATCAATACAAATTTTAATATATTTAAGACAATCTATCGTATATATTTCATATTAATAATAATTAGAAAATAATTAAAAATAATGGAAAGATGAAAAGATATAAAATTGACACGGGTTGCATTAAAATAGTAAAAGTTTCAGCACTAACATTTTAATAATAAATCGTAAATTATTATTTTTTTTCATTTATTTTAACACAATAGAGCTTAAAGTTTAAGCATATCAGAGTTTACAGTTGTCTGCAAATTTCTGAAGAAAAAGATTTGTCATTATTTGTAGCTTTTTATCCTCATATTTTGTTTTGTGTGTGTTCAGAAAATCCTGTTTTGTACCAATATAAAAGAAGTTCTTAAAATAATCAGTTCAAACAATAGAAAGATTTGATTTTTAATCTAATATCTTTTTATTTTAGTTAATAGTTCATCCAAAAAATTAGTTTTAAACACAAATGCCAAGACATATATTCATTGTATTTACGTTTCAAAATTATTGAAACCTCACCTAAAAATATATGATAAAAGAAGCCATATAAATATTAAATAAATATTGGCATGAAAGAATAAAAACTAATTGATATTGATTATTTTTACAATGAACAGCACCATTAAAATTTTCTAAATATTGATCTCAAACTGTTATGAGTCCCCCAGTACTCTATTGATAAAATGATACTCAAATTTGTTTTTTTTTCAGAATAAGGTAACTTTGGAATTAAAATATGTAGTATATTTTATTATTTTTTTGCGATAAAATTTGTTTGTATTGTACTTAAATCGAGTAAATTATACTTTCTTTAAAGTTTGTTGTTAGTCTTTTTTAAAAGTAGTCTGGTACATCTATACAGTAAGATAAAAATGTCCTGGTTTTTTCTTTAGTTCACTAAGAGATCTGCAATTTGCTTATTAACATAATTCATTGGTTTAAACCAGCCAAAGCAGCTTGAACTAAAACATTAGTTTTAATTAATTTTTTAATAGGGTAGATATCTTAAGACCATAATTTGAGGGGTTATTATTTTTGTCATTACTATTACATCTTTATTTTATTCTAAAAAAGTGTCAAAGTCATAAAAAAAATTTAAATTTTTAAGCAAATCCTTATTTCTTAACAAGTTTCCTTTCATAGATGGAATTAAGGCATTTTGCATAGATTTCAGATCAAACTCTAGATATTTGGTAAAAAAAAAAAAAAAAAAAAACTGAATTCTTTGGTATCAATTTAATTAATTGTTGTTTTCACAAGTAAACAGAAAAAAGCGCAGGAAAAATTGCACGAAAAAAAGACAGAAAATAAAACGTTAGGGAAAAAAAACAAAAACATTGTGGTGTAAAATTGAGCCTGAATAAATTAAATATTTTTTAATTAATTAAATACTACGAATATAAAAATATTTATTAATAATGAATGAATATTTAAATCTTATTTTAATATTAATAAACAAAGGTAAATGTAAAGTTTGGGAAAATGAACTTTTGAAATTTCATATTCTTATATGAGCTTTAAATTTTTTTTTTTTTTTAATAACAATAATACCACTTATTGTATTGTGATATGATAATCAGATAAAAAAAAATATTTTTTTGGTAAAAATTAATTTTTTTTGGACAGATGATTTAAAAAAAATCATATTTGTAACAATTTCGTAAATATTTTTAATTTATCATAAGATTAACAACCTGAGAGAGTATTGAGTACTTTTTGTTCAGCAAGGCACAAGAAAATTAAACTATTTTTTAATTTTATTTAATTTTTATGTATTTCAAGAAATAAATAAAATAAAAGATAAATGAAAAAAAAGTTGGTGAAGGTCTAAATTTTTTGACAATTTTTCACCTGTGCTTGGCAAATTGAAAAGTACCGAGAAGGTATTGTTGATACATAATATAATGATAATATACTATTATGGGAGATACAAATTTAAAAAATATAAAATTTTTAAAATTTCTTCCAGAGTACTTTTAAAAAAAAATATCTAGTTACATTTGAATAAATGTTAAATGAATAAAAATCAGGCTCAACAGCTTGAATGGAATAGATTGCTTAGTTAAGACAATTTTTAAAGTGATTAACACATAATCATTTCATGTTTTGCATTTGATATTAAAGTCTACTTTTCAGTGTTTTTTTCCTTGATTCTTTTTCACAGCGTTACTTTTGAGTTTGGATAATAATGCTTTACAAAATATTTCTACCAATGAATCGAATTGAGATAGATCAGATATAGCCAAAAAATTTTTGCTGTTTAAACAGAAATTTATTATGTTATTTTGACGTAATGGGGGAGGGGATATTTTTCAAATCGAGGAGATACTATCATCAGTCTTGGGGGGGGGGGGCTTCTCGGATTTTTCTTATTTGTATGCATATTTCATTTTCTAATTTTGTACAGCACACACTTCTTAAAATACCCTGCTGTTAAACCAGTAAACAGGTCTTTTAATTTTTCAAATGTATACATAATAAAAACAAAATAAAATAAATGAAAAGATGCACTTACTGGAGATTTCTGCTTTGCAGCAGCTAAAATTGACATTGTAATTTCCGAGAGATAGTCCATAACAAGGAAGTCTAACTTTCCTCCGTGTACAAGAGGAGGAACTAAAATAAAACAATAAAATATTACCACAATTTTGGTAAGATTATAATTAAATCACTAAATTAATTAGTTTAATTCTTACCTGACGTAGCAGTATCTCCCCAAAATCCGCTCGCACACCCTATGCGAACGTTTGAAGACATTTGACGAAGTAATGAGCTTCCAAATTGTCTGCATTTTAAAAAATTTAAAAGAATATTCTTATTACAAAACTTCATTATTATTTAATTTCAAGAGCAGTCACAATTACAAAAAAATATGTTGCATTTCTGTCTGTTAAGAATTTGGAAAAGGTACTCAAGTAGTTAGGTAATCACGCAGACGAAAGAAATCACATTTAATCAATCTACAATTGTTGTTTATTTATTAAACGTAAACAACTGGAGTAATGGGAGTTGAAGTATTTATTCGAAAAGAAATTAATAAAAATAACATGTTATAAATATTAAATAATGGAATGGAATTCATTGAGCTTAAACGAAACCTATTTACTTACATGAAGCATTTCAGTTTCCAGGTCAAAATATATGGCGAAATAAGATTCTCTTTTCGTTTTCCTCAAAAGCATGACTCAAATAACTCAAAAACAGCTTTTACGATTAATGAATGCTGATTTGACCATTCAATTGAATTTTTCAACAGTAAAAGAAAGAAGTATTTTGTCTTTATACAGTTATTGTTAAACACGTAAATTTTTAACAACATAATAATTATTTTAAGTGATTTATGAATGACACTTATGACGTCATGAACTTCTGCCAGTGTCAGGTGAGGCGAGGTGAAGAGAATTCCGTTGCGATGTGTACATTTAATTTCTCTGATGGAACAGTCAATTTGTTGTGATCGCTGATATTGGTTATTTTCGGAGTTGATGGGTTTATCTATCATTATGTTTGGCAAATAATGTTTACATTTTGTTCTCCCTTTTATCAAGAATCAAATTGTTCTCTATATGCCATCTGTTTACGTTTATAATGTATACGTACTTGGTAGTGCGCTTAGAAAAACTTTGTTTATAAATACTTTCATTAGCCAGCATGAAATGTTTTGTTTACCTTGTTCGATGCCTCTCAATCTTATTGAATTAAGATCTGACATTATTTAGCTTATGAATTTTTATATATATACATAAAAAAAGCAATGGAGGTCGACAGTGCACTTATGAATGAAACTGTATACGGTGTTTCTCCTGGTGAAGAATGTCACGTTATGTCAGATAAAGTACAAACGTTAGCTAACAATATTTATGAAGAATTTGCCAGGATGATCGCCAAATATGATGAAGATGTTGTTAAGCAACTTATGCCTCTGGTTATTAGTGTTCTAGAACACTTGGATTTATCGTTTGTTGAAAATCAGGAGCACGAAGTTGAATTAGAACTACTTCGAGAAGATAATGAACAATTAGTCACACAGTTTGAGCGAGAGAAACAGTTGAGAAAATCATCTGAGCAGGTATTAATTAATGTTGTTCACATAGTTAACGTTATCAAAAGTATAGAATAAAATGCCAAATAGTGCAATGAATACCAATACAAGCCTACAATATTATTATGTCAAGTATTAATGGATGAAAAAATAAATTATGCGGTGAAATGGTCTCTGTATGTTTGCCTGAAATTTTAAAAAAGTACTGTTTGATATAACTAAAAAGGTACCTTGTAGAATAGGTTATCTAATTAGACTAAAATAAGGAAGTAAATCTTAAGACTGTCTTTCAATAATTGAAAACTGCATAAAGATTAATTAATGGTTTATACCAGCATTTATCAAATGCTTTTGTGAAGTTTATGAAATATTAAATTCATCCTTTTCTAGTAAATCTTAGAATTAACTAAAAGAAATTCTAGGTAAGACGAGAATTTTCTTTGACTAGATGGTTAGGGGGTTTATTACTCTATCCTTATCTGTCATGTCAACTACAATCACTAAGATGCTAATTAGATTTTAAACTTCAAAAAAAAAATTTTAAAACAACTTAGGTGTGCTTGGAAGTGGGTCTCCTTCTGTAATGTTTTTTGTTGTTGTTTTTTATGTTTCTTGTATCTATTGTCCAGAAAAGCTGCAAGACTTAGAGATTATTTTGGTGTAGATCACGATACAGAAATCCCTATAGTCAGTACTGTACATTTTATCCAGTAATGTTAAACTAATTTTTATTAACAGTGTTTTCATCTCAGAAAAAAGATGGGTGAGAATTTCTCACCCTTTCTCAAAAACAGGGTGAGATTTCAAAAATTAAAAAAAAAAAAACACAAAGAGACTTGAAAAAAAAAATCATTTCTTTAATTATAATGCATTTTTAACATCTTCTAATTTTTAAAGCATTGAATATTTTTGCTGCATCATCATATGGAAAATGTTCTACATCTACTTTTTCATCAGCTATTCTCATTAGGTTGCTCAAATGCGTATTTGTTTCGTTTTGATCGTTTCTACCCACATTTGTTTCATTTTCATTTGTCCGTTTCGGAGTAGAAGATATTGGCTTTACAAGGTATTTGTCCATCTTACATTAACGAGCAAAAAATTTGAACGTCTTACATGAAGAAACCTTACCTACGGTAAACACGTGGTTGCAGAGAAATGCGTTCTGAAAGAGGTTCCGTGGTTCGGAAGGATTGTGTTCTGTTGTTCTTGATGGTTCTGAACAATACTGGTAAATAGGGAAGCTAGATAGGCAGATGTTGAAAATAATAAAAGATCCAGGAAGAAAAGTGAAACGGGTTTTATTCTAAATGGCGCAAATGAGAATTTTTTTTCAAAATGCGAGAAATTCGCGAATTTTGAAATTGGTTTATAGAATGCGCGAATTTCTCGTGGTAATCATTTTTTAATGCGAGAATATAACAAAAATATGCGAGATTCTCCCGTTGTCGCGCTGTAGTGAAAACACTGATTAATAATCAGGGGTCTGTCCAGGCCGAATTTACTACCGCGTACCTTCACAAATTCAACTTTAGGAAATACTTTCACAAAATACTTTTTCTTAAAATTTTATTTTTGCATCCTTTGAGAAACGATAAATCCATACTTTTGTGTCGATTTTTTAATATAATTTTTAATTATTCACACATTATGTCTAAATTTTCACAAAATAGGTACCTCTCAGAAAAACCTAGACAGACCCCTGATAATGTAAGTCACTGCAGAGACTTATGAATGTTTAGACATGTTGTTTTAATACTGATTATTGATAATTTTTGGAATCTATAACAGTTCTTACTGTCTTATTTTAAAATACAATAAGATTTCTGCAAGATTGCTATTGTCAAAAGTGTGCTAATTTATACAGATGTTGAGTATTTGCAAACTTTTCTACAAATACATTAATTTTAGAAGAGTATATTGTAAATTAATTTCCTATTTGAAGAAATTAAGACTTTAAAATGAAATGAGATTATTTTAATGCTATTTATATTTCTTGAGAGTCTGTAAAAAATTTCTAAACTGTTATTGATATTAGTGACTCTTAACTAATAATGCTAATAGGTTTATGGCCCTGGAAATGGATAAATACTGTGCAACTTAATTATAAGTTATAAATAAGTTAATAAATCTTTACTTTTCTTTTATAGTTGTGATCTTATAAATCTGTGTTATTTCAATTTTTTTGAAAAAATTTTTTCTTTATATTTTTAGAAACTCTTAGAATTAGAATATTCTGTAGATGAGGACAGACGTGATCTTCAAAGCAAAGTTGAAAGCCTAGAATCTCTTGTTCGTATCCTTGAAATTAAAGCAAAGAATTCTAATGATCATGGTAACTTAAATTTTATTCTTTAATAAATTAAGTATTATAAAAATAAATATTTTAAAGCAGGAATCTAGAACATTTAGAGTTTCTGAAATTTGTTGTTCATTCTTGTTAATGTGTTCTTTTTTTTATATGTATATAAATCTTTGTCTAAAATATTCATTTGTAAAGAAATATGTAAGCGTTTTCATTTGGATGGACTTTTGTTTTACGAAATATTTTCATTGATTCTGCCTGACTTTGAAAAGTATGTGTGCTTGGGAACCAGAACTTCTAAATTTCTTGGTGTTTTTTGTCTATTGCAGGTCCAAATTTAAAGTACCTATTAATCTTTTTTCTTTTTAAAGATTTACAAAAGCAGATATTTTATGACTGCAAAAAATGAATGTAATTAGTAATTGATTTATCAATAATTTGATAAACGATTAAATCAAAATTTTCATATCAATTGCCTTTGTTGTTTACAATCTGGATATATTTTCCAAAACAAATACACAATACATTCTCCTTTTTCATATGCTTACATGCATATATATAAAATGCTGATTTGATCAATTAAAATAACACTTCTCTAAGGGAAGATAAAAACAATTATCAATGTTAATTAAATAGTATGTATGTTTATGTATGCTGATATTGAACAGAGAATAAAGGTTTCAATTCTTTATATATCTATTAATCTACACATTTATAACTATATTTATTGATAGGTAGACAAAGATATTTAAAACAAGAAAAAATTATATTTTGAGGAATCAAAGCTCTTAATTACAATTGATCAAACATCTTTGTCAAGAAAAGGTGCAATGTAATTTGATTCTCTTCCTTTGTTATTAATACAAGAAAAGGGAAAAATGTTTTATTAATTTAAAAAAAAAAGTTTGAATAGTTTAGTTACAATGTCAGAATTAACTTGCACTAAGTCTGTCTTTTTTCCATATCTTTAATAGAAAATAAGGTAACCCAGAGGACGTGTTATAACTTATTCTTTCCTCATCCCATCTATGATTTTTGCATATTCGATACACTACAACTTAAGTGGAATCACTAATTTTCCACAACTCTTTTATGTTGTTTCTGAAATTTCATCCATGTGAAATTTCAAATTATGAGGTCCAAAATTCTATTCCTTTATACAATTTTAGTATTGACTATTTTGTAAAATATTTGAATCAAAAAAGAAAATGTGAATGGATATTTTTTCTGAATAATCCTCAAAAATTTTTCTTAGATGTGAAAAAAATTGTCCTTAACTTTATTTGTAAACCTCATTATTTATGTTAAGATGGAAAATTTTGGTTTGAAATCAGCAATAAATTTGGCTAGCTTATATCGAATTTTTGTTCCAAATGGAAATTGATCTATCTGTTGTATAATTATTATATGCTAGGGGAATGGTTAATAAATGCTATCATATCCTCAAAAACCTATTGAAATCTCTATATGTAAGTTTAAAAACAAAAATTAACATTTATAAAACACTAATTTGATTTATTCTGCTTTATGGGAGTGAATTCTGGGCAATGACCAAGTTAGATAAAAATAAATTATTGACCTTTGAATGGAAAATCTTAAGGAAAATGTTATGTGCAGTCCATGAGAAGAATAGCTAGAGATCCTTGTTTAACTTCGAGATTTACCGAAAGTATAAGCTACTTGATAATAAAGTCATAAAATGCAATAGACTACCATGGCTTGGACATCTATTCCAATCTGATAATACCAACCTAGTAAAAAAGCTGACTTTAACTAATCAAGAGGGAAACAGAAAACTAGGAAGACCACCAATTAGATGGCTTGTCTTGGTGGAAAAGAACTTTCATATAGTAAATAAGGGAAAGTTTAAGAACCTTGCTGCAGATAGGGCCAAATGGCAAAGATTACTTTGGGTGGCCTTGGCCTGTAATAGGTGACAATGTCTTGAAAGAAGAGATAGAATGAATAAAGAAATTGCTTTCTTGACATCTCAGCAAGTAAAACAAATGCAAACAATAAAAGCTTTCTCTTTTATTGTTTGCATTTGTTATTACACTCTTTTTCTTGTCTTGTCTTACACTTTTGGTCTAAAAATACATCAAATTAATAAAGTGTGTTTGCTGTTTAATTTACAGCTTCAAGGTTAGAAGAAAAAGAAGTTGAAATGAAAAAGGAATATGCAAAACTTCATGACCGTTATTCTGAGGTAAAATATTTGTGTAGACATTTACTTAGTTTTTAAATTTCTAATTTTATTTTATGATGCTTTATCTTATTTTAGTTAATTTATTTGTTAATTAATTAGTTAATTAATTTGTCTGGTAGATATTTAAAGAAATTTTGCAATGTTGCCTATCTATTCTTAAACTTATATTTTATGTATTATGTAGTTATTTTTGATCTGCACTAAGTGATTGCCTTGAAATTAATTATTTAGTCATCTTATTTCTGACAGTGGTTCTCTCTATAATCCACAGATGGTAGCTCAATGAGAGGCATTTATAATTTTCTCTAGAAGATACAAATGCATTAATTTCTACAAGATTGACTTGATATTTCTATTTAAAAATTTTAAAAAGATTTTTTTTAAAAATTAGTTTGAGTCATGGCTAATATATTATGAAGAAATAAAAAATGCAAATAATAATGAGAATGATATTAACATATCTTCAAATTTTGTGTAATTGAATAAAAGTTTATTTTTAAGTGAACATCATAACATTTCTATGTTTGTATGTGGCTTAGTGAGTTCAATTGAAACATTCATTGTGTTATGAATAACTATACAAATTCAAATCTTTTTGCTGATCAATACAATCCAGTTTGAAAAACAAAACTTAGCATCTTTTATACTTTCCTAGCAAAAACATGAGGCAAAGTCATAACCTTTAAAACAAAGCAATAATTCAAACATCTATAAGCCTTTCTTCTTTCTTTGTGGGGTTGACTACTGTTTGTCATTAAGATTATTTGGCTGAAAATCTTTTTATTACATTCAGCTGAATTTGGTAATTACTTAAAAAGAAAAAATAAATTTAGATAATTGGCAAAAGTTAACATTTTAGATACATTACAATCACTATTACTTTAAGAAAGCAAACAATTGAAAAATCATATGTTTTCATAAAACATATGATTTTTCATGATTTAATTTTCATCTTACATTTTCTTCAATGGTTCTTATTGAGCAATATTTTTTTGTATGCTAATATAAGTCTTAGACACCATTCCATTTATAAATTATTTATATTTCATTTTCGCTTGACAAAATTTCTGGAAAAAAAAAATCCCTTTAATTAAATTTGTAAGTTTTAATATGTTATGGTAATGAATAAATGTAATATGTAATTGTTAACTTTAAAAAAAAAGAAAAAAACCCAGCACTTAATTATTTATTAATTGTTTATAAAATTAATTATGGCAGATTCAAAGCTGACTTATTTATTCTAAATTAAAACTAAAATCAGAAATCTTTACTTCCCTAGTTTTTCTCAAAATGTTAGTTATATTATTTACTTAATTGGAAGTAGGGAATGAATTGAAGCATCATTTTATTCAAATATTTGATTTTTCTATGATTTTATTTCAGGTGTTCAGGACTCATGTGGACTATGTAGAAAGAACAAAAATTCTGTATGGAAACGAAAAAGCAGAAATGATTTCATCTAAGGCCAAGTAATTTATGAATTTTATTTTTAAACTGAATAATTCTTAATAAGTACTATTTTTTTTTAAATGAAAATTTTAGAAAGGAAATTACTGTATTTTGTGTTTGAATATTTTAAAGTTGTTTTTATTGCTACAATTTTAGTATTTTTTTTAATATAAAAGGAAATATTTCTGAAACAGCATTTGAAATTATTTATTTTTGTGCTGATTTTATTGATACATAGAAATAAAATTTCCTGAGATAATTCATTATATTTATTTAATATTTCTTACTTAAAAAAAATTTTTTTTTTGTTAATCTTGGTATTTATTATTTTCAGATATTTTTAAAATTCTAAATTTCGACTATTGTAATTTATACCACTTTTAACATGTTCATTATGGGATCATGTGATATAGGTTGACAAAATTCTTCCCTACAATTTGTGTCAATAAAACACATCAAGTGGTAGCATGAAGGGTTTACAGGGTTTGTAATTGTAGTACTAATTTTAGTAGTACTAATTTTGCTGATAAAAAAATATTTTGACTTTTCACATTTTGTTCTGATATTCTGAATTTTAGTATGCGTTCAGAACATCCCATTTTCTGAGAATACAATTGAAATTTTTAAAAGGCAAAAAAAGGGATTTGAAGAATTTAAAATTTTGAATTTTTGATGAAGCATCTTTTTATTTTAATTAATAAGGCTTGTAGAATTCGCAAAATTCAATAGATCTAATTAAATGACTACTTGAAAATTGCTTACGAAGTTGACACATATTGCTTTATGCACAAGATTCATTGTTTAAATCTTTTCAAAAGTTTAGTCATTCTTCTATAAAGAAACTCAATTAATTTTATGTCATAAAATTTTTATTGTGATGAAGTTAAGGGCCATACAATTATATATATTTTAAGCAAGTGCAATAACAAATCTTTTAGGATGGAGTTTTATTTTTAATAATTTCATTTAAAAAATTTAATATTCTATGAGAATTAATTATTTAACGAGATTGAAAAAGTAATTATTTTTTCCAGGCATAATATATCACAACTAAAATCTGGTTCAATGTATAGTATGAGTTCAGAAGAATCTTCCATCAAATCTCTATCAAGTCCTCCAGATTTTAGCGGGTTAACACCACCAAACCATGTGCCAGATGCAGCTAGAATTAGCAGCTTGCAAAATGAACTTCAAGTAAGATTGCTTAATATAAACATTTAACCGAAGTGTAGTTTACTTAGATTTAAAAAAAAAAAACACAATATAAATTAAACAATATTTATCGAAATTTTATGAGCCTCTGTTTTATTTATAGGATGTGCGATCTCATAGCTCTTGCCAAGACATTAAGACCGCTCAAAGTAAGCAGTACTGAATATTTGTTTATCTTTCATTATGTTTAATTAAAGGGTCTTAGGGTCAAATATTTAATTCTAGATTACATGGTTATGATAAAACTGTATTGCTAAAGTAAATTCATTATGTCTTTTAAGAAATTTCAGATTTGTTTATCTTTTTCAAAATAGTTTAATCTACTACTTTCCAAACAAAGCATTTCAAGCTTTCTAAGTTGCCTTTTGTGAATCTTTATATTTAAATGTAATCTAATTCATTATTTATCATATAAAATTTTATATTTAAAATATTTTAATTCAATTTATGGTCTTTCTTTAGAAAGTGGTTGGACTGATGGATTTGGATCAGATCTTACAGATTTCTCAATATCATCTGCTCCAGATGTAGATGATATGAATGACTTATCATCACTTGATATGGCTCCAGCTGCCACTATACAAAAGTATTATTATCCTTTTTATATCAAAAAAGTGCAATTAACTTTTGTTTATTTATTGTTATAATTTCATATTATGTATTATAGCATTGTGGGTTCACAATTTTTTAATAATAACTCATTTCAGTATTTTTTTTTCCAATGTCTAATTTTTCATTTCCAAGATAAAAGCTTCAGATTTATAGATTTTTACTTTCGTAAGCAGCCAGTCTAGTATTTTGTTTTTAGGTATATTTGAGTATCTAATTTTATTTCAAGTATTAGTTTATATTAAGTTAATTTTCTAAATATGATAAAAAATGTGTGAAAGAGTATGTAGAAATAAAAGTAATATAATGTAGTTTTCACTTTTGCAATTTTTTTAAAATGAATTACAGTTATTATGAATTAATATTTTAACCTTCAGTTAGACGCGCACTTGTTTCAGACATGGTTAGTCGCGTTGCACCTATAAGGTGCTTTTGATTTTTTTAAAGTCAAGTGAAATTTATTCCAGTTTAGAAAGTTAATTGTTACCTATTTAAGATTCTTTAGATAGATAATGTATGAAAAAATTTATTTAATTACTAAAATATATGAAAGAACTGTATCACAAATAATTGCACAACATAATGAAAAACAAAGAAAAGTAAAATTGTAAAAAAACATTGAGAGTCTTGCATATCGGAATAACTTATTTCAATATCACATGTTAGTATAAAAATATTATATTAGAGGCTGTCTGATGCAGAACTGCCTTCATGTGAACAAGAATTTTTGCAAGAGGTGTTTACAAATTGTTGTTACATTACTCAAACATAAGTGTTTTCCGCAAGCAGCACAAGTATACTTTGTATTTTTTCATTGTTTATTTTTTTGACATGGCACGCACAATTTTCTTTTCTTGGCTTGATTTTTCTGACAGTGAATTTTCTGAGGCTTGAGAAGTTTGCTTCTGCCAATCGAAAGCGAAGTACTGAAGATAAATTTTTCTTGCTCCTGCCTCGGATCATTTCATCCATCACAAGTTGTTTAGCCAATTGAGACAAGAAGGTTCTGTGGTTTTTCACTTCGTATCCATTTTTTGCGTATATAACTTGACCATTTATACCTGCTACGTTGAGTAGGGCAGAAAATAAGATAAAATATAGATATTTAATTCATAAAAATATTATATCCATAATACTTGGGTCAATGGTCGCGTTGCACCTGTGGGGTGATTTGAGCTGCTGCAACTCTCCATCGGCATGTTCGAAGGTCGGGAGTACACAGACCTTTGAGTAATCCAAAGATAGGAAGATAACATTAGGCTCGTTCCCCGGAAACATCTATTGACGGCAAAGGAGGTGGAAGTGCAGTAAAGATGCACCTGAGGTGCACTCGTCTAACGGAAGGTTAATCAAAACTAATTTAATTGCTCAATTAATTTTTACTTTAAAATGAGAACTTTTTGTATTTGCATAACTTGTTTCACTTAAAAAAATTAAATAGACTTTGCAGTTTATCTCTTATAGTGTATGTACTTAAACTCAATATAAAAAAATGCTCATTTTAAATTATTATATTTTTTAATTAGTGATTTTTTAAATTTATTTTATTAATTAAGTTTACAATTTAGATAAACTGAAATGTATAAATATTTTATTGGTAGCTATGTCGTAATTCTAATGAATAAAAAAAAAAAGTGAAATTTTTAATTCTGCATAAAAAAATATTCTATCGTATAACTTACTTGCATATAAGCTAAAAAACTTGTAATTATTATTTTTTTTATATGTATACTTATATATATATATATGTTTATCTATACCTATATATGTTTGTTTCTTTTTTTTTAAATGAAAAATTGAAACCCTGATCTATATTGCACATTAACAAGTGTAATGTGTATTGCCGAACATATTTAATATATTTCAGTACTTTAAGTGCAGTAATAAAGTATTTTATTATATTCAATATGTTGCAGTGAAAGGAGGCGACCAAACACTTTGTATCAAGAATTAAGTTTCACAGAGTGTGAAAATGCCCAAGATGGGGAAGATGGGAATGATATTGCTGGTAATTTCATTTTTAGTTTATATCAACTGAAGTCTGTTAATTTGAATAAAATTAAAATATTTTGAGTTTGATGCAAATTGCATGAAATGAAAATTAACTATCCTGAGTGAAAAAAAAAACAAAAAACATGTACACGATTATTTGATTTAAAGAAAAATATTTAGCTATATTAAACTTAACTTTTTTTGCTGAGAGTTCTTATTTCTATTTTAAAACAGACTATAGAGCTTTTTTTCTGACTTAATATGTTTAAAAAATTCTTATTGTTATAATTCCTTTTTAGAGATAATAAATTTTTTAACTTGAAATATTTTTTTGTGCCTAAGTTATTTTAGTCATAAGTTGGACTCCTTTAATTGAACCATGTAATACTTGAAATACAGAAAATGTTAACTAACATTAATTTTTTACAATCTGTTTTGATTCTATTGTTAAAATATTTTTATTCAAGTCCTTCCTTTTTTATTATATAAAATAAAATTTAGACTTAAGTGAATTTTTTAAGAGGTAATTCAAAGTCTTTGTATTTAATAGAGTAAGAAAGTAATGATAATAATAAATAAAGTGGTAATACAGTAGGGAACCGATTATCCGGAACGATCGGGACCATTGCTATTCCGGATAACTGATTTTTCCGGTTTTCTGAATCGCTACAAAAAGCCGTTTTTTTTTTTGTTGTTAAACCCAACTAAAAAAAATTTTTTTTTTGGAAATAATCTAAAAAAGAAGAAAAAATTATGAAGTAATACACTAATGATTATTTCCAAAATGATTCTAAGGTAAACATCTTTCGAAAAAGAAAGAAAAATACTAAATTCTTATGAGGAAAAAAAATTTATTTTTTAAAAAATGGTTGGAAAATTCATCGAATTTCGTTTCGGTTTTTTGGTTTTCCGGTTTTCTGATTTCCGGATAACGGGTTCTGTACTGTACAAAAAATCTGAGGTATTTTATTTTATAGGGATAATTATAAAATTTATTTTTCTATTCATTGTCAAGGCAACTCATTAACTTCTTACATTAACATTTCTATTTAGCTAATGCATATGTTTATTTTTCAAGCAATTTAAAGTGTAGTGTTCACAAGATAAATCTAGTCATTCATAATGAAGAATACAATATCTTAACTTTAAAAAGATGTTGATTTTCAGAGTGGTTAGCTAAGAAGTTTAGCTATGTTTTTTATAGCTGGTATTAACAAAGAAATTTCATTACCATGATCTTAAAATTAATGAAAGATTCTAAAAAATATTTTTAAATGACTTCATTGCTTAAAAAAGGGAATTATAACTCAACTTAAAAAAATACAAAATCTACATTACAGGTTTTTGTTTTTGAGTTAGAGTTGTTAAAATTATGTTCTGAATAGAAACTTTTGTGTTAATATTTCTAAGTTTTGTGATGTATTACACTTTTAGTACTAACATAGTATTTGGTAAATTGTCTTCTTTATATACTAATATTATAACTGTCATTAACATATTGAAAATGAATAACCTTAATTTTTTAATTTGTAATATAATCAATATCTAATCTCTTCCAGTGTATAGTTTCTAACATTATGAATAATATACTAACTTAATAAATTTTCCCTTTTTTTTTCTTCTGAAAATTCTGGCAACCTGTAGCACCAGACAGTTTCTTTGGTAAGGAATTTAATACTTTTCCATTCACCTTTTTATTTACTCAATTTATGAAGGACAGGGTTGCTGCTGGATTATTATAGTGTGTCAAATGTCCGTGAATCTTAAAATAAAATGTATAAATTCAGGATTACGACTCTTCACATTGAAAATAAAATTAATTTTTAAAAAAATTGTTTATTCTGTAAAATCAAACTGCAGTACCATATGGATTTGTGATCGAACTACTTTAAATATAAAACTGATTATCTACTGATTACTCATGCATGATTTGAAGTTCTTTATAAAACCTCTTACTTTAATGAAACTGAGAGTTTTTGAATATCATACAGAAAATGCAATAAAAATCCCACATTGAACTGCATTAAAAGGGGATTATTGAAAGTAGGATTTAAAAGTAACGTAAATGGGCAGGCATGATGGGTGAGAGGGCATTACAGTATAGTGTTTATAATTGATTGATAAAACTGCTTCGATTTGCTATGAAATAAAATTGTTGCAAATTCAGCACTTAATTCGCAATGTCTTGTTAGTAATTGACTTATAACTGTAATGTATGATTTGAAATTGGCAACTTTCCAATAATGCATGGTTGGAAATATCATAAAAACATTAAAATTTGAAAAACGCTTTGAAATATGTCAGAATTTAGGTCTGTAAAATTTAAGGTTTGGAGATAGCATTACGTGATTAATAGCATTGATGTTTACTGTGACCTAACATCAAATGCATGTGTGGAAAATTGCATTTTTCATATTATAATATCAAATAGAAAACCCTGATTTGATTTTCGTCAAGTTGCATTGTGATGTATCAAAATTTTGATCAGCAGATAAATAAAATACTGAGTAAAGATAAATGGTTAAAATGAATAAAAATGAATCATTTGACTTTTTTTTTGTAAAAGTCTTAAAATGTTAGTATAAGTAACTTCGTATTTTATAGAAAGAATAATAAAATATAAGTTTTTATCATTTGTTTCACTCAATTTTTGTGCACTATGAAACATTTTTTACATTTCAAAAATTTTCAGAACCCCATTTTTATAAAAGAAACCCTGATTTTTGACTATTTACTGTCTCTAAAACCCAGTTTAAACAATACTCAGTGGCAACCCTGAAGTGTGTGCAATTTTAAATTAATTTCTTTTTTAAATTTAACAATATTGTACTATTATTTTTATTTACTTAATCCTTTTTCTATAGTTTTCTTATGTTTCAAAAATATTATTATGCAAAGAAAAAAAAGCACATATAAGTGATGTTGATTCACTAAATTGAATTAAATTATGTTAAAAATGTTAGGCGAAGAAAACAGTATGAAGAATAACTTTAGTAAAACCTTAATTTAAATTAGAAAAGAAAAAAAAATTTAATGTTAGAGCTTGGTGTACCAATTACACATTATGAAAATTATTAACATTCAACTAATTGTTGAACCCCCTATAATATTCTCAAGCATGTTGAACCAAATTCTTGATCCCGAGAGCTTAATTTCTAAGTAGAACCTTTCCGGTGCCCAAGCTGGGTCAGCAGATTGATAGGCAGACACACTGATTGTTTTATTGTTCTATAACTTTTATATTTAATGGAGAAAAAATTATTAAAAATTAGAATTTTTTTTGTTTTAAAAATTTTTTTTGCTACCCTTAAAAATAATTTTAGATATAAGGTCATTGCATAAATGTGGTTACACAAATATATTTTCATTAATGGGTTGTTCTTCAAAAACCTAACTACTACTTTTTTCGTTGCTTGTCAACCTATCCTTGAAGCTATTGTATTAAGTGCTTACCAATATACCCTATTCACTTATTATAATTTAGTGGTTCCCTTTCTAATTACCTATTTGTAATGAAATAATTTTTAAATTTGACAATAGGAGATTAAATTTTTTTTATTATATTTCATAATTTATTTTTGAAGTCTTATTGAAGTTATTATATTGATTCAAATTTGATTTATTTTTTTCTTTTAACTTTTATTATTTTATTTTATTATTTTGCTGTTTTTAAGTTGGTAATTATATAAGATCTTTTTTTGTTTTGTTTTAGGTTTATCAGGTCAGTCAAAAATATTTTTATTTTATTTATTTATTTTTATTTTTTGTATTTCTTCATATTTTAACTTGTTTTCTTTTATTATTCTTTAAACCCTATTCTTAGTTTCTTTCATTGATAATACAGAATTTCGCACCATTGTGTAAGGATGCTTAATTACGTAGTTACTAGTAATGCAATAAATTTTTAGTGATATAATCAGTTTTAATGATACAGCATTATATAAAATATTAATAATGTAGTTTGATATTACATGTAACATATTTGTATCGATTTATTTTTGCCTTTAAAAAAATTAAAACAACCTTAATGTTAAGTAGGGCCAATTAAATTCGGTCACAAAATAATAGATGCATATATTGATGGCAGACATTTAAAAAAATGTAGATTACACATAAAAGTAACTGCTGCAGCTTATGAAGATTTAAATTTCAGCTTGATATTAATATACTCAATATTGGGTTATAATATATTGTAGATTGTTACATGAAATGATTTTTAATACAAATAAAAAAAATTTCTGATTATGGTCTTAATTTTTTGCATGTTCAATTTTTTTATTCTCATTTTTCTAATTTGCTTTGTTAGTTTATTTTGTCTTCATGTTGTTTTCATTACGTAATAATAATAAAAAACTTTTTTGGGTTCAAAATATTTTATTCTGCATTGATAATTGTATTTTTTTTTAAATATAACTGATATAGCATACATTATTAACATTAAATCAATAGCTTGTCCTCGTAATTGGAGGCAAGTTAAACAGAATTTGTGTTGCAAATGTTTGTGTATTTTATTCACTAATGCACATTAGCAGGTAGTGGACTCCCCTTGTTTTACATTTAAGTTTATAATGATCCATTTTTACGATCTCCAATACCATTTTGAATAAATTGAGTTTGTTACTTTAAGATAATGCTTTATTGTTATGATTTTGTTATCCGTCAGATTATTTAAAAATTTGAATTTTAAATTTAAAGTAAGTTTTGACTGTTAAGCTCTTTCTAGTTTTAAAAAAAAGTGTGACAATAATTTTTTAATACATTTTTTTGTGTGTAAAAGAGTTATTAAATTGTGAGAAAAATTTCTTACCTTTTATTTTTCTCATTATAAAAAATTGTCTGACAATTTTTTACTGATAAATTTCCCATTTTAATGCCTACCATAACTGAACATAAAAAAAGAGATTTTTTGGTATATGTATATTTTTTTAATTCAATTGAAGAAAAGTTGTTTTATTTTACATACTTTGATTTCTTTACCTATAGGAATGGGAAAAGAAGTTGAAAATCTAATCTTAGAAAATAATGAACTTCTGGCAACTAAGTAAGTATTTTATAAAATTATAAAGACAGTCACTGTATTATTATTTTTTTCATATGAAGTAAATAAGTTAAAATATTTTTAGCCCATTATAAAAGATATTTTTATTAAAATGATGAGTTTTTTTTAATTATTAGCCCTACTAATTAGAGAGAGCTCTCTATAAGAATTTTGTGATATGATTTCCAGGAAACTCCAAAAGATAAAAAATTAATTATCATACATACCTTCTCCACTTTCTTTTCTCAGCGAAATAAGTAGAGAAATAAACATTTCTTGACTAAAAGAACTTTTTAACATTTATAATATGCATATTTACTCACAAATAAACAATACTTTTTATAACTGAGAAAAAAATGGTAGTCATAGATAATTTACTCTCTCTTAAAAAAATGATAAAATTTTTTTAAAACTCTTTTTGCGATAAGTAATAGCCTTATAATAGTAATACTTAGCTGTATAACTACTGATTATAGTAATGCAAATGCTAAGGGTTAAAATGATGAACATCATTTATTAAATTGATCATCTTTTTATGATGAGCTGAATGTCTTCATAATCTTCAAAGTGTTTAAGAGATAATTGTTTTTTACACAAACGTCAGCATTTAAGAATTTTAAATAATGTTTCTCAGAGGTATGAGATTTGTGTTTTGACACTTGAAGAATAATGTTTCTTGTCAGAATTTATTAATATTATCAATTAAATAATTTCAGACATTACTCCTAGATCACTATAATTTATCTCTATTTCTGTATCCTGTGATGCTTTATATATATATGCTAGCTGTCTAATATTTACTACTTAGGGTTGAATGAAAATCATCCTTTTTATCTTAATACTAATATGATACTTTCTTTTTAGGAATGCTTTGAACATAGTGAAAGATGATCTCATTGCTAAAGTGGATGAATTAACAAGGTATTAGTTTACTCCAATTAATTTTATATTGAACCTTTTTGTTACCTCTTTCAGGGGTTGCAGGATAAAAACTGTTCCTCATATTTTTGACTATAGTACAAACCACTGAAATTGTATTAGTTTTTATAACTTAAAGCATACAGTTTTTAACCTACCTCTTTAAATTTTTGAAGCATAAAAATAAAGCAGATAACTTTTTTGGGGTTGTGTGCATATCACGGCCACAGTTCTTATGATTCTTTAGAAAAGTTATGGGATAAAATTTTTCCACCCTGTAGCAAAAGATCTGTAACATTTTGAGTAAGTTGTATAAACTATTCACATAAGTTTATCTATATCAGTGACATGCATGCTAAATATAATACAAAATTCCCAGGGAAATATTTTTGTAATTAAAGTAAGCCAATTACGAGGTTCAAAATTAATTTATTATTACTAAACCCATTGATATAAGATTTTTGTCATAACTCTTTAGAAAGTTATTAAAATTGAATATAGTTGGAAATTTGAATGTAAACTTCTGTTAAAACCAGAAATATCTTACATCTTAATTGTTTTCAATATTTTGAGATAGTGTAATGGTACAATGATATCCAATATTGACAAATCATTCAATATTAAATGTTTTCTTACTCATTATTATATTCTCTTGTATTTTATATATATATTACTAAAATAAATACAGAATAAGTGTTTTTTTATTATGTAATTCATGGATAGATACTGTCAAAGTGAAGCAAATTAAAATGTTTAATCATTATCTACAAATATTAATTAACGAGCAAGCTTAATAATTTTTTTATTTGTTAATTAAAGATGCATGTGAACAAATTGCTTTAATCTTCTAAAAATTCAGCCCTATCATCCTATTTACACAAGGATTGAAAAAAGGTGCCTGAAAGTAATTTTCTGACGTCATAAGCCGGATAAAAGGCTTGTCAAATTTACAACATTACTGATTTTATGAACACTACTTTACAAGAATAGGCCACAAATAACCGCATGACACAAAGAGTCAATCATGTACCTGAGGCAAAGTCTTCTTCGCCTTGCTATACTTGCCGGAAAACAGGCTACAAAAAATAGCAGGTGAAAAATAAGGATTTTGCTCCTCTTGTGATATCACAAGCCTGGTGTAAAGGAGGAGTAAAGAGATTTGTTTAGATTTTTTTTAAGTATAGAATAAAAATAATTAGTTTATACATGTAAAAATAAATACTCAAATACAAACGAAAGTGCTTTTTGTTAGTGCTCTAATCAGAAACTGGCCACTGAGGTAGATGTGTTTTTTTTAATTATAAATTTAAGTTAAATATGCATACATATTTTTTAGTGAAATGGAAATTTTGCAAGGAGAGATCAAGTCTTTACAAGCTGTTAAAGAGAGATTAAAAACACGTGTTATAGATTTAGAAGAAGAACTAAAAAAGACAAAAGAAGAGGCTGAAAAAATGAGGGCAAAGTTTGAAGAAGAGGTATAATTTTTATTTTATTTAATGCTCTAAATAATATTAAATCATTGCAATTTTCATTCATTATACTTTTTTTATTATAACTGTTATAAAGTCTAAAAATATAAAAAGGATAATTGGTTTGCAAACGCATAAATAAAAGTGAAAATATTTAAAAATAACGGGTTGGCAAAAGCATAAATAAAATAAAATAAACACATAAAGAGATAAATTAAAAAAAATAAAAGCAGACGATAAAATTAGAAGTCAATTTTTAGTTGTTGGTTTTCTTTAGATTAGTTTTTGTTTGGAAGTTGAGTTTCCTTATATTCGGTTACGGGGTTTTTCTTGTTGTTTTATGATCTTTTCACTATCCCATTACGGGTAATTCATATTTGTTAGTGTTTGTGTTGTTTGTGAATAAAGTTTTTTATAAAAAAAACTGAACAGTTCTTTAATATAGCTTGATACGCTACAGCTATATTTAATTGGTGGCGTATATTGGTAACGTATATTTAAGAGAAGAACTGGTGAAAAATACTATTGTTATTATGGATTTCCTACTCAAGAAAAAATTAGTGAATGAGATGTTTAAAATTGATGCTAAGAAGTGTGGAATTCGATGATACTTCGAACTCTTTGAACAGAAAGCGAAGAGATTTAGGGTAAATTTTGACCTTTGGTTTTCGTGTGCTTTGCAGCTTATTCCTGCTGAAAGGCCAGAAATTTATGATGATGATTATTATTACTTTAAAGAAAATCTCATTGCCAATTTTCAGTATGATCCACGAGATATTCCGTGTAATAACGATCGCCAGAAGAACATTTTAATGAGAAATGGAATTCGCCAAGTATTATGAAGAAATTTAGATCTGAACGTGAATGTTTCTATTGTGGTGAAATAGGACATTTTAAGAAATACTGTAGACGTCGAGATTTGGATTATAGAAAATAGAATTACGATAGAAGTTGGAAATATAGTAACCACCAATCCGACTATAAAAATATATCGCCAAATGTTTCCCGAAAAGTAGCAAATTCTGATATCGAAACATCAGTTACTTTGAAGGACTTAGATTCTAGTTGGCTTAATATTGGTAAATTAAGTGGTACTAAGTCTGGAAATGTTGCCAAGAGTAATTCTGAAAGAAGCCAATCGACTTCCAAAAGAAGAATAGTCCCGCCAACAGTTGTACCTGAAGAATTGGAACCAATTACTAAAGTAAATAAGGTTATTATAGATTGGGAAGAAAATATTTTTGAAAAAGTGTCTAATTGGAGTTCTCCAAGTTTTGAAGAGAATAAAAGAAGAAGAAATAAAGCTTATTTTCGTAAGGAGTTTGAAAAATTTGATGAAAACATTATGGAAAGTGTTAGAAATATTTTTATGGAGGATCGGAAGGAACCGAACCAAATAGTAGGAGCAGAAATAGATATATTGGAATTTAGTCCATGTGTACTAAACACAGAAATAGAAAGTGCAGAACCAAAAGACGAATTGTTCGACGATGTTTCTAAAGTGATAGTAAAGGAGGTGGAAGAAAAGGAATGTCAAATCTTCCAAGAAAAAGTTGAGATGAAAAATGAAGAAAAAGATGATTGCCAAGTCAATTGAGTCAGTTTTGTGGTAGAAATTGTAGAAGAAGAAATAGCATTGCCTAAGTGCCAGAAAAAAGCATCATATGCAGATACATGTTTGACGAAAAATTGTGAAATGATTTTGGTGGAAAATGATAAAGTTTGCCAGAAAGGTGAAAATGTTAGAATTGAAAGGATTTCGGAAGCAAATATAGTAAAATTCATGTTAGTACTGAATCATCAGTTATGGAAGAAAAGATGAAGATTGATTCCAATAAAGGTAGTAAAAGTTTGCCAGAGATTGTCGGTGACAAAATGTGGACTAAGGCATTAGTTACAGAGAAACGTAAAAGAGAAACCAAAGTGGTTAATTTGCCGTGTAGGAATGAACAATTTTGTTCAGGAAAGAAAACGCCAGCAAATGCTAAACAAGTAAAAATCTTTCATAAGAACTTTGTTAAGAATGGAAGTGACAAGAAAATGAGCCAATGGCGAAAAATCAATGCCAAAAGGAAAAGAAAAAAGAACTTTGATAGAATTAGCGTCACGCAAAGGGTTAAACTAAAATGGTCGCCAAATAATTTTGATCACAAATTTATCGATACATGATTGAAACAAAAAAAGAATCGATTTCGAGAAAACTTAAAGTTTTTGCTGATGAAAGTAAAGATGAAACTTTTGAGAGCCAAATGTAATTTGAATCAACGAGTCGATTTGAATCAATTTGAATCATTGAATCAACGAGTATAAGTATAAGTGCAAGAGATGTGTGCCAAATTGGAAAAATTACAGTGTTAATAAAGTAAGATGGAAAGAAAAGTTCAGTCATTGGTGCAAAAATGGAACTTGGCACAGTTGGTAAAATTTGCCAAAAAATTTATCAGTGGAACTGGAAGTTTAAGAAAAGAATTGTGGTGAGTAAAAACTGGTGTAAGAATATTAACATCTACGGAAGTCATGGCACTACGAATTCGCCAATTACCCTAAATTTGGCTAACGTTTTAAGAGTGAAGGTAAAAATAATAATGAAAATATGATCTTTAATCGCCAAACGATAGTAGTAAAGTAAAACGATAATTAGGACTTAGATTTTTTGTTTTTTAACTATAAAATTAAAACACTTTAAATATTATTCAAGAAAGGTTTTATAAACTATTTCACTTCAAGTGATTTTTATTTAAATAATAAGATTTTTTTGCTATTTCTTTAGTTCTTTTGCTTTGTTTTAAATATTGTTTATTTAATTGTAAACAGTATCTTGTGATGTTATGTTCAAATTAGTCTTATTTCCTTATTCATATGTATGATTTAATTTGAAGAAAAAAATTTTACTTGTAAAGAAATTAGTTTATAATTGAAATTAAACTAACCAAAATTTAATTTGAGAAATTGTTTAAAATGATTATACCTAATGAAACATAGGTGTTAAACAAATTTGATTATAGAGAAAAGTGCTAGTGTTCTTAAATTACGTCATTTTTTTAGATATATAAATATTAATAAGATTGAGTTTGGATTTAATTATACGATGTTTAAAAATGTTAAGTATATTGTTTGGATTTAAAACTAGTGAGATACCAAGATAAAAATAAGCACTTTGAAAGAAAAAAAATCTGGCTAGCTTCAGTCTTTAGATATTGTAAATGGTTATTTGTATATATGTAAATAGTTATATTTATTTCTATTTATTTTATGTGAAGTTAAATTATAATATTTATTTATATTCTAATTTTATTTTGAATATTTTAGTTTGATATCTAAATTGAGTTACAAGTGAATTGTCTACTAATGTTTACTTCAAGAGTCGTAAAATAATTTAGTAATTTTAAGTTTTAAAGTTAATATTTATACATCACTTCTAATGTAAAAATTGTATCTTGCAATTAATTTGACAATTAGAAAATTTAATTCTATAAGTGAAATGGTTTGATTGTAACATAATGCATTGGTTTCAACCTAATGTTTAAAGAAGTACACAAATAAATTCATTAATAACTTTTCCTTTGTTTTCTATGAAAAAGTTCTTCCAAGGGGAGAGGAGTTATAAAGTTTAAAAATATAAAAAAGATAATTGGTTTGCAAAAGCATAAATAAAGGTGAAAATATTTAAAAATAATGGGCTGGCAAAAGCATAAATAAAATAAAATAAACACATAGCTGGCAAAAGCATAAATAAAATAAAATAAACACATAAAGAGATAAATTTAAAAAAATAAAAGCAGAGAATAAAATTAGAAGTCAATTTTTAGAACTAGTTGTTGGTTTTCTTTAGATTAGTTTTTGTTTGGAATTTGAGTTTCCTTATATCCGGTTACGGGGTTTTTCTGGTTGTTTTATGATCTTTTCACTATCCCGTTACGGGTAATTCATATTTGTTACTGTTTGTGTTTGTGAATAAATTTTTTATAAAAGAAAACTAAGCAGTTCTTTAATATAGATTGATACACTGCACTGTCTTAATGTTTGTAATACTTTTAGAAAGAATTTGTAAATGTTTAATAAAAGAATTTGTAATACTTTTACAAAAGAATTAACAATTTGATATTTTCAAGAGTTCAAGAAATAAAAAGCAAAGGAAAAATAAAATAAAATGCAATTTATATATTTCTTTTTAGGAGGGAATTCCTCTAGCTCAAAGAAAACGATTTACTCGTGTAGAAATGGCTAGAGTTTTGATGGAGCGGAATCAATATAAAGAAAAGTTAATGGAATTGCAGGAAGCAGTGCGCTGGACTGAAATGATTAGAGCATCAAAAAATGATCCTGCCACTGACAAGAAAGGCCAGTCTTCCATTAGAAAATTGTAAGTTTCATTTTTTTTATTTTAATAAAATTATTTTTTACTTGAATATTTTTTTATTTGAAACTTATTTTATTATGTAAAACAAATATTTTTTTTATATAAAACAGCATGACTGTTAAAGTTTGTATTGAATTTGAAGAGATTTAGATATTTTTCATTTCATGTATGATATTCATGCAATAAATTTTATAAATATCGTTAAAAAATGCTTTAATTTGAAAGATTATGCAATTTTAGTTGTAATTAAGGGCTCTATTGTTTGAGCCAGAAGTTTCCAGCACTTTTTAGCTATGATCATTTCCTGTGAGAACGTCACAGTTTCTGACATATCATATTTTTTCTTATCACAGATCTATTCATTTTAAAATTAATATGTTTTTTAAACTAAGAAGTTGTTTTGAAAATAGAATCTCAAAAATAATAGGATTAACTAAATTTACTCTTTTCTTTTTTATAACATTAGCAGCTTAACATAATGCTCAAGGTTAAAAATAAAAAAAGAAGGAAAAGAAAAACTATTTTATTTTCAACTGCAAAGTTTTTACCATATACTTGAAGATCTTATGTCTTTCGTTTGGGTGGCTATGCATTGATTAAAAATTCATGATCTGAAAGTATCATAAATGAATAATGCATTTTTTAAATGTGATTACAAAATTGCCAAAGTTTGGAATTTATACATTCAAAGTATAAATTAGAAATTAAAAATTGGCTTTGATCTATTTAGAAAAGAATCTATTTTTTTCTACAATGGCAAGTCTGGAATAAGTATAAAGAGGGATACAAAAACCAAAATAAATATAAAAGTTAAATACAACTAATGATTTCTTTGCAAAAAGGAGATTGAATTTCATTGATATAATACTCAGTTTCATCTTTCAAAACATGGGTGATTGAGATTTTGTCTGTTAAAATCTTCAACTTCAAATAAAGAAAAGTCCAATAGCATTAAATTACATGATTTAGACGGCTAATCCTAATTACCAAAACAAGAAATTACAATATCAGATTGACACAGCAATGGAAACAAGTAGTTATTTCATTTTTTAAAACTCTAAATTGCCAGCTGTCTATAATACCCACTTTTTTATTCAAATCTAGCATGTATTTTAGGATACCCTATATGCGTGTATACTTGGTATGCGGTTCCATTTTAATTTAAAATCTAGTCTTTATATTTAATGAACCGATAAAGAAATTCCCAAATTTTAATTTAAAGTATAATTGTAAATTTTGGGACACACTGCATTTTATGTATAACATAAAATGCATATAATAAGATTTAATATTGAATTATTTTTCTGTAACTATTGACAAATTTGAAAAAATAATATTAATGCAATTTAGTGGCGATTCTGTATACCATACATCTGTTATTCTTGGATAAGTTGATGATTATTTTTATGCATCTTTTGTTACCGGATTTCGTTATTGACTAATAAAATAATGTGGTTAATATTTGATATTATGTATTTCTTATTGCAACCAACTTTTTAGAAAAAAAAAATTATTTTGTATTTTCAGTTTCAGCAGTTTATTTAGCTCAAGCAGTTCATCAGAGAAAACAATGAGAAAATCTCCTACCTCATCAGGAATCTTGTACAGTTCACCATCTGTCCATGTCAGTCCCACTTTAGATGCTCTCCGGAAAACTAGATTGGGTGAAAAAGGAAAAAGTGTTGATTTTCTTGATAGTGATTTGTGAGTTTTATTGAACTACCTCCAAACATCCAGATGTTATTTATTCTCTGTCTTTATGAAGTTATTGTGCAATATGTAGAAATGATATTAGTATACTTGTTACACATTTTATCATTTAACCTGTTGAATTTTCAAATTCTACTTGCATTTTCATATCTGCTGTACAGCATTGTTATTTCACAAGAGCTTTTTATCTTGTTACATGAATTTTAGATAGTTTAGTTTGTATATATTTAAATATATATATTTGTATATATTTAAAGAGTTATGAAACGTTGATTTTAATAAATTATATGCCTTTCAAAATTGGTTGTTTTTTTTAGTTTATTTTTATAATTTATACACAAAATAAAGGTAGTTTTTTTATACCTATAAGGTCCTCTGTTTTTTCAGGTATTATTTTAAGTCTACTCTTAATTTAACTCTAAAGATAGCAAATAAAGTTTATTACTATATGATGGAGAGAAAAAACAATACGCACCAAGTGAAAAATTATGTGTAGATATCAGTTAAGTGCTATATACAAGTATCATTTCAATTCAATACAAATGATAAATAAATCATTCTATTCCTGTTTTGGGTGATGATGATGCTTTTCTATTGCATTGAAACAGCTGTTTGCACTTGACTTTTCAATTCGTATTTTTTGGCTGGTTTATTACATTATGTTTTAAATCATTTCATCTAGAAATTTTTCTTTTCATATAAAACTGAATTTTTTGTTGTTGATATTGTTAAAAATTATTTTTCACATTTCTTATTAAATATTATTAAGTTTATTTTTAAAACCTTAGGTCCCAATTGATATGCTAATCAGTCATATTTTGATATAATCTTCATTGGAATTAACTGTATTTCTTTTTATTGTATGATTGTTGTAATCAATTTAAATTAAGAATCAGAAAAACCATCAGAACATTATTGTTTTGTACTTTTAAATTTTAATAGGCCATGCTAAATAAATGTTTCATTTTTTCCTTAGTTTATAAATATTTTATATATCTTTCTCCCTATTCATTAATTTTCTTATTTTCGATTTTATTCATACATAATTATAAAATAATTTGTTTACTTATATTACATTATGGATTTCTTAGAAAGTAATTTATATAAAAGAAAGGAACAACTTTTTAAGTTTTATTGATAATTTCATTATTTTTGATTTTTTCTTTTCTTTTGTGGCTTTATTCTAAAGTTTTATTGGTAGTATTAATATTTTGGGGGAATGAACTCATTTGTAAATGAGAAAGATGACTCAAAAATAAGAAAGAAAACTTTTTAAACATGATATGAAGTTAAGGAACAATGTAACTATTTTCAGATCAAAGATTTAAGAGCAAAACAGTATTTTCTTACTACAGTCAAGATATTCTCAATTTTGGCTCTTATGGTGTTAATCGTCTGCACCTACATATCAAATTTGTACATTTTACATCGCTTCCTAGCTTTATTTTTTACTAATGTTTGTTATTTTACAGATTTAAGAGCAGACTTGCAGATTTTCTTTCTGAATCTTGAGAAATGTTTCAAAATGTGATTTATTTTATGTAATACTTATGTTATAATTTATTAATTGTATTAAGTTTTATATTGAATATAAATATCATAGAAAATAGTTAATTCATAACAGAGGTATAAAAAAAAAAGAAATATGTTTTGTAATTCTTTTAAATAAGCAATTATCTTTTGATAGGATTTATGTTTATTCTGAAACATTTTTGTATTTATGCTCACATTTGAAAATTTATGCATTTGATGGAAAGAACTAAGTTATATTTTATGAAACATTTTCTGCATAAATTTTACCTTTGCTTTTTTTTTATCGACAGCATTCTATTAAGCAATAATTCATTAGTTTGTTTTACTCACTTTCTACGACTTCCATAATCTTAATTTGAGTAATTTGTACTTTAAAAAATAGTTATGTGTTAAAAAAAAGAAGAGTTGTAACAAAATCTGTGTACAACCTAGAAGTAATAAGAATTTTTAAGTTTTACATGGAAAAATCTTTCCTAGCTCTGAAAGATAAGAAAAATATGGAAGCAAGATTGCTTTGATGTAATTATAATACCATTAACTGATAAAAATTAAGTAAATAATAATTTTTCAAATTTTCACAATTCCTTACTGGTTAAAACATCTTTTTTTTTAAAAAAAGGAAGAAAAGAAAACAGCATGGTAATAAGTAACATAAGTTCCCTTATCTCCTTGATTTGTATTGCTTGGTTCCCTTCATGAGATTATTAAGTAGTCAAGCCTTGGCAAATTCTACTAGATTAGCTTAACTTTTAGTTTTGAAAAAAAAGAAAGAAAAAAAAGGTTTTAAAGCATCCAAAAAGGTTGTCTGTAAAAATTTTTGGAGAATTATATGGACATTAAATCTTAATTTGTCACTTACGTAATTAGTAATTTTTAAATATTTTTTATTTCATAACATTAATTGAAATATGTTTCATTGTTACCAAATTTTTATATTGTTTAAGTTGTAATTGTGGTTCTAATAGTAACTTTTAGAAAATTTAAAAAACACTTATAATTCTAGAAAAACTTATTTCAAAGAATAAATTTGAGCAAAAAATCTTAATTAGTTACCCAATGAACGAGCACCTTAATAGCACCATTCATATAATTTTCTTTAAGTTAACCCTAAAGGAAGTTAACCCTTTTCTTTATGTAAAAAGACTCTTAACTGAACTTGTACCATCATATAATTTATTTCTATAAAAATTTAGTGCATCATTTAACTGTATCTTTCATTGCATTTAAAAATGAGATTAAATACCATTGAATTTCATTGATTTATAAAATTACTTTCAATAGAGCAACAGAACGCCTTCATCAGCAAAGGGCAAGGGAGAGAAAAGAACAATACAAACAAGTCAGAGCTCACGTTAAAAAGGAAGATGGGCGAATGCAAGCCTATGGATGGAGTCTGCCAATTCTTGGGGATAGTAATGGAGAGGCTGAGCCCACATCCTTATCTTTTGATCCTTCTTTTCCAGTACCTGTTCCTGTTTACTGCAGACCTTTGATGGATAAAGAACCTGGAATGAAGGTAGTTAATATAATTTTGTGTTGAGGCTCATTCAATGAACCTGGAATGAAGGTAGTTAATATAATTTTGTGTTGAGGCTCATTCAATGAATCTGGAATGAAGGTAGTTAATATAATTTTGTATTGAGGCTCATTCAATTTCATAAATTTTGTTTGAAAATTGATGAATTGAAAAGAAATTCCTACTTATAACTAGCTTGAATTTTATTAAGGATCTGTTTCATACACCAATAACTTTTAACAAAGAGTAAAACAGTATTCTTTTTATTCATAAATTGTTATTTTATTTATATAACAATACATGAAGAATTTTAGTGTAAATTTTTATCTGACCACTGTATCACTGTGCAGTTAATAATAATATTTTTTTTAATATTTAATCCTTTTGTACCGACTGTCACGTATACATGTCAGCAAGAAACAGCTTCATATCCCTGCTGACATGCCGACATGCCAAAGAGATTTCTCGTTCACTTCTAGCCATTGCATGTTTGTGACAGCGTTTGGGAATGTTTTAAAAACTATTTGGGTTTGCAGTTCAGTTTTCATTTCATAGTTACGTCTTGTAGACGTCAAATTTTTCTGTGTTTAGACTTACAGTGATTAAGTGTTGAACAAAACTCAATATAGCAGAAATTGTATAAAAATGTATTTAAACACAAAACGTAAGGAAATAAAAAATAAAGCGAGTAAGTAGATTATTTATACAGTATATGTTGCTAATCTACTTTACTGTACATTATTAAAGAACTAATTAAGAAATATTAGAACATGTACGCTCAAAGGCAAAAAACCCCGGCCCTGGGCAGACACTTGTAAAAGAGGCTCTGAACCTCAGCACATTCAATTGCAACTCCCATTGCGAAAGGGTTGAAATGAAATTTATTCTATAAAACTTTGTTGAGTTTTTAAATTTTTTTCTTTTATAAATTAAAGTAAGTATTTTTTAAATAAATTATTATTAATTGGCAATTAAAATTAATTGGTAATTAAAATTTGCTTCAGATAAAGGCAGGTGTATAATTACCAATATATATTATTGAAAACTTTACAAACTACTCAAAAATTACATTTGTTATTCAGATTTTCAAGTATTTTGCTAAATAATGAAGCTAGGAAGTTTTAGGAGATAACGTATAATTTAATTATAGAATTTAAATTTCCGATTTAGATGAAAGTTGAAATAAATTTTTTTTAAATTTCAGTTTATAGTATTTTGACAATGCTTTATTTAGTCAAGTTACGTTGTAAGAGATTATTGTCTAGTTAAAAATTATAAAATAAAGAAGTTTATGTAAATTATATACTATATGGAAAAGTTCAATTACAAATTTTTACGAATGTAAAATAATTTCCCACTAATAGTGAAATAAACATTTCAATTTAAAACCCAAATTCAATGTATAGTTAGAACTCCCAAGTTATAATGTTAGAATGATAAATAAGAGTTTCAGTTTTTATGTATGCAAAATTAGTAATTATCAATCAGGCTTATGATATTATCTAAACCATATAAATTTTTTTCTTCTTTTTTAAATTTATCCACTGATAACAGTATTATAGTGCTTCATAGAATAAGACATATTCTATAAACATGCCTAAAAAAATAAAATTTTTTTACTTACATTTTTTAAAATTATCTTTGCTTAGTTGTTTAGTTTTTTTAATAAATTTGTTGATAGATTTGGTGTTCAGCTGGCGTGAATCTAAATGGAGGCCGAACACGTGATGGTGGTTCTATTGTTGGAGCAAGTGTATTTTATTCTTCACCTCCTGAGGAGGATACTCCGACTGAAGATTTATCTAACATAGAAAAGCTAAGCCATGAGCTAGCTGTAAGTATTTTTTCTACTATCATTTCTTTAGTATAGAAATTTTATCAGAAGTGAATTTTCAAGTAATTAATATATTTTTCATTGTTACATGCGTTGTCAAGGTAAAAACTTAAATATCAAAGCATATAGATATCTTGGTATAATTTAAAGTCATTATTTGAATTTTTTTATAATATATTTTGCTTCGCTAGCAGGACTTTTTTAATGGCTTGTTTTGTATATATTTTATTTACATATAACAGAACTGGCTAAGTTGTTATAAGTGTTTTTGATGCTTTTTGACTTGTATATATAATAGAAAATTGATTTATAAATTTTATTTAGGGTTACAGAGATTGTAATAAGAACCATGTGTTAGTAAATTTAATTAAAAATTTTTAATTGTAAATGATGGATATTGTAAACTGATATTATTCAAAATTTGTTTTATGCATCCGCGCTTTTTTAATAATGTATTTTGCCAAGGCCGATAAATTTAATGTATGTGTAATATTTTTGGTATTATATCTGCACATTTGACATTGATCGAATATTCATAAAAATTTACAATGTTTGTAAAGCTAGACTTTCATTTATTTTTATCATATAACTTAAATTTAAAAGTATTGCTCTTTCTGGTTTTCAATTTATATTTTATAGTTCAGATATGTTTGTGAGACATTGCTTGAATGCCCGAATTAAGTTTAATAGTACCTTTTTAAGGAATGCTTATATATAGATAATCCATAGCTATAGCTTATATTATTACAGGGATGAGATTCTTCCGCGGATTCGCGGATTTCCGCTTTTTTTAAGATTTTTCCAGTTTTCCCGCTAATTTCCGCTGAAATTTTTTTTTGCCCAAGTTAAAATGTTTTATGAGGAATTTAATTTTCCGCGGAGGGAAATTGTTGAAGTCCCTTTTCCTCCCTCTGAAGTTTCTCTAAAAATCATTTCCTTGGGATAAAACTGGTTGACCTTTATACAGGGATGAGATTTTTTTTGGCTCTCGAATTTCAGCCTTTTTATCAAAAACTCCGATTCTCTAAAAGTTTCGTTTTTTT